AAGCTCCGATCGTGCTTGGGGCGTTTCGTTTGGGGCTTGTGATTTCAGTTTCAGTTTTGAAGATCACTCGCTGCGAAACGGACGCCCAGCAAAGCGTGAAGAGAAAGCTGAAACAATATTGAAAATATTTAACAATTCATAACTCGAACTGCAACCAACTCGAGCTCTGTAAATTACCCCATTCGTGTACTCAAGACGTGAATAAATATAGAAATCAAGCAAACAAAGCTGGTCCAGAGAACAGTTACACTTCCCATAACCATAACCAATATCAATGTCAAGCGATCGGGAAAACACTCGATCGTTCCAAATCCGGGGTCAGAAGCTTCAGCTCTCCGGCTGATTAACACTCCGCATCTCCGCGTTGAGCGCAAATAAATAAACAAAAAACAAAAAACAGGCAAACATACAAATACGGCTGAAAATACGCGAACGACAAAAAATTAACAGAAACGCGCGGAATATAGAAAAACACGTTTCCACAAAAAGCGTATAGAACAACAACAAATTAACCAAATAACAAATAACACAAATTGTTTTCGCTTTTGCTATTGAACCACACTCCACACACACACACACGCATTCGAAATAAAAGGCCCTGATTCTGGCCATTACCAAATATGTGCAAAGGCTGAGCTTGAATCGAGATCGCACGAGTCGACGACTTTGGCTTGTAATTCGAGCAGCCGTGACCACAGAAAAGTCACTTAGACATTATATATTGCATATATCTTAGCCATATATATAGTTATGGAGCGATCGCACAGTTGTAGTAATTTCGAGGTGGGGGAGAAGGTGGGGAAGGTGGTCAAGGTCGAACAGCTGGCTGGGAGCAGTGATCACCTGCCCAGCGCCCACTTTCCGCCCAACAAACCGCTGCGCCGGCGCAGAAAACTGCAGCGGCAACAGTCTACAGTGGATACCGATGACATGGAATATGCCGCTGATTTGGAGGAGAATGCCGATCCGGAGGATGTGGAGAATATCGTTGCCCTGCCCCTGCGTCACATAGCCTCCGCTACAAGTTCCCGGTGCCTGCGCCACGAAGAGTCCTTCGAATCCTCCAGCACAGCCCCCGAATTGAGTCCACAGGCGCAGAGACAGCAGCGTTTTAGTAGCTTACTCCTCCGGGATAGTTCCGTTTCCGTGCAATCCGACTCAAGTCGATACTCCAGTGTGGATAGTCTGCTGGAGGCCCGCAAACCCGATCCCGAGGCCATACTCATCAACCTGGGCTTCGGACCACTCAGCTCCGAGGACATGCTGTCCCGTATTCCAAGGAGATTCCTGAAACCCTCCCAAGTACCTGGAATCGATACCGATGCCTTTGTGCAAAGACTGACTTTGGCCCGATCCCTGGCCGACTCGAGTGTTCTGGGCTATAGGGGTCTAACCGGAAATCCCGACATGCCGCCCTCGTCCATTGTGGCCAGCATCATGAAGCGGTTCGAGGTCAATCACCATCGCAAGAACTCCATGGGTTCCATCAAGCCCACCATACAATAAGGCCAATACTCCATAAATGATAGTCAGCCAAATAGAGGACATTATCGTAACGTTAATTGTTGCCAAGCGGGGTTTTCGGTGATCTGTGACCTGTGACCCGTGACTCCTGTGATCGTCTTGTCTTGTCCATTAGTCCTTAAAAGTGCCGCGTACTTAGCTGTGTATTCTGTATTATTGTACCAATCCATTTATTATTAATATTATTTTTGTCAACTATTGTAAACTCTTTTTGAGTATGAATTAAAGATGATATTTTATGTTAATTTGGAGGTCTTTAAGTTTAGGGGGCTATTTTTGGTTCGTAAATGGGGCGGATCCTTCCCAAATTTGCATAAGAGATCCGGAGATTATGGTTCAACGGAAATCAGTTGCTCAGTGGATGTTTATTTACAAAGCACAACAATTTTAAAATTTTTTAAGCTTTTCAGTGTTGAGTCTTCTCAATAGAGTTTCAAAAGAAATCAAAAGTTTCCATTTCAATTGTAGAACCACTAATTATTGAAACGGACTTTGTTTCAGGTCGTACCTTACTGAGAGGGTTTCATTAAAAAAGAGCTTTTAAGTGTTAAATAATTACTATGCATTAAAACATGAGGGTTTTAAACATTAGGTGAGAATTTTTTACGATAAGCTTAATAAGATTTCGAGAGTTTCAAGTGTTTGAATTCGCTTCCAGGAACTCGCTGTTTCTCCAACTTGAATCCGAAATTAGAAATCTGCGTCACTGTCAAATGGGCTGATTGTTTATGTACATATGCTGTAGTTGAACAAATTCATTTGCGATATAAGTACATATTTACATATACCCACAGACACACATTCATTGTGTTTGCATTGTTTGTTATTTTTTTCTTATCGAAAGTCGATTTCTGAGAGAAGTTTTTATTAATAGCAAATGACTTGGCAATCTTATGCCGCCTGCCCCAAGCAAAAGAAACAATTAAGAGCATATCGAGCTGAGCTGGGAATCGAAAAAATACCCAGAAGGGATTACAAAGTCTGCGGCACTCGGATCGCTTATTGATTTCAATTGCCAGCAATTGTTTACATTCACGATCCAAGTCCAAGTAGTGCCAGCCACGGGAGCAGAGCATGCAAAATTATTATAGTTATTGGGCACTAACCCCTCTGACCCGTTTATTTAGGTTGCCAAACAAATATTCTATAGCCGCCTGCCTGATAACCGATAATGGCATTTGCGCACATTTGTAACACCTTGAAGGCGACGCACGGCCCACAAGGAAATTCTAATACGTCCGCATACAGCAATGGGTGTACAAATAGATTGTAGTTCTGCAAGTGAAGCAATATATATGTTATATTATAAGTTCTGCAAAATGTAGAAAATATAAATAAGTGCGAAAACAATAATTTGACAAATATACATAATTAAATATTTTTAGTATTTAATTTTCAATTAATACAAATATTAAAAACAAAGTAACCGTTTTATGATTTTAAAGTTGTATCCCAAGGTCTATGTATATGCTTTTTGACTTTTGACCACAATGTTTAACAGTTGCAATGCAGTTCACCATGCATTTACAAAAATGTATGTGTTTGTTTTATCGATTAATTTATAGTAATTTAAATGATTTTAGTATATCAAACATTCTTTTGTTATCGAAAATCGTGGTAATTATACGAGCGATATAAAATAGCTTTGTATAGGTTCTAGGTTTTAGATCATATTATTTTGATCACTATTGTTGCTATGCAAATACGTGAGTACTCGCGCTTTGGGCATATCCAATAGATAACGGTAATGGTTCTAGGGTTCTGTTCATCGGCACATGACTTGCTTTATCTATCGATGGGATGTAAATTAATTCGCAAACAAAGCAAAGAAAAGCAAAGCAATGGTAAGGAAGGGAAGAAGAAAGGAAATCGATGAAAGCCATTGCCAAACACTTGCGAAAGTGTGGGTGTGAATATTAGCAAGTAGAAAGAGATAGGGTGAATAGCACAGTTATGCGAGAATCATTCATCACTCCTTGCACTCATTGGAAATTTGCAAGTTCAAGGCATACAACAAAAACAACCACATAAGACAGATGCAATGTGCATTAAATAAGTTGCACCCACGCCGGAAGAATGCGAAAAGAAATTAGCAAACCAAATCAGTAAGAAAAAGACAGACAGAAACAGATAGGAAAAAAGACCAAAAGGTAGCAATCGACAAATTAAAATGTGTGTCAAGCACTGCTAACAATTTTATTAATGCTAATGTCTTGGTGGGCGTTTGATTAATTGGCCTGCCTAAAATATTTGGCAAATAGTAAATAGCAAAACACCAATCACTAAAATTAAACCCTAAATACATACAAAATTCAAACTTTTTATAATAGCGCGCCTTTTTTTATTTTTAAACTAGCACAGCTGACGGTTGAGCTGCCACCACTAAGACTAATCGATTGATCGATAACTTCGCGAAACGCGTTAGGCATTTTTCTGGTCTGGGCAAAGTAAAGCAACAAAATGCTGTTGAATTAATTTGTTTTTCTGTTTAGTTTAATTTCAAACCTCGCCGATCGTACTTAATTTGCACCTGTGCGCTGCTAAGTTAACCGCTGTTCCTTTATTTGCTTATATTTTCGTGCACAATGGCAGACGTACTTAAATTCGCTGGCGAAATCGCAACTTGGCCAAAATGTCTGTGTGGACCACGGCCAATGCTGGCGGCCTAGAGACGCCATCGAAGTCACCGATCGCCTCGTCGTCGATTCCAAGGGCAGCGAGGAATTCAGCAGTGATTACGACCACTGGAAACCATCAGCAGCACCACTTCCAGCACGTCGTAGCCGCCGCCGTTGCAGCGGCCACTTCCGTGGCCACCGGCCATCAGTTCCACCAGCAGTTCCCGCTGCAGGCACATCCTCACCAGCATCACAACAACAGTCCCACTGGAAGCGGCAGCAACAGCAACAACAGCGGCGGTATTCAGCGTACCAGCATCAGCAACTCGCTGCTACAGTTCCCGCCGCCCCCGCCCCCTCACTCGTCCCAGAACCAGGCGAAGGTAAGTCAATAACAAATCAATCCAAGATCTTTCTTCCCTCTCTCTTTCCCCTCCCCCAATGATGCTATGGAAGCTACTCTTTCGCAACTCTCTCTCGTTCTCACTCTCTCTCACGCGCGCTGGAAATGGGCGCATTCAGCATTGCTTGATTTAAGCTGTGATTTGGTGATCGATCACGGGGTTTCTCTTTCAAAAGACGAATGATTAATCGATGTTCTTAAATGACCTAAGAAACATACTAGCTAGGTAATCATCAGTTTATGATCATAAAACATTTTGACTCAAAACAGTGAACTATATTCTTGGAATTAAACAGTAACATTGATAAGTTTCATCAATGAATTATTGGGTTTTTAATTCTTGCAGTCAACATCTTTAATATAGCATTTATTTAATTCTTGCAGTCAACATCTTTAATATAGCATTTATTTACACTATAAATGTGTTCGTGCTGTTATTTTATATTTTCTTTTATTTGATTTCAATTAGTAAGTTTCCCAATCAAAACCAAATCAAAATAAAGCGAAGAAAGAACAATGACAATTGTTGAGTGGGCTGCCAGATTTAATTTGTACATTCTACATAATTTAGCTGAAGCTATATTTAGGTGTCTAAAAACAATATGAACTGCAAACATAAGTGTATTTGTTGTACAACTCTTGTGACAATTTTTGTCCAAGCGCGAAAAGTTATTTATTCAGTTAGCTTGGCAATTAGCAAATTTGCTAAAGTAGCAAAAAAATCGTAAGATAAAAACGGAAACGTTTTTCTTTTGCCAGGGAAAACTGAAAAAAAATTAAAAATTTTGAAACTCAGCCTGTGATTCATAACTGTTTTTACTTACTCAACACTTGTTTTTCCAAAAAAAATAGGTAGTAAATAAATCTCATCGCTAGTCTTGTAGTCCCATCATAAATCACATACTTCATATCTAAATTCGCAATCCCCTGCTGAATGCGCCCGTTCAATCGACCCACGAAATCTGACAAACAAACAAGGCCTACGTTTCAAGTCGAACAAGATCGCACAGACATTCGAAAAAACACACGACGCACATACAGAACACAGGTATATTTTATGACTGAGTTACCTGGAGAACCTGCTGAATTATTGAACAGTGTTTTTGGCGAACAGCACACTGACAATGAAATTGTAAATGGTCATGGAAATGTCGTAGAAGCCTGGCGTCTAATTGGCTCCAAGAGTTGTTCAGTTCGCTTATCGGTTCTGCTATATTTGCTCTTTTTTTTTTACCGGCGATAATAAAAACACGCACCCACCCACGAGTGCTAAAGAAATTGGTCGGCGTCTCAGAAATCCAGGTGTGTGTTTGCATACGAATTTTGCCGGCGACTCGGAGGGAAAAAATTAAATACCAACCGCCAGCTGGCACCTTCCGTTTTCTTTCTGCTTTATCTTTGGGCTTTATTTATATTCACATTTTTTAAGTGGTTACATTTTGTTTATTCTGGAGGAAGTAAGGCGGCTGTTGGGGAAAGCCCAAACGAACTGGTTGTATTTGACAGCTCAAGTTATTATTAACATTAACCAGATTTGTAATTGTGTAAGCCCGAAAAAGGAGGCACTTTCGTTCTCGATTAGCTCTGTTGTATTGACTTGTCCGAGTTCCATATGCTCTGCTGAATTTAACTGGGAAGTACCTATCTCTAAAATGCTTGTTTAATTTGATTCGATGTTTTAACAAATTTTGTATTTTTCACATTTTCTTTTATTTTATAAGGGTTTTGTTGTTAATTCCTTTATTCTCTGCATTTACCATATGTTTTCTATAAAAAAGTGGCTTAAACTGTCACAAAAGTCTGTTTAAATATTCGGTTTGTTTGCGCTATAAAGCTTAAGCAAATAATTGCTTCCATTTTGTATTTTGTAGAGTAAAAAATATTAATGCAAAAATGATTCCAAATTAGAAAGTTAAAATTACGGGCACATGCTCTTGACTCATTTATGTATTGTTCAATTTTTGTTGGTAATAATTTTTAAAAACCTGCTTGGCTTGTACAGGCATTTGATTAATAGATTTCGGGCTTATATTGATTTTTAAACAAAATCTTAAAAATCGAACCACTTTATTTTACTCGCCTTGTGTTGAAAGCTAAGCGAATGGTTTTTCCATTGAATGTACTAAAGAAACCCAGTCACATTTGGCTACTTTGCCAATTTTGAAGATGGAAAACATTGATACACTTTACTCCCTGTCGACATGACTAATTTCTGAGGCACTTGCAATGCAGTGCTTCCTCCTCCTTATGCTCCTAACAATGGTTTTTGGCCAGCCGATGGAAAGGACCCTTTACTTAACTGGCAAACACCACCGGAATGTGGTGTCCATACGGACGCGCAAGCATATTCGCAATTGGGGCGACAACCACTTCTGTGCCGGCTCCATCCTGTCCGCCCGTTGGGTCTTGACCTCCGGCTGCTGTGTGAGCACCTTGCCAGCGAGTACTCCAAGCAAGGTCAGCACCCGGAAAAACCTGAGGGTGGTGCTCTTCACGCGCAGGCGATTGAAAAGGCCGGCGGATAAGAATATTTTTGGCGTAGAGCAGGTGGTGCTTGACAAGGTCGGCGATGGAGACTGCTCCAAATTGGCTCTGCTGAAGCTGGAGCGCCCCATTATTGGCCAAAAGTTTGCCATGAAGCTGCCTACGCAGAAGATGAACACCACCTGGCTGTGCAGGACTCTCGGATGGGGCCGGATATACTTTGTGAGTGCAAGGAACTAAGATAACTCTCCTGAGATAATCGATTGTCCTGCCCTCTAGAATGGACCCTACTCTAACGATCTCCTCCTATTGACAACCCAGGAGTCTCCTGATTGCAAGGCGCACTGCGGAGGCTGCCTTTGCATGGGAAGTTATACGGGCAGGGGCAACATGTGTCAACTGGACTTGGGCAGTCCACTTTTTTGTGGCGATTTTGTATACGGCGTGGCACGCCAGGCTCACAATTCCGAGGAAGAAGGATTCATGGAGTACACTAGTACCTTCCATAAACTCAAGTTCATCGAGAGAACTTTAAATTCTGCACGATCTCAAAGAAAGTACACAGAATTTTTCATCATTATAACCCTTATTCTAAACTGGGTTTTGATGGCTTGATCTGTATGGTTGCAATGGTAATTGAAGAAACAGTATAATCGAATTCTTTTAAAACAAGAAAGAAAGCAAACTTCGGCAAGCCGAAGTTCATATACCCTTGCAGCTATTGCATGAATTAAATACTTTTGAAAACATTTAAATTATGATTTACTTGAGTATATGCTGAAAAACATTGAAACTATGATGATTTGCAGCTCAATTATTAGATAGTTATTTTATATATTTTTATTATTTCTATGGGAGCTATATGCTATAGACGTCCGATTTTGATAAAATTTAAAACATAATTCTGAAATAATTAAACATTGCTATATGTCGAAGAACTAAACAAAAAATTAAAAAACAGAAAAGTTATAATTTTTTTTCATTTATTTTTCCGATTGTTCCTATGGGAGCTATATGCTATAGTCGTTCGATTTTGATGAAATTTAAAACATAATTCTGAAATATTTAACCATTACTATATCTCGAAGAACGAAACAAAAAATTAAAAAACAGCAAAGTTATAATTTTTTTTCATTTATTTTTCCGATTGTTCCTATGGGAGCTATATGCTATAGTCGACCGATTTTGATGAAATTTAAACCGTAAATCGGAAATATTTAACCATTACTATATCTCGAAGAACGAAACAAAAAATTAAAAAACAGCAAAGTTATAATTTTTTTTCATTTATTTTTCCGATTGTTCCTATGGGAGCTATATGCTATAGTCGACCGATTTTGATGAAATTTAAACCGTAAATCGGAAATATTTAACCATTACTATATGTCGAAGAACTAAACAAAAAATTAAAAAACAGCAAAGTTATAATTTTTTTCATTTATTTTTCCGATTGTTCCTATGGGAGCTATATGCTATAGTCGTCCGATCCGGCTCGTTCCGACTTATATACTACCTGCAATAGAAAGACAACTTTTGGGAAAGTTTCATGCAGATAGCTTTAAAACTGAGAGACTAGTTTGCATATAAACGGACGGACAGACGGACAGACGGACAGACGGACGGACAGACGGACATGGCTAGATCGACTCTACTAGTGATGCTGATCAAGAATATATATACTTTATAGGGTCGGAAACGTCTCCTTCACTGCGTTGCAAACTTCTGACTGAAATTATAATACCCTCTGCAAGGGTATAAAGATTGCTTTTGAATGGTTTTGTATGAATACTATGCGATTTGTATCGTGTGTTTTATGTTTTCTTCTTTATAAGGAGTAAACATGATATGATAAGTCATTGCTAACTAAAACCCATAGACTTTTGAACCTAAATATGCCAAAACAAAAAAATGACTGCATTGAAAAATATCAAAACAATGTCAAAAACCCAAGATTCCATCTCCCACACACTTTTTGCAGAGAATATTGACCTACGATATGGTTTTGAAAGATGCCAAGTACTATGTCCCCAATGGTTCAAATGGTTTTTTCGGCCTGTTGATTGAATCTTGAATAACTAGTTTAAGTTCAGGGCCTTTTCGCTATTGCCATTGTGTGTCGTATGTGCGTGTGTTTAATCACTCGAATTGTCTTCCCCATTTATCAGTCGATGATCGCTGATCGATTGCCAAAAGCAGCAGTAGACGCCGCCCCCTCTCAGCCCCGCCCACCCTCTTTAACGACCCCCTTTCACCACCCCCTAGTTACTGTTTGTTTTCCTGTAGTTTTGGTGTCTCGCCTCTTTCGATTCTTCACCTGTCTGGCAGCTAGTTCTCTTTCCGTTTCTTTTTCTCACCCACTCTCTCTTTAAACGCTTTCATTCAAATGGCTTTTGTACAGTGCCACTTCCTTTTAACGAACTCTTGCCCGTGGAATCTCGTTACTAAAATGTATTTAGTGGTAGAACGTTTTTCTAACCAGCTAATAAAACTAAGATGTGTAAATACTGTGGTTTTCTTCTGTATTGATTAAAAAATTAAAATATACACTTCATCAAATAATATTAAATAATTTAAAAAAGCCTTTTAAATAGCTTTTCCAAATATACATGAACATATTTTTGATATGTGCTTGCAGCACAATAAATTTTCTGTAATTTTATTGCCATTTATTAAAAAAAACTGTTTATATTATAATTTTAATTTTTTCTAATCAAATTTTCCATTTCTATTTGTTTTGTGCTCTTCAAGGTAGTTCAGTTTAACCAAATTATCTAACCAAATTTTATATTGTCTTCCTACTTCTCTTTAATCCTTAGTTCTTTTAGTTCGAATTGCCCTTGCTGTTCGCTTTGTAGAGGTTGTACTGTCATAGTTCGATTGCCATTATTGTAGCTGTTGTTGTTTTTTGTGTCATCGCAGGCCGCACCGTTCAAATCGATTGTCGAATTTGAATACACGTCGTCGCTGCCGCTCAGCTACCGCTGTGCCGCTGCTATACCGCCGTCGTACCGCCAGTGCTTACCGCTCAGTTTGCCGCTTTGCTGGCAGAGCCGTATCAGTTCAGTTAGTTGTTAACTTGCCATCGCCGAAGGAACAAGAAGCGCGAAAAGCGAAAAGTGAGACTCATTCGCGGACGCAGAAATGAAATCGAATTAAATGTGCACCGCGGCGCACCTGAATTAAAGTTGTTGTGGCGGAAGGGCAAGAATTTCTTTTCGATTCGCTGGTTGGTTTCTTGCGTGCCATTTTTTGTTCTATTTTGCGGAAGTGTCGCCGTCGACAGCATCCGTGATTTTTTTTGCAGTTTTTCGCTACTTTTTCTAGCTGTCTTTAAAGTACAACTACTGACCTTGGCCACATACAAAATAGTCGGCAACAGCAACAAGTGCCTGCTGAAAAACTGTTTTATTAACACATGTATTTTACATTTTATAAGGCCCATAAAGTGTGTGTTTATAAATAAAAAGTAAATATTTCAACGCACACAAAAGATGTAGAGAGAGTGCGGCGAATAGAGAGATGCGAGAAATTTTCAGCGTGCGTGTGTGTTAGCCTATGTGGGTAATTGTTGATCAATTGTCATGTGCACAAAAAATAAAAACAATAACAGCCAGCGAAAATCATTCAGCAGCATCATCAATGGGAAGCATTGCAAAATCAACCAAGTGAAACGGAACCTAATGAAATAAGCCCCTCGAAAAAAGCGGAAAAACAACGAGATTACAGTGACAAGTGGCAAACGAACTCTAGAACTGAGATTACTCCAAAATCCAAGTACAGTGAATCGAGTTTGCTTGCATCCTCAAGATATTGAATGTGAATCACCCACTGGACAGAGATTATAGAGAATAATCTACAGGAAAATCCAACGACTTCAAGTTTATAATTCAAATTCAGACAAAAAGTCGCCGAGATCAAGAGTAATAACATTAACATATTCCAAAGAACCGAAATCCGTAGAAGGTTCTCAATAAAATTAATATTCCTGAGGCCACAGAACAGGGAGAAAAGTTCACGAAAAGCAATAAATCCAAATAACTGAGGTTCAAGCAGTTAAAAAATGAAATGAATAATATAACCACTGCGAATCAAGTGCAGTGAACAGCAAATTGAAACGTTCTAACAAAGTGCCTCATAATTGAGGCAGGGCGTTGTCGATAACCAACATGAGACCTTTATGACCTGATGGAATATTTTTATTTATTAATATACGCCAGACATTGCAAATCAGCCGATCTGTTCGGGCAACTTTATGGAGCACCCTAAAGAAACTAGAGGATTTTACACTTTTGATCTTGTGAAACAGCTTAAGAACTGAAATATAAATTAGCTGTAAAATGAAGTAAACTGTAAAAGAAAATCTTTCAGATGGTATAAAGAAAAGTGTCATAATCATCATTTAAAATCGTTTATTTAAACATACCTATCATTGATCTTGTAAGAAACAAAACTAAGCTTTATGAAACTGTATACTTGGGCAAGTTTTAATACTTTTGGACAGTTAAATATTATTTACTGACCCTACTCAGCTAAGAACAAGCTTTAATTAATATTTTTTGGAAAAAAAAGAGCTGAAACGCTGATCCAAACTAGCTAAATCTGATCTCGCAGAACAAGAGTTGGGTGATTGAAGTGTAGGCTGTAGCCCATGCCACCTTTTGAAGAGGGTGAAATCGAGCCAGAGGAGCAGATACCTCTAAAGCCGCCACGTCGACAGAGGGCCATGAAGTCTGCGGACGCGGAAGCCACCCAAACGCCGCCGGCGGAGGATCACGAGGAGGAGCATTTGCTGCCGGCCACAACTGAGGCTAGTAATTTGCGATATGCCCGGGCCAATTTGAGCCAGAGCACCCTAATGCTGAGCCACCAGCAGGGCTCCTTCGAGTCGTCCACCGAGCGAACGGCGAGCAGTGAGACATTGGATGTGCTGCCGATATCGAGGCGCTACCAGAGCTACCAGGTGCATCCGCAGCCGAACAACCGCTTGGGGATTCGGCAACAGCAGCAACATCAGCCACAACAGCCACAACAGCCACAACCTTCGGCCTTGGCGAGCGCTCTGCATGCCACTGCCAGATTGGCGGCCAGTGTGGATGCCTATACGGCGGCGGCTACAGCGGCAACCGGCAGCGACTACGGCGACTATATGCGCCAGCATCCGAACCTCAGTCACAGCCACCAGCAGTCCCAGAACCAGCTGCCCCTCCACCATCCCGCACACAATCTGGGCAATCTGAGAGCGGGCAATTTCGTGGGATCGTCGCGACATCTCTATCACAGTCAGTTCAATTCGAATTCGCCGCAAGCGAGACGCTTCACTGCGCAGCGAGACGGGTCGCCAGCATTCGCGGCTTCAGCGGCAGCAGCTTCAGCTTTAGCGGCAACAGCTTCAGCAGTAGCACCACTAGCGCCACTAGCACCACTCGCACCACTAGCCTCCATAGCCTCCTCAACGACCCCATTTGCGGCCCACCAGCCGCCGCCGCCGCCCTTTCAGTTGCGCACCTACCAACAGAATCAATCCTACCGCTTTCAGCCGCGTGGACACCATCGCACCGGCAGCAGCAGCATGTCGCAATCTGGTGAGGATCTCCATTCGCCCACCTACCTGTCCTGGCGGAAGCTACAGCTGAGTCGGGCCAAGCTAAAGGCCTCCAGCAAGACGTCCGCCCTGCTCTCCGGATTCGCCATGGTGAGTGTTCCGTATTCAACTTTACAATAAGGGGTAAAATCATAGGTTGGGCTATGTAAAATTATAAAAATATAATCATAATCGTTAGAAGTTAAATACTAAAGTGCTTAAATAGGTACTTATTGTAAAATTTTACTGGTTATTTAGTTAACCAAATTGTACAATTAAGGGTAAAATCGTAGGTTCAGTCACTTTAAAAATCGCGAATAAGTAATAACTCGGTAATACATTCAAAATTAAAATACTAGAACCTATAGTAAAATTTTAATGCCTTTACTCAATAGATTTTTACACTTTACAACTAATGGTCCTAAAATCTCGAAGATGCCGCAAATAATTAAAATAATAGTTAAGAAATCGTTTGAATTTCGTCCTAATCCTCAGTAATTAAATACTTGAGTAGAACTTAAATACTAAAGTATTTACTAGTAAAAAAATTTTTCAAATATGTAACTGAGGCTGTAAAATTTTCCTAATATGTACATTGTACTTAAGTAAAAAAAAAACAAATTAAATTAATCAGATTTCTATGACATGCTCCGCAATCTTGTAATCAAACATTACCTTATAGAGTGCTGAATACAAATGTACTTAAAAATAATGCCATTCGACAGGAAAAGCGATTTGAGTCAAAAGCAACATTAAGTTAGGCATTACAATATCGTAAAATGAACCCATAAAGAGTTTTTGGAAATTAGTCATCAATTAGTCATTACTTTTCCGTAGACTACAATTTAATTTTTGATGGCATTAGTTTTAAGTACTTTATCATTGACCGTAAGTGTGTTTAGTTTCATTAAACATTGGACCAACTTAATATGCAGGGTCAGAAAATCTGGCAGAAATACTCATAATCTTTTTAGTTTGTTATAGCATTTGTGTTGATCAGCATTAGGATTAATATCCATCACGAATGCAGAATACTCTACCCATAAAACTAATATTATTGCAGTATTAACAAAAGTTTCCACATGGCGAATCGTGCAACGAAATGCAATATGTTATTTGTTCCGTTTGAATGCTTCCCTTACTTACGGTGTCACATTCAAGTAATTTCAATCATGACAGGGATATTTTCATATATAACAAATAGATATATATCATTAATTAGCTGCCTGTACTTTCGTCTATGCCTTACCAACATAATTATTTCCGATGCTGCCAGCGACAAATTGAGGGCCAACAAAATAGTTTTGATTTTATTCCCACCAGCTTTGTGTTGATCTTTTAGGTGCTTGCTACACATGTGTGCTTTTCACCCATTAATCAGGGATAGCTTGGACTATTTGGAATAAGATCTTTTACCAATCAGAAAACACAAAGCTTAACAGATGGAATTAGTGAAGGGTAAAAATTACATTGTATAGTTGAATTCCCAACATTTTTAAAGGAATTCAATGACAGTTCCCACATATTGTTGTCAATTTTACACACGACATAATGGAATTTAATTTTAAGTGTTAGAACTATTATTACAAAATTACAATCATACTGCGAATTTAATAGTAATACTAAAAGTAAACATACTTTAACACAAGATTCCCACTTATTGTATATCAATTCTACACCTGACATAATAAAATATAACTTTAAATGTTAAAGCTACCATATATTATTAAAAATTTGCTATTTCTGTGTAGATTATTAAAAGTAATACAAAATAATAATAATCTTTACAACTATCATACATAGAGTAGGAATGTTTATCTTAAATATAAACTATATATTTTATTCTTGTCATAAATTGATTATTATTTTAAATATTAAAAGTAGTATTAAAGAATTACTAGCAAAAGATTACAATTTCAGTTAAGAGAAGTGATAGTGATACTAAATAGTAATGTGATTTATTCTTATAAATTGTATTTCTAATGTTTCTCTTGACGACTGAAATATTCGCAATTAAATTAGGATTTTTAAAGCACATTTTGATTTAGTTTTCAATTAGGTAATTAAACTAGGTGAAGAGGTATTTATTGGTCTATTTTGGTGGTTCGTCAACTCGTTATGCATTCCACATGTACACCTAAAATGTAGTGGCAAAAGGAAGGGAGGGGATTAGGGGCGGATCAGATAAATTAGTCCATTCAGAGCATATAATATAAGAGCAAACTGGCTTGGTTGCCAAAAGTTTCTCACGAGAAATGGCTAATAATAATAGAGGCAATGCCGGGGCATCGTTTCGATACTTCCTTTAAATTAATACAAACACAAAGAATCATTAATGACTGATTTCTTTTTCGATCTATCCACAAAAAGGTGGCCATGGTGGAGGTGCAACTGGATCACGACACAAAGGTGCCGCCGGGCATGCTGATAGCCTTTGCCATCTGCACCACGCTCCTGGTGGCGGTGCACATGCTGGCCCTGATGATCAGCACCTGCATCCTGCCGAACATCGAGACGGTCTGCAACCTGCACAGTATTTCCCTGGTGCACGAATCGCCGCACGAGCGGCTGCACTGGTACATTGAGACGGCGTGGGCCTTCTCCACACTGCTGGGCCTGATACTCTTCCTCCTGGAGATCGCCATCCTGTGCTGGGTGAAGTTCTACGACCTCAGTCCGCCGGCGGCTTGGTCGGCCTGCGTGGTCCTCATCCCCGTGATGATCATCTTCATGGCCTTCGCCTATCACTTCTATCGCTCCCTCGTCTCGCACAAGTACGAGGTGACGATTTCGGGCATCCGGGAGCTGGAGATGCTCAAGGAGCAGATGGAGCAGGATCACCTGGAGCATCACAACAACATCCGCAACAATGGCATGAACTACGGCGCCTCCGGGGATATTGTCTAGCACGATCTCCACGTTGATGTGGATCAACCGAAAAAGACATAGCGGCTCAGGGCAAGCCTCAGATTATTTAAGTGAAAAATAAAAACATAGTGTAAATTTGTAGTTGATGCAAATTTTGTGATATTGCAGATAACAGCAGATTTTTATTTTATATGCCACGTGAACTGTATTCTGTATTCTGTATTGCGTGTGGCTCTTTATTTTTGTATGGCAATTACTAGACACGAATATGTAGACAATGATGAAAGACCCTAATCGAAGCAATACTTTTTGGACCATCATGTACGATGAATATTCCTCAATAATTAGCTCATATCCGATCTATATATAAATATTATATTAATTGCGTGTATCTGAAATTGTATGCCGTATTTTTTCGAAACCATCCTTGGCAGTCTTCCCGTATTTATTTTTTAAGACTTTTTTGGACACAACTCGATTGTCTTAGCCCCTAATTTAATGTTAGGCCAATTATGTAAGCGAAACCGCGCTGTAATTTATATTATATAATTTACGATTAAATGATTTTTCTATATATATGGGTGTCGGAGTTTTTATTTATAACTTGATATATTAATATATAAAAGTAATTATAGCAATGTATGCCGAACAACTTTAAGCTGCTAGGAATAATTTGGATTGTAGGCTCACCATTTAGTGTTTTAAACTTGTAAAATTTTACACTATATGAATTAGAAACGAGTGATAGGATATTCGTATTTCGAGCTACAATGTTCAAACATTTTATAAAGTTAAAATTATAAATCAAAAATTATATATTGGTATTACGGACTAAAATTTCGTTAATACTTTTCATATTTTCATACATTTTACATAATACAAATTATAAATGAAAAATGATGATATAACGGACTAAAATTTCATAAATGTGTATGTATGCCTTATTTAATCTGGATTGTAGATGTTTTTCTACCAATGTAAGCCAAGTAGCTTTGTAATTTATACGACTGATTAAACGATTTTTTCCACATATACTTAACCGGAACAAACGATTTTCTATTGAGGCGATGTCTTTGGCCTCCTTACGTTTGCGTGATGTCGCTGGAGGAGGAAGGCAAATGGTGGCAAGACATGCTGCTTTGGGGTTGATTAGAAAAGTGACACCGCACGCACAGCAGGGGCCTAAAAGTGCACCCAGGACACCACATGGCACCACCGCAGGCCACCACTGACTTCAGTCATCGAAGACATGTCGTGCCCGGCGCGCGGATACAGTTCCGGAGTTCGCTGTCAAAGGTATCCCGGTGGATCCAGGTACCAGGGCAAATGGCTGGGCAAGCAGCCTCATGGCTATGGAGTGAAGCGGACCAGCGGTGGCTTGGTCTACGAGGGTCATTGGCACCTGGGGCAGCGGCATGGCTATGGAACTCTGCGTCGGAAGGAGCCAAATGGTGGCACACTCCGCATTTACGTGGGTCAGTGGCAACAGGATAGGCGAAGTGGCGAGGGAAAGCAGTTCTATTCCGATGGATCCGTGTACTTCGGCCAGTGGGAGGCGGACCAACGGTGTGGTCAGGGCATCCTCTGGATGCCGGATGGAGGAGTCTATGTGGGCGAGTGGCTACACGACCAAATGCACGGAAAAGGAGTACTTTTTACGGGTAAGTCAAGTGGAAATGGTTTGAAAATACTTTACAACTAAGATATATGTACTAGATGAAGTAATAGTTCTTAGATAAGATAAAAATATATTAATGTATTTGTTAGTTTTCTATAAAAATTGATTAGAATGCTTCTCAAATATTATACTATCATAGCCATTACGTTTTTAATCTAAAAATATAATTTTCTTTTTAAATGTTCCATATTAAATTCTAAAGCCAAAGGAAGTCGCTATGTAGGCCAATTCGAAGGAGGCTGCAAATCAGGAGCGGGAGTTTTCTATCATGACAACGATGGAAGAAGAATTCAACGCGGCTTTTGGAATCAGGACGTCTGCAAAACGTCGCTAATGCCCTTGCTAACCAAATAAAATAATAAATTAAGCCCAGAAGCTTTCTTGTAACACTTAGATAACATATATTTGGATAGAAAATCAGTTTTTAAATAAGAATTGTAACTAATGCTAGTCAGTGCCTGTTGAGCCTGCGTGTGCTGCTAGAGTCTGTGTCTTTGGGCTGCGATGCAGACACCTGTCGCCTGGGTCGCCTTGATTTGCTGGCTGTCGTTGGGTTGTCCTCGGGTAGCTGAAGTGGCCTCCTTGATCTGGTGGACCTTGTGCTCGGCGTAGAGGCTACATCCAAGCTGTTGTCCAATGTGATTACTTCACAGACGCCTGTGGTGGCTTTAGTCTTTGCTTTCCCTTTGGCTTTCGATTTGGATGACTTGGTGAGCAAAGGCGGTGGTGATTCATCGTCGTCGCTTATCTCAATCAGCTGGCAGGAATTGAAGTCCACGTGATCCGAGGCTGGTGGTGTGTTCTCGGTGCCGCTTCCCCGCCGCTACTACTGCCCGCCGCACTTGGTGGCCGAAGCTCAAGCTCCTCGTAAATCTTGAATTTGGATGGTTTTTTGTGGGACTCGTTGATTTTGGTCGTCTTGTCTTTGACTGCCGAAGCTGTTGCTGCCACATTTCGGCTATTGTCCTCTGGCGAAGGATTGAAAACCAATGCACGTCGCAGTACCTTGTTTTGCGTCTTTTCCTGACCCAGGGGTTTCAGCTCCAGTTGTGCCGTCTTGAGCTGAGCGAAAAAGTTACAGGCATAGTTAACATCCCCGACTGGCAGTCCTTGCCTTTTAAGACCCATCTGAGCCGTTGATATAGCCTCCACATGCTTTCGCCTGTAGCGCAGATAGTTGACATGATAGAGCTGCTGCACCTGCAGCATGCAACCCAATGAAGCACTCATCTCTGCGTTCTCCTGCAGCCATTGAGCCGCCCTTTCATAGAACTCATCTAACTGTTCCTCGCTGTTCCTCTGCAGAAAGCTGAGACGTGCATGCAGACAGCCCATTATAAAATACAGACACTTAAGCTGCGAATTCTCCCGAATGTTGGAAGGAGCTATGTCCAAGTTCAAGTAATGATTCAAATTCATTTGAGAGTTGGGACTACTCGAGCGCATGCTGGGCAGCTTTGGCGAGTAAGCGTTCAGCTGCTGCTGCTTCCTGATTGGCTCCACCAGCTGCAGCTGGTCCATGTGGCTGGCCAGGTCAACAATAGCTGGATCTTTGACTGCTTCCTTCTCCGGTAGAGCCAAGGTTTCCTTGCGAGCCAAGGGTTTTATGTCCAAACAGTGTTCGATGAGTCGCAGCTTGGACTGTGCCTTGTCGAAGTTTTCCATTTGCAGATTGGTCCACAGCCAGGAGAGGAATATCTCTACGGTTTTTAGGGCCAAACCGGTTTCCAGGTTCGATCGGAGAACAACGTGGGAGAGCTGCACTTGTTCGCTCAATCTGTTTGCCGAGCATTCGGTGCTTTCTGTCACAAGATTATTGAGAAGCAACATCAGTGAGTTGTTATCCAAACTGGATAGACCGCAGAAAGTTCGCAAATTGTCCATCAGAGTGTCCAACTGTCGCAGGGGCATCATCATCCTGGGCATTCCAGGCTTTCTTTGCTGATAGCGAAGTCTAAAGCGCACTGTTTGCACGGTGATCAAGATAATATCGTTCTTGCCCAATCTTTCAGGAAACTCGGCGCGAAGCTGCTCCACATGTAGCAGCAACAGCTGGGCATGACTCAGGCAATCCCTTCTGGCATAGTAGCTGGCCAGGTGACAAAAACAGAGCATCACCATTGTTTGCTCCCGCTTGTAGAACCTGCCATTGTGCAGTTGCGGCCACAAATCATCCAGCAACTCCTCCGCCCACTTCACTTCCTCAGCAAGGTTCAGTTTCAGTCTGGCCTGAACTTCGTTCTGGGTGAGGAAATGATTTAGGGCTCGAAGATAGGTAAAACGATCCTCCAGCAGACGTCCAATCCTTAAGAGCAGCAGCCAGGCATCGTCCGCTTGGGTTCGATAGCCCATTGTCGAAAGACCATTGGCGGCAGCCACTCCATCGTCGATCAAGGCCTGCCAATCAATGGGGGTCTCCTCAATGTCCAATGGCTCCTGATCGGCTTGGTGAAAGAAGTGGCCAAAGGCCGTGATGGCTTCACTAGCCAGCTCAACCAGCCGCTGCTCTCGTTTAATATTAATCTGCGCTAGGTTCTGCCTGAGTAGCAGCTCTTCCAGAAAACTCTCGTTCACCTCTTTGTTGGCCACCTTTGCTTTCTTAGCCTCCATCGCGTCCAACAGTAGGCCCACATTGGCATGACCCAGCGACAAGTGATCCATGCGGCTGAGGGATCGCTGATGCTTCAGCTTCGAACGCAACTCCTGGCACTGCTTCAGCATGGCGAGATCACTTCGCACACGCCTGGCCAAGAGCACCAGATGGTAATCACTCTTTCGGCAGCGGACTAGCGACTGTAGGGGCGCCATTGAGGAACCATTCAAGTAATCCATCGCAACGAAGAAATCCATATCGTAGAACTGTTTCTTTTGGGCAGGAGTAAGAGGATGTGGCAGTGGAGTGGACTCGTGCCACTCGTAGACGCACTTCTGTATCTCCTTGCCCAGCTTCACCTGATTGTGGTAGTGCAAACAGAGGTGCGCTCTCAATCGGCTGGGATTCGTTAGCGATGCCAAATAACTGGCATGCAGGCGACTGGTCATGTGGGGATCTTGGCAATGGCAGCTGGCCTTGTAGAGACGTCGCAGTATTTCTTGCATCTCCTTGTCGGCAATCAGGGACCGCAACTTCTGCAGTGGCTCCAGAAGTTCCACCAGCAGGGACATTTGCTCCGGACAAGAGACCTGGTGTGCTGCAATTAATAGCTGGTGTCCCAGTTTGACAAGCTCCACGCTGGTGGGACCCAGGCACTTCATGGTCGTGGCCAGATCCATTGAGTATCTAACTACTACCAGCAGCGGTTTGTGGATGCTCTGGAAAAGTAGGTATTAAGTGATGATCAGAAAGCCTGTTTAAGTACCCACCTTATCTGCTTTTTGCTGCTGCGTCGGCTGCCAGTTATTGTAGGCATCCAAGGCGCACAGACCATAGGCCATGATGCAGTGCCTCCTCAAGCTCTTGCAGGCCTCGTGTTTGCAATTGCTGCCCAGTGGACTCCGTGTGACATTTACCGCCAAGGCACCGCAGCTCTTGAGCAGCTTAAAGTGCTCTGCATAGGCTTCGCAACTGCCCTCGCCCTGCATTTGCTGCCAGAAGCACTGGAAGGGTGAGGCGTATTTACTGCAACTCTGGTGGATCAACACCTGGAGGTATTGAAGGGCCACCAGTAGGTCCGTGATCCACTGCTCCTTGGCATGGGCGGAGCCCTTGTGTTCGAAGAAGACCTGGAACTTGCGCGACAGATCCATGTAGGTGCGTTTAAAGTCGGCTGCGGCGGGCTCCTTGACAAAGATCAACTTGATATAGTAGTAGATCAGCTGCAGGGCATAGTTTAGATTGGATTCCTGGCGAAACAGCTCCTTGCACATGCGCAGCAGCTGCAGCGACATTTGCTGGCTAGACTGAGGTCCCACAATATCGATCTGCACCAGGGCCAAGATGAGACTTAGGTACTCAGGGAATTGGTTGGCCAATTCCGATGGAGCACTGCTGGCCAGTAGTTTCAACAGGGGCTTAAGCATCTTGCTCAGACTCTCCAAGAGCTGGAACTGAGCAAGGGACTTGAAGAATGTCCTTCCTCTTTTGCCAAACATAGATTCGTTTAGTTGCGCCAAAAGTGTTCCCATTTGTGTGATTTTCTTGAGCCGCATGGCATCAAAAAGTTCGCCCAGGGATTCGAGGGCATAACGCAGCTGAGTTGTGGCCTCCGAAGGAAGATTTTGCTCTTGCAGCCGTAAATGCACACTATTGAAGTGTTTCAAATGGATGTCCAGATATATTTTGAAGTTCGATTCCCCTTGCAGGCGGCAGGGTTGACCTCGTATAAGGTTGTACAACTTTATACAGGCTTTGAGGTGACTCTGGGGAGAAAATAATGGTTTAAAATAGGTCCCAATTTGAATGTTTAGGTAAACTAACCTGCTGGCACAAACCGTGATGTATGTACCGCAAGCTGGTCAAGTGCGAGTCCCATAAACTGGGCTTCGCCTCATAGGGAACCAGATGTGGCAGCATTATACCAACTATATCGCTAAAGAGATCCCCATTCTGTAGATTATCCAGCAAGGCAATACAAATGTGGTTCTGCACACTCAGCGCGTACCTCAGCGCATTGGAAGCATCAAAGGATCCTCCAGTCAAATCCCGGAACGTGGCCTCCACCTTTTTGCAGGCCAACTCCACTTTGGATCGGCTTCCCTTCAGTAGATTAGCTAAATCACCAGACATTTTGCGGTTTGAAAAAGACTCATTTGACTATTTTAACTAAGACGCTTCCTTTTTTGTTGGTGCTTTGCGCCAGAATTTAAGATTCAATGTGACCCTAGGCTAAAGAGCATAGAAATCTGCACACGATAGTATCGGTATGTCAAGTATTTTTTCTCACAGAAAAATACCAGGACGTGTAATACCTAAAATAAATCGATATCGCTAAGGGTTATCGAAATTTAAATCAACAAACTGATATTTTTACAAAGCCAATTTAATTTTTTTTAATTATTAAATTAATTTTGTAAAATAAATAGGGCCTTGAGAAAAACAAACGCACTATTAAAATGTTTTAGTTTATGTATTTCAGTTTCAATGGGCTGGTACATCTCATCTCGTTAAATAAACGCGGGTCCTGCTCTTATAATTCTTGTTTGCATATATGTTTATTAAATGAAAAATCTTGTCTAAAAGTGTGTGTATAAGATTTACTCGCCACATTCAATGAAAACATTCTACTGCCGTTGAATAAATGGAAACATTTGGGTATGTGGTATAGTATTACTTAAAAGTACATAAAGGAAAACAATTTGGGTGAGTTCATTACGCTTGGTAAGAGATGCTGATAGAGTTTAAATGTCGGGGGAGGTGGGTAACAATGAAAATATGGGTAAATCAATTGGTTTTCGCTTAACTTATGCGTATTCAAAGAAGGAATGACTTAAGAGTTAGTTAAAAGTTCTTAGCAGTAATTGTGTGATCCCTTTCACGCGAAACGTTGACAAAGCCGAAGTTGTACAAATCAAATGTTTAACGCTGTCGGAGAGCAGGGTTTTGAGTTTTGTTTCACAGTTGTTGGTTGAAATTTAACAGCAAGTCATTAGATCTTTAAAAAGTGTACATGTCGTAACTACATGGTTAATAACTTAAGAGCTTAGCAATTTTAAGATGAGGGGAAATCTAACTGACGAAGGTGTACAAACTGGAACTTGGGTTCGGATGAGACTATAGTAATGCATTTTGTATTGGTTGTTTTTTCTTGTATTCCTCCTCTTGGTTTCCCTCGCTTAAACATATATTTTATTTTGCTTTGCTTTGTTTGATTATTACGTTCATTTTCCCGCCTTTTTCAGCTCTCTGTGTGTGTTTGTTGTTTTGGGTGTTTGTCGCTTTAGTTTTTTTTTTCGTTTTTCATTTGTTTTTTAGCTTACATTTTAAAGAAACAAATTGTGGGCTTCCTAAAGGGTTAATCATCTTTTTCTATCAAAATATGATGTGTGTGGCTGTGTGTTTGTTTAGTGTGTGTGGGTGTATATTTAAATTTATAACGTACAATGACGATACAGCGACAGTTGGAGGATTTAACCATCATGCTTTCTCTTCTTGCCCCGGGCTTGCGATTCGTCTGAAATACAAAACTTGTTAGAAAATGCTGATGCTCATTTAATCGATCCACTCACCTCCTGCCTTTTCGCCATCCTTATCATCCTTGGCATTTACTGATGCAGCGGATTCGTTTGCATCGCCATCGGCTTCATCAATATCGGAGTCCTCATCCTCATCGTCTTCGCCACCTTCGCCCTCGCCCTCCCAATCGGAGTTATCCTCCTCCAAATCGTCATTGTACACCTCCGAAAGGGACACCTCGCCGTTGTCCTCCTCGCTATCATCGCTGTCACCTTCGTCGTCATCGTCATTGGAAACTGAAATGCCGCAAGAGAGTGTTGTTTAATAAAACTGATACAGATTGAACTTCCCTAAGTCGACTCTTATTAAATATTAATTATTTTTCAAACAACTCTTCAACAGGTCTCAAAAAAGTAAATAAAAAAATAGAATACAAAGGTATCTTACTTCGACAAGCCGAAGTTTTTATACCCTTTCCTTTGTTTTTTATCATTTTTTTATAACAGAACAACGTTTATATCGATTTATAAGATTTTGATACAATTGAAACCGTTTTTCTGATATGGTAAAAGGCTTCAATTTCGGAGTATATTCGCAACCAATTCTAATTTTTCAATTAAATAATTTTCCGATATTTCCTATTGAAGCTATCTGATATAGTCCTCCAATCTTCCTGGTCATGAAAAAAGATTGCGAAAGTATCAATACATAGTTTTTAAATTGACCGAGACTGAATCAGATAGACGAATTTTAAATGTACTGTGGATCCTGATCAAGAATATATATTGGATATATGTATGCTTAAAAATTGTCTTTTGCGTTACAGACATCTGATTCTAAATTATAATACCCTCCGAAAGGGCATACAAAAGTTGGGAGCATTTAATATCAACCTAAAATGAAAATAAGTTTTAGACACCTATTTTCTTTAACTCATACTATTTTTTCGAGTTAGAGAAGTTCGTCTTTAAGTGAGAACAAAATCTCAAAGCGCCGTGCTTACAATATGTGGCATTGGCCAGATTTAAAATGGCAAAGAACCAATAGAGCAGGATGGCGAAATTTAAGTTTGGATTGCTAGCGGTCTGTTGGGTCGCCTTTATCACAGATTTTTCATCGGTTGCTGCAGCTGCGGATTCCCTCAACTGCAACTCTTTCAGGTACTCATCTAAGTCGTCTACTTCATTGTCCTCCGATTGCGAAGGTGGTTTGTCCTGCAAACTCTTTTTCGCCTTCACGCGCTGCTCCAGTGCCTCGAGCTCGTCTAAATCGATTTCTAAACCATTCAAACAGAAGGCACTGCGCTTATCTGAAAGGCGACAGAATCTAGGGTTGAACAAATGCGGTTTTTGTGTTTACAATCAAAAAAAAAAAAAAAAAAGACCAAACCGCGAAAGGCGTTAAGTAAACAGACGGACAATGAGCTTTAGATGGTGGTTAATATTCCCAATTTAAATTCTGCAGTTTGATGTGAGATATATTTGTCGTTGGAATACACACCTTCCTCCTCGGAATCGTTGCCGTTGACTTCTTCATCATCATCACCATCGGATTGCGCCTCCTCATCGTCGCAATCAAAACTAAAGGTTGTATATTAATTAATTCTTGTTTCTACTCCACAGGAAAAATCCAAAAAACATACCCGTCCAAGAAGTTTAACGATGGCAGCATCTTGAAGATCTTCTCGCGATAATTGTCCACCTGGGTGGCGTCGTTATTAAACAGATCCAGCACCGCTAGATTTTTAAACTCCTCCAGGGGCTTAAGGGTCTCCAGATCCTTGATCTTGTTGCCGGACAAGTTCAGATATTGCAGTTTGGGGCTGGTGGTCAGATAGTTGAGGCCGCTCGAAATCCGGTTGTCGGACAGCTCCAACTTCTTTAAGTTGGGCAGCTTGGGGAAACCTTTCAGTGTGGTGAGACCCACGTTGATCAAGCTTAGCGATTCCAAGGCGGTGTATTCGTCTGTAAGGCCAACTATGCTTGTACTCCGGCAATTGTCCAGATTCAGCTCTGTGATCTGTGGTCAAAGAAATTAAATTGTTATAATAATTTATTCAATTCTTATAAGGGAATATTTTAATGCTACATATAGTTAGAGAACAATGTAATTAAGTCCTGTAGTTTAATATTAATTTTGTTGATTGGATTCTAAACGTTTTATTTATAAGACAAAATAAGATTGTTTATTTTCTTACGAATGAAATTCAATAATACATTTTTCGATAAGACCTAACAGTTTAAATATCGATATAATTCAACAGTATGCGGTATTTTTAACCATATTATGTCAAAGACCAATGGCTATTTGAACTGTCCACTTTGGTCACACTGGTGTAAAATTTTGACGCAAAGCGAGCAGAAAAAAAAGATGGAGAACAATACATACGCAAAAATCGATCAAACGCTGAGAATTTTTTTGTTGAAATGCAAATCGACATTACATGCAAAATAACCAAATTGGCGCAACGACAAACGACTTGGTAAACATTTGCTACTGCTCTAAATCGCCTAATTACGCATTTTGTTTAAATGCAGGCCGAAAGAAAAGTGCCAACGCGCGTTTATGTAACCCCAAAATGTGTGTGTGCCAGCAGCGTGTATGTGTGCGAGTGCCTCGGCACAAAGAAGAATGCGCAAAGAGAAGAATGCGAAAGCAAAACGGAATTGAAAATGGCGGGGGTGGGAGAACATGCCGGCAGACGCAACAACAACATGTTTGACCGTGACGTAGTTTAGTTGTTGCGCCTGTCTGCGGGAAAGTGGGCGGGGTGGCCCGATAGAGGGGAACGGATGCGGTTTAGCCTGATAATCTTCAAATGAATAAACGTATACTTTTGCTTTGGAGGCTGTGCAAGTTCACTTGAGATTACCCAATTATCAATATGTCACGTTGCCACAAAAACGAAACAAGACGGGTGCCGTCCGTCTGTCTCTGTCTAGCCGAAGAACAGTTTTGGTGCTACAGGGGACACTCAAAATCTTGAATATAAGTTAAAGTAGTCTGGACTCGAAGATTGTTTGGGGGCAACTAGTTTAAAGTTTGAAAAAGTTCATTTCTTTTGTACGTCAACGACGGTTAACATATTCAGTCTTAACCAGACTTAGGGTGTAGTAAATTATATCCATTTAGTGATGACGTTATTTTATACATAGGTTGTTAAGCTGTTATTCAAACTATAGAAATCGTATTATCAAGGGACTAATTTAAATATTTTAAAGGGCATATCAAATTTTGAAAATTTGTGTTTTTTTTTTAGCGATAGCAAGGGGTACGCTCCCTAGGGTTCTATACTTTTCTAATCGAATTCCGAACCAACGGATATGAACCTGGGAAGTACTTACATACATAACATACAGATGATTCAAGGGGTCTTGAGGTACATATACAAAGTGTTGTTGTAAATCTAACTCTAATTTGCGCCACTTGAAAAACAGTTCGCCTTAGAGAGTGGCCACTGTACGTGAGCAAATGAGCGAGAATGAATGCACAAAGCATTTTTCTTTGGCTTAGGCGCGAATGAGTGTGTATGCGTTGCCATTTTTTGTTGCTGCGTTGTTGTTGTGCGGTGCATTGTGGGTGGGAGGTAGTGGGTGGTGGGGCGGCTGGGTGACCGCTGATTGAGATTGAGTAGGCTGGCCAGCCAGAGCGCATGTTTATTAATCAGCGGCTTTGTCTTTTCGCCTGCATTTCTTTCGCCAGGGCGATGCAGTGGTGGGTGGAAGTGGGATGGCTAGAGATGGCGTGCAGGTAAACACGTTGGGTAAAAAAAGAGGGGCTGATAGTGGGAGGAGGGGCAGCATAAAGGTATTATGACTGCGCAGTCAATGTTCACATGTATGCATATCTATGCTTTGTCGATTATTTTGTGCATAAGTTTTCTTACGTATGCATGTGTATCTTTTGTGCGTTGTACGCGTGTGTGTGTGTTTGTGCGGATGATGCGCGCGCTATAATATTGTTATAGATACATTTTGGTATCAAATAACCTGAAATTACAACATGCAGCAAACACATACATACACACACACAAACACATGTTGCCGTGTTTGTCACAATTGAAGGCCGGCAATAACAACAACGCAGGCAAAAGGCAAGAACGAGAAGCAAGCAGCATTGCCAGCTGAAGAGATTAAAAAATTCAGGTGCTGCTGCTACTTTCAGGATGAAAAGATCGTTCTGTGTGCGGCATTGTAGTGCAATAAATAATTTTGTTTTAAACTATAACTTGTAATATTTACTAATTGTCAATTAAAACTGCATTTCAAGGAAGCCAACAGTGGGCTAAGGCGCAAAAATGCGCGCACATGGCAACACTGGCGTCACATACATATACACACTCATACAAAGAATTTGCTTATGGCGATCAATTTCTTTTTTTTGTTCTTTTCTTGTTGATGCGGCTCTGCTCTTCTTCTTCTAGCGCTCCTCATGTTGTATGGCATTTATACACAAATTGAAACTAGATTTACATGATGGATGCACTTACACACAAACAATGGGCCTAATTTTTAATTTTAATTTAAGTTTATGGCGCGTTTTTTGTCTTACCTGATTTACTTTGCGTGCGCGTCGCTCCAGTTCTATTCTCTTCTCCATCGCAGCCGCAGTTGTTTGTTTATTTTGTATATTTGGTTCTTTTCCCTGCACTTTTATTGTGTTTTGTGTGTTTGCCTTCTTTTCTCAGCGCACGCACCAAAGGCAAAAAAGACTCGCACTCACACACGGGCGCGCTCGCACACGCTCACTCACACAGACGCGCAGCCTTGCAAATTTTTCCTTTTGAGCTTCTTTCGGTAACTTGGATGCCGCTTTTCCCACTTTTCGTATGTTTGTGTGGCTAAAAAAGAAAACAGTAAGGGAGTGAGAAAGTTAGTTGCTGGTAATTATTCAAATATCACAACTGCAACTGCATTGTAACGCATTTCCTTCGATTCCAGCACATGACGCGCCTTTTCAAACCAGCTTTTACCGAACAATTCGAAGGTTTTCCGACATTTAACACGTTACCGGCCGAAGGAAATGTTTATGCTGCTAGCACGCACTCACCTGGCGATGCTGAATTTTTAAACACTCGGAATCAATTTTTAATTGTATTTTCAACCAAAGCAAATAGAGGTGGGGAACCGTCGATGCCAACATCCAGGTCATCGATGTTTTCAGAATATAGGTTATATCGATGTTTAACAGAGATTATCGAGGCTTATTCGTCCATCTCTCTTTCTGTTAGTTCGATGTTTCGCTAACATTTACCGGTTAGTTCGACGTTTCGCTTACATTTCGCTGTAAGTTCGATGTTCCGGTAACATTTCACTTCAAAACACAAATCCACCAAAAGCACGCAAATTCACCGCTAGGGGTGGAGAAACGTAGATTCCAACATCGGTCTTATCGATGTTTTTAAAATATCGTACCTGTGGATGTTTGGCGGAGATTATCGATGTTTATCCTTCTTTAACGATATTTTCTTGCCACTGTTAACTTTCAACTCCAGTTTTTGCGCACTTCACTCAAGTTCTTGGACACTTCACTCAGAATCTTACTCACTGAATTCTGGTTTCACTCCATTTCTTGCACGCACTCTGTTAAAATTCCTAACATCTGCCAAGCTACACTCAATATTTAACATCACTCATGTAAGACTTTAAAAATTGTATTATCGATAAGTTTCCAAAATTAATCTATCGCGTGGTGTTTTGAATAAACCGCTAGCATTGTTGTCATCGATATATCGCATAAAAATAGGGATGGTTTTTCAATTTTAAGGCATTCAATGATTGGTAAGAATTTTTCAAAAAATAAAAAACAATCTTCAATTATTTATTGCAGCAGTAGTCTGTGAAAATAAATATACATCGTATATGGAATTGTGGCGATTTACTTTGATTTAAGGGGGTTGTATGTTTTTAAAGGCAAAAAGAGCGCGTCATTCGTGGTTTTGTTATTAAAAGTGGACAATGTTGTAGAATTTTAATGTTATACACTTTTTATATTGTCATTTAAAGTATCTTAATAAAATGTTACCCAGAAATATTGACATATTGGGGCATGATAGTCCTGGGGCCCTTTTCATATTTTTTAGCACTAAATTCAATTTTTGTTTTCAATCTTTTTTATCATAAAAAAAAAATTTAAAAACGTTTTGTGATTACCAGTTGATTTTTGTCTAGAAAACGTATTGCAGTTTTACTCTAATTTACTTGATATTGGCACAACCATCTCAAAATATTCTAGATAAAAAATTAAAATAATCATTACTATTTTAAATTTTAAAACCCTACCCTCTCTTTAATAATTTAAAGGTATAAACCCCACTTTTCATCGTTTTCGTCTTAATTCAGGATTTTATCTATATATTTCACAAGTTGATCCTCCATTTCGGTTAAACAATAAGACGTATGTGAACAATATCAGTCTGATAGCCACCCAGCAGCCCTTGGATGGCTTCGTCCTGGTCCAACCCAAGGATTTCCTACGCGATTGTTTGGGAAAACAAGGAAAAACAGCTTTAGCTTGGTTATTAAAAAGTTAAAAGTCAACCTCACGTTGACATGGCCTGTTAGCTTTTCCTTATATACATATGTATGTATACACAAACAGGACTTTACAAATTGGCTGCAAGGATGCGAACTTCCCTTCGTGTCCCTGAACCTGGCACAGCTTTAAGTGAAGTAAACGACTCAATTTGATTTCCTCGCCTCGTTTATTCCGGCTTTCTTTATACCAGATAATTTTAATGCGAGCTTAAATGCACGCCCGCATACGAACAATTTCAGGCCGACCCAGGTATACAGGTAATTTTTTTATCATATCAAAGGGCGAAAATTACTTTATTCAATCTGACACTGAGAAAAATTATACACATAAAAAGTGAGCACTTCAGTGGAAAGTTACTAAGATATGAAACCAAAGGATTTTTAGACTTATTCTTATATTTAGCGTTTTTTTAGCACTTTGCTTTAAATTGCTTTAAGCAAGTGAAGTAGATATATAATTTATAATAGTCCATACTTATAGGTTCTTATGTTGCCAAAGCTCACCAACGTATAAAATCAAAGCATTCTCAGACTAGTGCATATATTTATTAGTTTTTCAGCACTTATATAATTTAATTTAATCCAACCTTATCATGGTTAAAGGTTACAAATATACAAAACCAAAGGAAGTTTAGACTAATGCATTTTTTTAAAATATTTTTTTTCCGCACTTGTATATTTGATTTAGGCAACTGAAAGCAAAATGTATATTTTAGGTATTCCAAACCATTTTGCCAAGAAAATCGAAATGAAAGTAGCTCCATTTTATATAGTACCACCTTCAAAATTTAAGAAATGGCCAATTTTAAGCCAATCTTAATGTTCGCTTAATTTGAATTTAAATATATTAAGAGTGTGTGAAATTAAAAATTGATTTTGACACACATAAATAAAATAAAATTAGGAAACTACTTGAATTAATATTTTTTCAATATGCCTTCTCGGGCGTACAAATTAGTCAGGGGTTCGTCCTTCCGCCTGTGCAAATTTGCCAAACGTGTGTCCTCGCTCCACTTGGGGATAGTAATAAAGGGGTGGGAGTGGGTTGTGGATGGTGGTCAGGAGCACCAGAAGCATCAGGTACCATTATCCGCGGATCGGGTGCAGGGGTCCTTGAGCGCCATCATCGGTTGCACCATCATCGAGAATGCCCCTGAAGAGAATAGCTGCCTGGGGCGTCTAATCTATTAAAAGCGCGTTAATTCTGCGAGTATGCCATCTATTTGTGGTCGCCAAATAAGAGGAAGTGCCACTGGGAGCTTTTCTTTTTCGCCTGTGAAAGTGTGTATTTGTGGGCCGTTAACATTGGTAACTGTTGCTTTGGCAAATATCAGCTTTAATGGCGAGTTTGTGCAGATTATGGCTGATTATAAGGTTATGGGTATACATTATTACAATTCTATATTTACACTTTTAAATAGTCAACATAATTGTTCTTTAAAGGGTTCCTTGTTCTCAAAATGTTGACTGTTTTTTTGTCTAAATAAAGTTTAATGAACCATTAATGAATTCTGACAATTGCCATTAAAATTGGTTGGTAATCGAAGTACAAAGACTTCTCCCATTTGCACTAAAATCAAGACATTATGATTTATTTCTTTACACTTCACTCTTCACTGAGATTATTTTAAAATAATTAAAATAATAAATAATATTAATAATATTAATATTTGTTTGAATTTAAATGATTATGGATTTAAAAGCCAAATGAATTTTTTTTGTAATCATGTATTTATGTAATATTTATAAATTACTATTTTCATTTTTAATGACTCATTTTCGGGCCCATAAAGAGCGTCTAACTACTGTTTACTGCCCTCTGAATGGGTGCTAATTAACTAAGTAAAGCACAGAGATGGCCAAGATAGACTCTCTCTTTGTTAAACTCTCTTCCTGGCCAACACGCACACGCACACGCACACAAACACAGACAGGTGGAAGACCAATCAACAGTTTGCCGTGGTGCGAGGAAAAGCTCTCGGAAAAGCTCGGAAAAACTCGGAAAAAGAGATGCTGCGACGTCGACAGAGGCGGAAAGCAGCAGCCACAAGTTGCCTTTTCGACATTTGCAACAGTTGCTGTTGAGTGGCTTCGAAAGTCGGACGTGGCGAAAGGTATATGACGGATGGATCCGGAATTAAATCCATTCGAAACTCTTATCACTGGATTTATCTTCGTTTGTGTGTGTGCGTGTGGGAAAAATTGAGGAAAATTGAAAACGCTTGGAACGGGAAACTAGTTCAAGTGCAGAAGCGCCAAAGTTGAAGCAACAATGTTGCAAGTGAAATGTGCAAATTCAAATTTGAAAAAGGCGAAATATTAAGACATAAGTTTTAAAAGTAATTAACATACAAACTAACACACATATAATTGATTTAATTTTTGGCAAATGTCTCACAAAAACGAAATTTTGGTGATTTAGCACATGTGTTACTCCTGCCACGATAAAAAATGCCTTAAATTCTAAGCCAAAATTAAACTGAAAGAGAAATGAAAAATCTCTGCTAATTTTATTCAGATTGAAAAATACGATTATAATCTGACCCTGCACACCCGAAAACAAAAAAAAATGTGCAAATCCCAAGGAAATTACCATATGTAATCCACGCACAATCGTAGACTGTGTATATGTGAACGTAACTCGTGCACTGAAAACAAAACTGTTGGTGCATCAAAACTCTTGAAGTTAACATCATAAAATAATATCAAAAAGCTTAAATTTTAAATTATAAATATAAAACAAAGACACCGATTTTTAATAAGTGTAAATCAGACATATACATTAAATTATAAAAAAATACTTTGTATTCTATAATAAGGTGTATTAAATTTTGTTTTTTTTTATGTAAAATATTGTTATAAAAGTATAATTAACATTTTTCTGAGGAGTGTAATATTCCAGAACATTCCTCTACATTATTGTTCTCTGTGCAAAACATATTCTCAATTCAAATTCGTTTTGACACGCGCCTGTAAAGAAATTTCACATTGGTTTTTCTCATTCCTTGACTGTGGCTTTTTTCCCTTGTTTTTTTCGGGGCTTTCCTGCAAATAAAGTTCTGTCGAATTGATTTGATAACAGAATAGAACAACCAGCAACAGGCAACCAGCAACAAAAATCGGCAATCGAGCGGCGTCGAAATCATCACCCCCCTTACCCAGAAAAAAGGTTAGTACATATGTATGATTTTTCGGATGATTCCCCTGATTTGCATTTCAAAGGTTTTTTGTGTGTGATTATCGTGTCTGGCTCCCCCGAAAATGTCAAGCGGCCCACACTGCGTATGATTGATTGGGCCCCAGTGAGCGTGTTCCATAATTATGTTAACGTGTGTGGCAAACGGATTTTCCTTTGCGATTTTCTATTAAAGTGATTTGATTTATTTTTGCTGGAACGTAAAAATAAATTTCGCTTCAATGTGGTGTACCGATATCGAAAGGTATTGAAGCGAACGCAAATTGTGGTGAAAATATAGATATACAAACGGCGTTTTCTGTACAAAACAAAAGCTTTTCAGCTGAATGCTTGTAAAAACCAACCAACCAACCGAATTGCAAATTCTAATATCCAAATATTCAAAGAAATAAATTTATATTTTTTAATAGGGAAAATTATGTTTTATTTATTTTAGTTTGAAGTAACATTTAATCAGTAAGACTTTCTTTAAAATATTAAATCTTATTCTGACTGTTATTTTGCCTATGCCAAAATAGTCAAATATTGTGTTATGCTCTTAGCCAAACCTTAAAACTTGTGCTTTGCACTCCGTCAAGCGTAAATTACCATCCGTCTTAAGGAGATTTCGCCATAAAGTTGAGAGCGTTTTAGTCCTTGTGCAAGCCACTCAACTTTTGAACTGCGGAAACTACAACTTCCGTCGAGATTGAGCTGAAGGTTGGGTTTTAATCTAAAAAGTTTAATTAGCTGATTTAGCAGCTTGCTAAGTTGCTACGCCAAGCCAATTATACAATTTTCCAATTATATTGGAATGCAATTCCTTTTTTTATTAATCGCATTTCGGTTGCAATTAAATAAAATTTCCTTTGGCAGCAGAGCACTGCCTTAATTGGTTTTAATAACTTAAGCCACTTAGAGGCAATTATGTGGCCACCAGCAGGGCGCACATTTTCTTTAACGCATTTTCACTTTTCATTTCAACTTCCGCGACCTTCTCCGTCTGGATTGTTTGGTCTTTTTACGGCGCTTCTCTGCCCGCGGCATCCAACGCATTTTAGCACCTTGACACCTGTTTTCACCTGGACGTGTTTGCATTCCGACGTTGCATACTTTGCGGCGCCACGCGTTCAAGTGATTCACCACTTCCTCAAGCATGGAAATTAATGAGTATATTCATTTAAAAGCGCTTGGCAGAATATCCATTAAACAAGCGTTAAAAATAGCCTTCTGCTGCTGCTTATTTTAACTAGTTTCAAATTTCAATCACGCTTAAGTGATTTATCAAAAACTATAATAATTTAAATATGTATTATCAATGCCAGTCCGCTTTGGGTAAAAATTATGAGAAACATTTTTTATTTTTGATTTTTTGTTTATTATATTTTCTTATATTACAGATTTTCATTGGTTTAGAAGTTTTAGTAATTTTAGTAACTCCAAACTTAAGACGACATCAAGCCGAATATATGTCTGCATTTAATTTACTCATGCATTTATATCAGTGAAATATGTTCATATAAATAACTTAACTGTATTTCCTAGTAATGCGTGTATAAAAAACGCAGTAAATTAGCGTTAAAATTAATAAGCCAGAAGAAACTACTTGAAACGCCCCGCATTTCTAGCCAAAATTGCATGTACAAGTTTTTTACTATCTAAAGCCCTCGACCGAGTTTTGTTGCTTTTTCACTTTGATTTTTTGTTAGTTTTTTTTACATTTTTCCCCGGGTTTTTTTTGTAGTTGCTCTTGGGCTGAAGAGCTCGTGAAAAAAGAGGAGGTGGGTTGGAAAATCCAGCGGACGAAGGATGTAGGGCGGAATTTAGATGCGTTGGCATTGACATTTATGCGCAGGGAACGGGAATTGGGCTTGGGTATAAAAAAAATTGGAATTTTATGGCACATTATTATTTTTACTTAGCAGTTGTTCGCATTGGAATAAATTTTGCGGAAAAGGATGCATGCGGAACAGTTTTATCCGGCAAATGTCAATTTTAATAAACTTTATGCGCCATGAGTGGGAGCTTTAAAAGTCGCGTAAAAGTCAACTAAATGAACTGCTTACAAATAGCATGACACCAAGTAATCGGCAGTAACTTGTACCTTAAATTGCTGGCTGAGATTTTTACTAGCTAATATCTTTGATCTTGTGGAAATATGGAAACATTTAAATTGGCAAAGCGCCAATATAATTTGTTGTTTGTATATCTGAAAAAAAATATTTTGTAGATCTTAAATTCTCAAAGGCATTTAATTACTTTTTAATATAGATACTTTTTATTTCATTTGTTTAGCGATACTTAATTTAGGTATTTTTAATTCCAATTGGGTGAATAAAAAAAAGCAAATCTTTTAAAGCAATGCAATGAAAAATGCTTGATTATTTGAAAGATAATCAATAGCAAAACTTTTACACGTGCCGCCCTAACAGAGACATCTTTATCCCTGTTTTTCGAAGATTCAAATTAAGTTTTGATAAATAATACACTGACTTCATTCTCTCGTAGTTTTTCTAAAATCCACAAGACACATGTTTTACCATTTGAATTGAAATCTATACCCAATTAGGGATAGCATATGACGATCAGACCCCAGGAAATCAAAGTTGAAATCATTAATAGCCTGGCAAATAATGGTCATGTGCTTAACTTTCTTATTTGTTCGGATTGTTGCAGCTGACATTTTTTCAATCGTCTCTGTTCCAGGATCTGCTGACATAAATTCAGTGTTTGATAGCATCTGGCCAGGACCTCACGGGCACAGGCTCTTTTTTGCTCCTGGACATTCTGCTCTTGAGCCTGCCGACATTTCAGCAACTTCTGAGTGTAATAAGTCTTTAGTTCCAATCGCTGGCGTTCTAATTGCATTCGCTGCATATAGGGCCGCAGTTCGGATTGCCTTCTCCTAACCAAATTGCACAAGGAGCAGGCAATCTTAATGGGTCTCGATGGGGTCTTCTCGACCTCCATAGTTTCAACAACCCTGCGTTTTATAGTTTTCTTAATTTTCTTGGGCTCCTTGGACTCCTTGGACTCCTTGGAGTCCTTGGACTCCTTGGGCTCCTTGGGCTCCTTGTGCTCCTTGGGCTCTTTCTTATTAACTACAGTCTCAATGAAAACCCTGTCCAGTTCGTTGGTTTGAAACCAATCCGGATATGATTGAAAACAACTCATTTCCGAGGCATAAGACTTCATAAATTTAGATATTAGATCGGCAATGACCAGGGGTTTCGATTCGAGACTCAAACGAACTTCAGTTTCGGAGAGAGAAAGAGAGATTTTTGATTGGTAGCTCAAAATTCCTTGCTTGTTAACAAAAATGTCATGTGTAGGTTCTAAAGCAATTTCGTTATTATTAAACGTATCATGTTCATGTTGTTGCCTTGCCATTTCGTGGTGCCTTCTTTTGTTTAAATAAAAGTTTTTATGTTTTGAGTCATATTGGTTATTGGGACTTACGTAAGCGGTATGTTGGGTAACATTGAGTGGCCAATTATGGTGTTCGCCTCTAGGTATTATACTCTTTCCGATTTCCTGATTTTCAAAATTAATCGACTGGTTTCTGTAGAATGACAAGTCCGAATTGAAATCTTTAAACGTCTGACTTCCGGATCCGATTGCCGGATTGCTTGCAGACATTCCTTTCATGATTTCCTCAATGTAAACATTCCTCTTTGGCGTTTGCAGTGTACTTAAAGAGCTAGACTCTTTTGTAGAAATAAATGCTTGTCTCTGCACCGCATCATTTGATTCTTCCTTTGGTACTTTAAACAGTGGCGATTTGCTTTCACTCGACTTCGAATTCTTTAATAATGTGTGCGAACTGAAATGGCAAGTCTTAGATCCCTTGTTCCTCTTCTGTGAAATTTTTAAATTGGATTTATATATTTCGCCGTTGGTCTTTCCAGGAAGCAGAGTTAACGATGAGGAATCCTTTGCATCTTTTTCAATATTTAAATTTATGACATTCTTCAGATCTTGATTTTTGTGTTTTTTATGTGTTGTACCTTTTTTTGCCTTTGAAATTTTTAATTTTTGATTATTTTTTGCCATTGAAATTTTTTGGTCCTTCTGCGACTTTTGTGAAGTCAAAGATTTTCTGTCCGCATCCAAAACTGGTAATGGATAATCAATGCCGTACACACCAGTATCTTCTTCGCTACTGTCACTGTGTTTTTCAATTCGTTTTGGACGCGGTTGGTTAAGTCTAATAGATCGCTTTGAGCTAGCTATACTTTCCAGACTTGGATGCTCGGCAATAAACCTCCTTACTGCCCAACTGGCATTATATTTACCTGTCCAAATTGATGATGATTTTCTTGACTTTGGATGGGGTTCTAATTTTTCTGCTATTTTCGGGTGTATTTTTCTTGACTTCGAGGGTAGTTTGTTTGTTTCCGCTAATATCTTGGAGGTTTTTCTTGACTTGGAAGGTTGGTTATGTATGTGTGCTATATTTGATGTCATGTTTCTTGATGGTTTATTGGTTTGTTTAAGAATGTCTGTCAAATTCGTGATTATTTTTCTTGAATTCGAAGATAGTTTGTGTTTATCTGCCAAGTTCTTTGGTGTTTTTCTAGACTTCCAAGGAGACTTATTCCTGGGTGTTTTTATTGAACTTGAAGGTGGTTTATTTTTAACATCCAAGTTCGGGTCAGTTTTTATAGACTTTGATGGTAATTTATATTTGTCTTCCAATTTTGTAGTGGTTTTTTCTGAACTTGTTGTGAGTATATGTTTTTTCGACAATTTTTTATCGTTTTTTCTTGAATTAACATGGACCTCATATTTTTCTGCCAATTTAGTATCGTTTTTTCTTAAATTTATAGGGAGTTCATATATTGCTGCTAATTTTGTGGGTGCTTTTTTTGAGCTCAATGACAGTTTGTTTTCATCCAAATTCGTGAATGATTTGGTTTTTCTTAATTCAAAATTGGGTTTGTATTTATCTGTTTCATCAATATACTTTTGTCTTGATTTTCTTTTCTTTGAATGTGACACCTTGGGATTTTCAACTAATTCTTTCTGATTTGGAACTTCTAACAGAGGGGTTCGTTTGGTAAGTTTTTTTAAATGTTGCAGCTTCTTGGACATTTCCTCTTTTAGGTATGGATCAAAGGATTGTTTCAGCAGTTGACCCACTTGCTGTTCCTCTAGCTTCCAATTAATCCACTGTTCGGGTGTGGAAAATTTACTCATATCGAAATGCCTCTGAATTTTGGAGCGCTTTTGAGGGGTTTTCTTTGTAGAAGCCGTGCCTTCGGCATTGCGAAAACAGGACACCAATTCCCGGTATATGTGTTCATCCGCATCCAATCCTGGTTTCAGCTGGCTCTCGGTGAAGGGGAGCTTGAGTTCGACTGGAAGTGGGGCACTTATCCTTTTATTTGGAGCCACTATCCTAGCATTCTGTTCGATGCGCCTGCGAATGCTCGTCAGTCGCTCCTGACAGCCGCTGGCATAGTAGCTCCATGTTGCCCGGAACACCGAATCCTTGTTGGCCGGCCAATCCAAATTCCGCAATAAAGGAGACAATTCCTGAATCTTATCCCGCAAACAATTTTGATTCAGCACATGGCTCTTCTTTAAAATGTTCATTGCTAAGCTGATACAAACAATTTAAGTACTTGCAATTTTTTATGTGTGGCTTGTTTTTTGTAAGATTTTTAAACAACTAATGAAATAATTTGGCATACTTCTCTGACAATTTGTTTGGTTTGATTGGGCGGCCATTTCTTTTATTGGTTATAGAAATCATATAGTTATTCGATATTATTACTGCTACTGTTTTTATGACCGCAGCTGTATTGCATACATCCATAAATAGTAATAGAGCTAAAGTTAGGGAGTTAAAAAAAATAATAGTACAAACAATTAAATACCAATTTTATTCCCAATTCTTATCGTGTCAAGTCTATTACCCAATAATAACTAGAAAATAATATACATATATAATCTATTTATATTCCTTGTCCAATGATAAAATGTGTGTTAATAAAAACCCACAGACTATTTTGTGTTCAGGCGTCTTGGGATCCTGATCCAACTGAGTTCAGGACTAATTTGGTTCAGGACCGGTACCAACCCCACTGCGGCAAGCTCTGTTTTCTGTTTTGCATCTCAATAGTCGCAAACGCACCTCAACAAGGCGACCACAAAGATTCAGAATCGCCAGACATTTCTCCAATTGATTACGCATCTTGCCAAGATTTGAACAGGAATTTAACTTATCTGCAGGAGGCTTAGAGCACTTAACACTCTGTTTCGAATCGGAAATAGTAGTAGCACCTGATTCCTGGTTCCTTTTGTCCATATTAAGGTAATATTGCTTCAGCACTTCACGATCTCTACGCTTTTTCATCTCTATCATAAATGGTTCATCGGGCTGGCTGCTTGGTCGGCAAAAATCACACAGTTCACACCTTTTTTGGACGACTTTTGTTTGACTGGACACGGTTTTTTTCGATCTCTTTCGTTTTCTCTGCCACATTTCAAAAGCTATAGAGTGGTATTTAAGGCGTTTTACAGGCAAAAAAGCAGCTTTACTAGATTTATGCCTCTTCTTGGCAAAAATACGTTCTTTTTTTGATAAACTTTTAAGATCTTCTCTTTTTACATTTCTTTTCCTGGGTTCAGAGGGCTTTGGCCAAGGAATTTTGGTCCAGGGGCTTCTGAAAGCATCAGGTTCAAGGGAATGCAAGGATAGAAAATCATCTCTATACGCCTCTAAGTCAATGGGACCAAACTGATGCAGTTCTACGGGACTGACAAGTTCCGAGACTCTTTTTGGGAGCCAGGATATGGTGGACATGTTGCTCAAAGTGTCTATTCCATATGATGGCTCACTGATGCGTTTCAGTACCTCTTCATTTAGCGAAGTATCTTCTACCGATATCAGTGAATAATCATCATCGTCAAACACAATGTCCTTGACAATATCTATGCTAGGCGATTTAATACGCTGTATATGCTTTTTAAAAAGGACTGACTTTCCAACATTTTTAAACTTCAGATTGTTGAAAAAATTATCCGCAGAATCCGCAGAATCCGCTTGTTCGAACGATTGCCTTTTGTCTTTAGGTGACATATTGATTCTCCTATTTGTATTATTTTCCAATCTCTTAATATTTTTAGTTTGCTTTGGTGGTTTGCTTTTAGTGCTCACTAATTTAACTTTTTCTAAATTCTTTTTATGTGTCGTTTGTTTTGGGTTTTTGCTCTTAGAACTTCCAATTTTAGTTTTTTCTAAATTTGCACTATCTGTGGTTTGCATTGGGGTCTTGTTTTTTTGCCCGGATTTCTTAAGGATATAATGCTCAAAAAATCTTATATGCTTTATAGAATGCTTACTACTAAGTTCCGAACTCTTTGATGCGGAAAGTTCTTGACTTTCGTCGAATTTAGGTGTTTCAAAGTTATTAACTTTCACAGGACGCATTGTACCTTTGGTATAATTTACTCGAGATTTCTTGGGCGGACCATCTAGCTCAGATCTTCTGAGTCTGGCAGAACCATTTAGTGTTTTAGGACTACATCGGCACACTCGCTCATAAAGTTGTATCAACTTGGGCAGTTCGGGATCATCTACTAGTCTTAAGTAGTTCCTAGGCTGCTTGTTTGCTTCCAAATTCTTGACAAAGTTGGTAGAAGGCGGTGGAGGTGGGCACCTTGAAAGAAGAGGACCCAATTTTGGGGATATATTCCGAAAATCAGCAACTGCCGCAGCGGCAAAACCACGTCTGAGACTCCTCATGACAGTAGGACAACACTAAGTACACGAAAATGAATGGATAATGAGGTATGGAAACGCTTAGAATTTGTTACGACTCCGAATTTTAGTACCGCTAGTCAACGCTTTGATTAAAGCCTCAAAGCTGTTTATTCCTTAGACTTCCTCGTAGGGATTTCGACCTATGTAGATGATTTGATTTCTCGGATGTCTGGAGATCGAATCCCGTTGGCGCAGTTCATAGCACGGGCAATTGGGAAAGTTCAGATCCCTCTGCGGTTGAAATTTTGAAGAAGCCATCTGCTGTTTGGGAAGCGTTTGCTGGGGCCATATTGACATCCTCGACATCGGTAGGTTAAGACAGTTTATCCTCTTTCCCCGGCGAATTATTCTGGTGGCCATGAGTGACGCAAAATGCAACCAAATTTGTCTTTAAGGAGCGAAATTTTTGACTACGCGTGTAAGATGAAAAATTGAAAAAAAAGAATTTAAAATGGTAAAAACAAGGTTTTTTTGTTACAATGGACATTTAATAAAAAGTTGACTGAGTTGGCGTCAGGATTTTGGGTCATACAATGTTCTTTAAAAAAATAGATTATCTATATACTATTCATTTGAAAATCACATTTGATCTTCAACTTTGGAACAAGGTAATTGCGTTGCGGTCAGTCTGCTTAAGCTGATATTATTATTATTATGCATGTCTATATATGGACTGCACTCTAGCAAAATTAAAATATTCACTTTCCTTGTTTTTGTTCCGTGAAAACTTTATAATGCAGGCAGATGCTGGCGACACTACGTTCCGTTCTGTTTTCGCATTTTCCATTTCCCATTTCCCAAGAGCGTTTCCCATGTGCGCCGCCCACATTCGCAATGAGAATAAGAATAATTGTTGTCTGTCCCTGCCTTGAATCGCATTTCTATGCACATTGTGAGAGCCACAAAGGCTCAAAATGCCTCAAATGCCTCAGGGAAGCCGCAGTTCTAACCGCGTTTCTTTGCCCAACAGGGTAAAATATCAAGGTGCGAGGAAATGAATATTTTCGTACTTACTTAATTGAAGAAAACAAACTTAATTTGCTGTGAAAGCTCGTCTGAGTCCCAAGATAAAAGCGTTACAACTTCCTGGGAAGGTAGGGATTTTTCTGTTTTAATTAAACTTTACTTTATTTCTTGTTTTGAATTTATTTTTGTTAATTTTTTTATTTTTTGAATTCATAGAGAATTATAAGTCATCTTTGGAAACTTCTGAGGTTGTTTCTCCATTCTTTAAACTTAGCACCTATCACTTTGTAATTACCCAATGTTTAAAAAAAATTGCCATAAACTTACGGCTATACACATCTGAGAAATGGTTTTTATGATTGATTTTATGGCAACAGAGTTCAAGTTTCGACACACTTTTGATCGTGATCATTATAGATGTGCAAAAAAAATACTCATAGCAACAAGAAACTAAAGAAAACACCAAATTTAAATTAAGAGCACACTGGTAAAAAATACGTAGTGGATGCCAATATTTTGTACTTAATTTAAAAATTTTTTGTTCCGATTTTCATCTATTGCGGCTTTTGGTTATTTTAGATATGAAGGAAGGAAAAAACCATTTTTACCAAGATCTTGTCAAGAATAGCTTCATAGCAGCTTTACTAAAAGTGTTCAAATTAAGATCGTTTTTCTTCCAGTGCCTGGCAGATGAGATCGGCAGTACATATGGCTCTCTGACATCATAGTTAATAGCTTTTAGCAGCACTTTATAGCTTAAGTTGTTATTTGTGTAATTTGTTTTTTTGGCAAAACAAACGAAGCTGCAAGCTGCCTGTTTATTTACTCCCCATGCACGATATGTGTGTTTGTGCATAAAACATAAATTCCCAACGTATCGCATTGGACACTAAAATAACACAGCTGTCGACTGTGTTCTACTACCACCTGAATTTTTGGTACAAATACAGGGCAGATAAAAGTGATTTGTTTAAGTCAATGGCAATGGGGCCATAAACAAAGCGGCAGAAATTATAAAATTAACACAGTTTTTAACCTGATGGACTGTTGAAGTCGCTGAAGTGTAAACATTCGATGACGGTTTATTAGCAATTAATTTAAATATTAGCATTGCCGGGCGATAGGTAAATGTTGGCGCGCCAGCGCGTGGCAAATAAACATGCCCCAAAATATATAGCATAATCATTTCAAAGAGTTAAAAAAATAATTAAAACACGCTTTAGATTAAATTTAATTGTTATTAGTAGGTAATAAGCAGCAGAAATCAATATTAAAATGTAATTGTATAAATTTGGAAGGAGAGAAGATTGATAGATTATTCATTTTATTAGCAGCTCTAATAAAGGCGATAATAAACCAAAATCAAATTATAGATTTAAATTAAACGATTTTGGATTATACATTTAAATTCCTTAAAATGTTTTCTGCCTGCAATTAATTGTGAAATAACTTCCACACTCTGCTGCGGTTTTCCAATTATCTAAATATGGCGGGCAACCTTATGGCATTTCAATTAAATATGAATTTTCTGCGGTTAACCTGATTCCCCTTGAAAAGTGCGCCAGTGATATTTCAGCATTTAAATGCATTTAAGTGCCGTCGCTCCTGATTTCTCACTGCCAATCCCGTTGCCAATTCCATCACACAGTGAAGCTGGCTCAAAGCATAATTGCAAACAATTAGCATGCTCCAGGACTCAGTACTCAGATTCGCATCGGAATCGCAATCGCAATCGCAAGCGGATTCGATGTAGAATAGGCAATAATGATGATGTTCTATTATTATAGAAGTACTCACTTGACAGCGTTCTGTCATTCGCAGTGTGGTTGAACTGCGATATTCGCGGAAAGGAAGCAAAGTTTCAAATCAATATCAGATTTCAGGCATGTCAGCCCAGGCAAACATATCCATATGTTTGCCCTACACTGATACAAAAATGGAATAGTATTATTATAATAGTATGAATTTTAAATTTTATTTTTAATATTGAAAATAATTAAATCATAATATTAAATTCAATGATTATTAAATTAAATGATTTAATATTAAAATACATTAGTTAGATTGAGTTTAGTTTATATTTGATTGCATTTAATTAAATTTAACTTAATATAAATATAGTTTAAATATAAATTAAATTTTTATATATTAATTCCAATTCCAAAAATAGTAAAATAAAAAATGTTATGATTTTTTAGTATTTTCCTATTTAAAATAACTAAAAGCCGCAATGGATGAAAGTCAAAGCGAAAAATATTTAAATTTCTTTTTACCAGTGTAGAGACAATGGAGTTCAAAACAATAGGTAACAATTCTTGCGATAAATAACTTTATTATTATCTGTTTATATCTTAAAAATAATAAGATAAAAAAGAAAACTTTTTTTTTTTGTAAAGAATGTGAATATGACATAAACTTGAATGCTATTAGTTTTTCGTTAGATGTAGGTACTTGAAAACATTGAAGCCTTGTTCCATCATTGGTCTCAGTTTTGTGCGGACCAGCTGAATTATTCAATTTATTATTTCATTGGCATAAGGAAAGCATTATTAGACTCAATTACCTTCCCACTGTTTATGTGTACAGGCGACAAAAATAGCACAAAACAATCTGGTTCCATGCGCTCAAGGGGAAAAAGGAATGCAGTATGATGGACATGTTAAACACCAAATCTTTACATGCCTTTTTTACAGGCCTATCATATATTAAATATTGAACTGAAAAATGGTTTAAGTGCCAAAAATGAATTGTAAAATATATAATTAATTGAACATTATTATTATTCACTACTTAAGAACTTAAAACACTTAATATATTTTTTTTATTTGTATAGTTTTTGGTGTAACCAGAAATACAATCGAGTTCAATATTTTTAAACAAATTCTATCCCCTTTACTTTTATAAAAAGACTTCAAAGAATGCGCCCAAGATTATCTAATTTTAGCCACGCAAAATTTAGTTTATATTTAGCAGATTTTACTTTCCATAATCAAACACATGCATGTTATAGTAGAAAGTGCATTGGGGCAAGGTCAGTTTACACAATTGATTCTGCCATGTGCGTGGCTGCCTTTCATTCACGTCCAATTGACTTTTTAATGGGCTTCACATTTGATTGAATGGAAATTTCACAGAACCTAAGCAACCAATTGCGCAGATCGAATGCAGTAAACAATTATTGTTGATTTGGGAGATTATGCATTCGCTTGCCGTAACATTTGCTTCCCTAATCAGCGGCAAACCTTTTTTTTAGAAAACTCATTATTTACAATTATTACGTACGTGTTGGGTGGGAAAAAGTATGATAATGTGCCAAGTATACCCAAGCAAATATTTTTTCAAACCCTTAAACCAAAACGAGGCAACATTACTGGCAATAATAAACGCAAACAGCAAACAACCGAAGTTTACTTAAACAGCATATGGGAAAAACGACCCAAAGCTAAAGCCAAAGTTATGCCTAAGTGGCAACATTTCTGCTTTTCGCCTTTCCCCTGGAAAAGCCAAAAAAAAAACACACAATTTTCCTGCCCTCCAGCTAGCAAAATAAATTAAAGGGACTTGGCAACTTTTCTGCCTTGCCTTGTATTTTGTCTATTTTTTAATTTTCTACAATTTACCCGGATAAATAAATTCAAAAGGGAGTGAGTGGGAATGTCCTGTGGCCAGGTCTAATGATTGAAAAAAAAGGAAAAAGAAGTGATAAAAAAGCTGTGGGGCAGTCAAGAAATACTCTTGCTCAGTCGTTTTCCTTTCCTTTCAACTATTATTACCTTTTATAACGTTCAAAAAGTGTTTTTGCTTGCCTTGGGGATATGTATTTACTTAAATCCTCTCAAAGCCAAAACGCCTCCACTTTTCGTTAGGGTGCCACAAATTGACCGTTCTGCTGTAATTTAATTTGAATGCTGAGGGAAAGTTTACACCAGTTGCAGAATGCCATAAAATATGCAACTTTATAAAGAAATAAAAAAGACCAGTTCGAGGCAACAAAAGAGATTAAATTGCGTAGCTGCCCTGTCAACATTAGCCCCAACTTTTTTGTATGGGCGCATTGAACTCTGTTTAAAGCTGCAGATAATATAAAATGTTGCCATTTTATTTATCTTTCCACATGGCAAAAGTTTTGCGCTTTAAGCGTGTGCTTGATTACATTTATATTTTTATTTAAGCTATACATGTGTTTTAAAGCATACGTTTTAATGAGTCATTTGCAGAATGACTTGAGGCATTTCTTTCTTTCTACAAATCATCCCAATTAGCGATTGCACATGTTTCTTCACATTGCGTGGAAGAAACATAATTTCATCACGTATACATCAGTTGAGTTGGCTTTCCCCAGCAGTCATAAAAATCTATTAAAAATCAATTTGTTAGCTGCAGCTGCTGTCTTTAACTAATTTGTAGTCCAGAACTTTATCCCCATTGAATGGATGTCTAATTAAAGTGCTCGAGTCGGTAAATGCCGAAAATTAATAAGCGCAACACGTGCAGCGGTTTCGTTTGGCTGTTCGCAGGATGTTTTCCTATTTTTCCCACTTTTTCTCAATTCTGTGGGGTGGTGGGTGATAAGTCAAGGCCTCCTGGACCTGGGCAAACGCAAAGTTTGCGGAGCAAACCGCTTTGAAGTCTAATAGGATTAGAACGCCCAGCTGTGGGCATGTCTGTCTATGACAAATAAACTCCCTTCTGTGGCTGTGTATCTGTCTATCTTCGGCATAAATAATATTCAAAAATGTAAAGCAAATATTTAGAAAGCGAATATTGCCAGACGAGGGTTCCTTATATCAGTAAATATTTATCATATTCATGGCTATCTTTAATGTCAGTGTGTTGGCTAAATTAAGGCCAGCACAAGCGAGTAATCTTTTTTCTGCCTTGGAAAAAGCAATAAATAAAAATCTACTCAAGTTGTCTGGCTCATGACTTAATAAAGCTTAGCAGAGTGAATTTACCCGGAAGTTAAACTATACGACATTGAAAAAATAGATTTTATATTTTCCTTTTGTTTATTTTGAAGTGGCAATAAATTCATTTAAATTTTTTTTCTTTATTTTTCAGTAGGCTACAAAATACGTTAAACTTCTTAATATATAAATTTAAGTTGATGAAAAGTTTGAAAAAAAAATACAAAATTTCCTTTTTCTTAAATTTTTTGTGGTTTAAATTGAATTGTTTTTTATTTTTATTATTGAAAGCAAGTTGATGAGTTTTAAGTTTGTTGTTATAATGTAATGAATTTTTAAATATATTAAGCTTTAAAAATAAAATACATTTCCCCAGGATGTAAGCTTGCAATTAGTATATTTATTTTTATTGAATATAAACTAACACGATGAAACACCAAATTGAGACGCGCAAATGTATATAGATAAGTAAAGGGTAAATGCTCAGTTTCCAGTTCCAAGAGTAATTTCTTTTGAAGTCCGTTTCCTTTGATCTTTGGGGTCAGTTCACATGATGTTGTCAATCGCTTAGGCCTTGTCAACCACGCGATCGTTGAAGACAATCCTTAAATCGGTTTTGGCCATGTTGCCGAAGGCGCCAACCAATTCCGTGAGATTGGCATTCGGCAGTCGCCTGTCGAAAGGATAGCCCATGGTGCGCCTGTCAGGATACAATTTGTCCTTCAGACCGCAGAACGAGTAAGCCGTGCTGCAGGCATCGTTGGGTCTAATGGGCGCCAAGGAGGTGAAGGTCAAAATGTGATGGGCGAACTGATTGAGCTATAACACTCACGTATTATTCTGCTGCACAGAGTCCTGCGAGTAGTCGGAAATCATGACGAACAGGTCGAAGAGCATGCCCTGGGCAGTGCCCTTGGGCAGCAGAAGGTGCTGTGGCCACCCACAGCCGCAGAAGCGGAAGCGGGCCAGCTCGTCGGCGGCTGTGGGCTGATAGTCCGCCCCAACTGGCCGGAACGAGCGCTCGAAGGGAATGGCCACCGAGGACTCCGTCGACTGGCGGCGTATGGTGTTCACGCCCGGCACCACTGGGGATTAATTAAACAGTGTAAATTGGTCATAAGGGAATGTCAAGAGTGCGAAACCAAAATACATGGTAAATAAAACACCTATTTTGTAATTTTAAATGTTAAGTATAGAGAAGAGAAGCAAAGTCTTTGGTTTGGCTTACTTTAAACCGTTAAATGTAATTAATGAAATACTTACAATCCACCGTAAACTTGTCCATTTCGACGGCCAGCAGTCGCTGGTCCTCCAGCCGCAGTGGCTGATTGCGCTCATCCACTTTCGGGCAGATAAAGATGCGGCAGGTGCCCGTCCGCTTGGCCCCACTATTGGTCACATTGAAGGTGTAGGTGAAGGGGGCATTCTGCAGGTGGGTGAACGAGGCCAGGATGTTGCCATCGGCCGAGGGTCCAAAGTCCAGACCAGCTGCCAAATCGGCACTCGACTTCTGCCAGTAGGTCAACAAAGTGTTGGCCTTGGTGTTGGACTTGCCAATCTTGGCCTCGATATAGTCCACCGACACACCATCGAAGTTCAGCTGGGCGGCATTGTAGGGGGCCAGACGGCTCTTGAACTTGTTGAACACCGAGTCGATGAATCCGTGCCACCTGTAGAAGATCGGATCCCTCATGGCCGTGGTCACATCGCCCATCACGCCGAACTCCTCCAAGTGCCGTTGGTCGGGATCGTGGGCAAAGGAGATGATGTTGTGGCCCTCGTTGTGCAGATTGCCATAGAAATTCGAGTTGATGGACAGCACGGGCGAGGCTTCAATCATGTTGCCCAGAATATCGATGCCACGAACTTCGTCCAAAGGCGTACGATTGCCAGAGGGCTGCGGATCAGAAAAAACAAAATATTAAATAATACTTTAATCGCATTAAATAGACATCAATTCGATCTCAATTATCAAGTGTCATGTAAATATATTCAAAATATCGAAATCCAAAGATTGTGTAATATTTAAATAGAGTAACTTACAAAATAATTAATTAATTTGATATTACGACGAGTTTCAACCTTTTAAGAAAATCAATTTGAACTTTAATAATTTTAAAATTCTATATAAAGATTAAATTATTGCTTTTTAATGTTGAATTCTAAGTTTATATATCAAAATAATTTAAGAAAAGCACAAAACTATTCAAAATTGTCTGGTGATAAAAAAACAAAACAAAAAATACAATAATAATCGCTAAAATAATAAAAAGTACTAATACAAATTTGTTCCTACTAATATAAGAATTATGAAAATATATTTCAACATATAAAATCTAACTTTTTAAGAAAATCAATTTAAACTTTTATAATGTCAAATGTTCAATAAATATTTTTCAATTCCAAACTCTAAATACGTATGTCATTTGTAATTTATCTATAACCTACCCCTTTTTTATTTAAGAGCTGGTCAATTGTAATTGAATAAATTTTAAAAAAGTATCTAAACTCACATCGTCGACATATCCTTGATCGATGGCGGCCAGGACGCGATCCCGCCAGCGCTCCACTTCGGAGAGCTCGATTTTGGCATCCTCGCGGTCCACATCCCTCAACAACTGATTGGAGACTCGGGCCGGATAGGTGCGGTTATTGACGCTGGACAGGATCTTGGGGAAGTAGCCCTCAGGAATCTCAGCGCGCAGATTGTTCAGAGGCTGGACCCTCTTCAGATTATTGCAGAATCGCTCCACATTGTAGCGGGCCAGGATCTGGTGGTGCATGTAGTAGAAGAGCTCGCCACGACGGTCCTTGTTGACCACCTCCATGGGTCCCGTGGTGGGGTAGACCAAGTGCCAGTGCCAGTGGTGGCTGTTCACTCCGATGTCCTCCCGGAAATAGGCCAGTCGCTGCTCATCCTCGCGATCCGAAGCCGTGTAGTTACGCGGAATGTCCAAGTGGACTCGCGCACCACTGTTGTCAATCACCGAGGCCTCCTGACGGGCATCCTGAAATAAAACAGAAATAATAACAATTAGCTGGTTTTAAATACACAATCCAATAAAATTGTGTTTTAAGTTACAGTTTATTAACAACATTTTAACTGAGTTCTATTCTTTATCAATATACTTTTTATACTTTATTAATGAACGATATACTTACCCGAAAGACGGAGGGCTCCACAAAGTTGCTGGGGAAGATCTGGGAAATGTTGGTAATGGGCACTTCACGGGTATCCGGACGATGGGCAATGGCCACGGCATAGGCGTACTGGAACAGCACGGGATTCACACGATCCCTAAAAATAAGGAATCATTCCCTGATTAACTACAAAACAAATTAAAAAATAAAGTAATACCCACTTGGTGTAAACGGAGAGGGACACAAATTGCCTGAGATTGGGGGCACCCATGAAAAGCGTGATCAGTTGGCTGGCAATCTCCCGATGGCGATCGTTAAACAGGGAGAACTGGTTCTTGGGACCCAGTTTCTTGGTGAAGTCCAGATTGGGAACGCTGGCCAACTCCTGAATGGGGATCTTCAAGTCCACATCCTTGGAGAACCGATTGCCCACCTCCTCGGTGTCATTGCGATAGCGATCCGTATAGAAACTATCGGGCAATTCCAGCACGGTTCTACCCGAGTCACGGGTGGTGAACACCGGTTCCAGAGGACGCTGGAACAGAAGCTCAAGGGCTTTCAAATCCGTATTGGTCATGATTGTTTCTATAAAACTGGTCTTTCAACTGCACTCAACGAAGCCTGTTGGAGAACTGTGATTTTGGAAACGAAACGCTAACCTTTTATAGTCAACTGGCAATCAGAAAAATTTTTAAATAAAATATAAAATATAAAATATAACCACAAAACGCAGCCTTATGATGTGGTTTTGCTGATAAGGCTTTGGTTCTGTTTGCTTAAATAAAATGCAATAAGAACTCTTGCCGCAAAGTGATAAAAAAACCGCGGTGTCTATAAATGTAAAGCAATACAGTTTTAAAGATAATCTTTTGTTAGTTATTTCTAAACGGAATTAATAACAAAATTTTATCAAGCATTGTAACACTTTGAAAACTTAATATTTACCATTTCCAATAAATTATTTTAAAGTTTTACCAAAGTTATTCATTCCGGGGGAGGGGTGCTGAAATTGAATTTCTAAGTCTTTGCCAAAAAGTACCAAGGAAACCTTTTTTGCGACCACGCGAAATACAACTCCTGAATGTAAACAGCCTGAAGGGCACCGGAAAAGCTTCTTATTCGCATAGAAAATAACACCGTAAACTTACTCAACAGGCTGCCACGCCCCTATTTCACCGCGCACCGCCCAGTGTCAGGCCATAAATTTTGTTTTTGGAGCAGACTTCTCTTCCTTCGACGTGGCCCATAAATTTGATTTTTGGGGGTGAATAGCACAGCATATATAGTAGCTAAGAACTAAGAACCAAAGAGCTTTGATGATTAAAATATCTATACTGTAAATCAATTTTTGTCGCTTCTCCGTCTGGTCAGAAGAAGGATGTTGGCCAGAAAGCAAAGCGAATGGCACAACTTTTGGCCATTGTCAATAATAAATGTTTGCTGCCGACTTTGGCGTTGAAATGTGTGCGCATTAATCTGTGAAATTGACAGCAAAACCAACAACAACAATAGCGTGATAAACAAGTTTGCATAAAAGTGCGGGAGCGGGGGAAATTGAAAAGATGAATTTTCACAATTTCTGCACTTTGGCCATAACAACATGAAAATGACTTTTTATGCCCGAGTTTGTTTGCCCAACTCGTCGTACTAGTGAAATACCCTCATTTTATGAGGGTTATGTTACACAATTTTAAATTTTTTCATATTCCTTGGATTTTGAAAGAGGGAAGAGGATGTGATCGATTTTTTATTCCATTAAAGGAGGCTATAAATCTTGAATAGTATTTAAGTTTGAATCTTTTAAACAAGTAGTAAAATAGCATCATTAAGTGAGGGGATGTTACAGAACTTTACATTTGTGTTTATTCTTTGGAAGACATTGTAATTGAATTATTTGATTAAAGTAAATAGATCTTAAGTTTGACTTAATTAATCAATTTAATGATATTGTTAATATGATATTTAATAATACTACCACCATAAAGAGTAAACTCAAGTCGACTTTTCCCGTTCAACACTTGACTCTACGCAAATATTTATCCCAGCAATGCCATTTTTCATTGAATATTCAACGACAGCCTTGGCAAATGTGCTCCAGATTCCTGGGCAAAAGACAAACTTGCCTTAATTAATTATAAAGTGTGGGGACGTATGTGACTGAGATTTTGGAGGGTCTCAGAATTTAATTTGTTTAAGTTGGCAGCGCGAATCGAATTAAAGCCAAGAAAAGGTGGAAAGCAAAAAGAAAAGCTTTTCAGTAGGACACGTGAAAAGTTTGCACTCACAGGCAACAAAATACCCAAACCTTTCGGCAAGTCTTAAAAAACACGCAACTTTGTAAAAGGTTGAAAGCACTTTTCCTGCGTGGCATTATGGGTGAAATTTTGGGCCATGAAAAGGATTGTGGGGCTGCGATAATTACCCGCTGGCTTAAATTTTATATTTCAGCTTAAGCAGTCTGCGGCGAGCTGGAAAAACACATGCCTACCCTTAAGCACCCTAAACTATTCATTAGTTGTGGGCCAACCGCAGGAATTTGCGTCTGGGTTTTATCAAAATTTCGAGGTGGCTTCGCTTTCAATTGTTTGCCCACTTGTGCGCAATACTGATTAAATTTTCATGGCTCTAATCTGTTTGCAACTTATTAGATGCGCTAATGTGGGAGGGTCTTTTGTAAACACAAAAAAGGATAGAAAAGGGTGTCGGAATTAATCCGATTTGTTTTGTTTTATCTAAAATAATATATTACATTACATTTTCTGTCCCTTTTTCTTGGAATAATAATACGATGAAGTATATTGTGAACTGTATATCCGAGTGTGTTTTCTCAAGATGACTAAAATATTAATTTGACTTATTGACTAACTGATTTCAAATGAACATTTTTTTTTCCAAATGGCTGTGTAGATGTAAGAAGTCCATATTGTGACAGTATTTCGATGAGATGAGACAGTTTCGTAAATTAACTATTCCAAAGACAGATGACAACAGAAATTCGGCCAATTAACAGTAGACCTTAATTGGTTTGGGACCGCATCAGAAAGAGGTTCTTAGCCAGAATCAATGTTGGCAGCAGCTTCTGTTGGCCATCAAATCAAGTGACAGGCGACTTTACTAAACGCCAACGTAATGGGCCACACATGCATGCAAATCCCTGACATCTAATTAAATTTCATTCCTGAAAGGCAGATTCGGGGAAAGTGAAAGTAAAAGAACAGGAGTGAAAGTAAAAGTGAATTGCTCCCGCAGGACAATAGAGATAAAATAAGTAATTTATCAAAAGAAGAGGTAAGAACAATGTAATTTCCAAAGTCTGTTTTTGTCCTTTTTTTTGTTTTTTTTTTGTAAAAGTATTTTGAAGTTGCATTTTATTTGTCAAATCTCCTATATAATAAACAATATTGAATTTATACCATTTTTGTTTCACGGTCAATAATTCCTAAAAATCTGTCATTATATTTCTAACTGTCATTGTCATATAAATAATCAATGTTAAGCTCTACTATAGGGTATTCTTAGGTCGATTAGTAGTAAGCCCTTGACATTGTCGTTTGTGTTATACAGCCTTTTTTGATGGCACTTCTTGATGGCGATGTGCTCTTTTCCCTGTGTCAACTGCAACACATGGCCCGTCGGAAGTCCACTCAGTTTTCAGTCACATTTACCGGCATTAGGCAACTGTAACAAATCATCAACTGACGACATTGTCACATTTCTCACTTCATTTCGTTTTTATTCGCTTTTATTTCGCTTTTGGCCCAGACAGGTGTTGGCGGGTAGGTGGGATGTGGGCGGTGGGCGGTACAGGTTATTAGTTGCCCACCGCCTCGTCATCTGTCAAATGCCAAATTGTGGCAGCTGGTTCAGCTTGTGTCCCACCAAATGCCAGTCGAACAAACTCAAATAAAAACAAACTCAACCAGTTGCCGCCACAACGTTTCCTTGACTGCACTGGTAAATTTTACCACAACAATTGGATGACGGTTCTTATAAAAAAATAATTTTATAGAGTTTTGTATTTTATTAAATACTTTAAACTATTAATATGATAAATATATGCCAAATAAAATTGCATTTTTGAGAAACTTAATATTATGTTTTATATTTTAAATTTGTTAACAAATTTTAACAGATTTTGTTCTTAGTAAACATTTTTCCCTATACAAATTTTTTAAGAAACTATTTCCATATTTATGGAATAGTTTGGAATGGAAATATTCAACTCTCATATATAAAAGGTATACCTGTTTTTGCAAACTAAAGACTTAAATGTTTAATGATGACATGGTTATGCATTTTTCTCTCTGTGTATCTCCAGAGAGATCTGTCTGCGTCTGTCTGAGCGCAGGTAATTGAACAACATTTGTGGAATGACATGGAAAGAATGGCCGTGAATGGAAAGGTAGCAACGGCAGCAACTGTAACAACAGCAGGAACATCATCTGGTTCAACTGTCATGGAAAAAGGGACTGAGAAAGAGACGAAGATAGGACAGTAGAGAGAGACGGGAACAGGTACAGAGACAGAAGGGTGGCGGATGATTTTCTGCAATATTAACTCTGTGGCCATATGCTCCACACTGCAGATTTGTCATACACACATTAATTTATTGTGCCCTTGAAGAAGTTACTTTAATAAGAACGATTTGGTTTAAGTAAAATTCAAATTCTGTAAAGTTATATCAACAAATCTTATTATTCCAACTTTCCTAAGATTTTTGCCGTAATTAAAGCTTAATTTGCATTTGAATGAATCATTAATTTGGCAACATTAAAAATTTAAGGTTGTGATAATGCTCTTGCGTGCAATCTTATATAAAATATAGATAACAGATATATAATGTGATAAGTGTTTATTAAGTATTTTACTACAGTCAAATTTCCATTACTTAAATCACAAAAATAAGTTAGATTTGTAGGGACTTACATTGACTTAAATTGACTTGTGCTTACGATTTTTCTTGCCAATAAAACTATTTTAACTTGTAGAGACTTCCTGTCGGCAAAGTTTGAGCTATGGAAGCTTGACTGTATTCCCTTTCCAAGTGGAAAAATCGTGAAGCTCTTATGGAAGCCAGGATTATATTTTATTTTTCCCGTTTAAAATAGCTTCCCTCATATTTTCCGCTACTTGGGGCGTTTTTTTTCGCTCGTCCTTTGAACACGTGCCTCCAGATAGCCGCTGATCCACCTGAGTCCCTGCTGTTTGCTCTGATAACTCAGTTCGACGTGCACCGGGGTCTCCATGTCCACGGCGGGCAGGAGATTCAGGTCCAGTCGGAACCCTCTGATGTAGTAGGAGTAATTGGCCTTGAAGGGACACTGTTTGGGAAAGTTGCTGAAGCGTTCCATGATATTTCGGCCCAAACGCAAGAGGGGCACTTGATTGCGATTGGCCAGCACCTGGCAGCCATCGGTGGTCACATTTAGCAGGACAAAGTCCGTCAACGGCCTCCTTCGCGGCAGGACGATTTTCATGAAGAAATCATGGTCGGCCACTGGTTGCATAAGCATGAATTCCATACGCCAAGTGCGCCGCTTGGAACTTTTACTTATGCCACAGTGAAACTCCTTGAGAATCCTTGATTTCACATCCTCGCTGCTGCATGTAAAATTATCCGTTTGCAGCTCAAAGTTATTCTGGGAAATTCAAACGTGTGCAAGACAGATTAATTCCATGCCGTACCATACATACATCACATCACGTATACGCACCTTGGCCCCCGCCTCCACTTTCCAATTAGGGAGCCAGCAGCAGAGGCAAATGATTATCAACACGCCCAAAGTCTTTGGTTTCATCTCCTTTATTCACAGCACCGAACAAAGCCACTTCAATTTTGCAATACACGTATAGAATTAATGCCCATATGCATCGTCTAAATGGAAAACTCGAAACCAAAATCTCCTGATGCGTGACTAATGCTAAAATAACAATCACCATTGTTTGCTATAGTGGAGCAAATCGAGACTTAAATACAGCTGGCGGGAAGCGTTTATTGAGCTGAACAAGCCCATTTGCCTGGCTCATTATAACAATAATGAACAATGAGCTACGAAATATTGAACAGGATGTTGATATATGCATTGGAAGATTATTTATGGCATGTCTTATGCAGCATCAATAATTAAGTTCTTTAAATTCTTATTCGCTAATTTAAGCTGTTTTTAGTTTAATGGCTAATGGCTTAGTTTTTAAATCGGATCATTTATGACATTGCTCCATAATCACGTGAAATATCTTTGTCAATTAACGCTTCGCACGAAAAAATACAGCTTATTATAAACGAGAGTAATTAGTCAAATGGATTACAGCCTGTGGGTCGTAATTAACCATGGCAAATGATAATAATTTATTCCGAAATTGTGCGCCACTGCTTTAACATTATGTTCAGGAAATTCTACGTGTTTATAGTGTTAATTTTTTCTTGTATTTATTATCATGCAAGGGCAAAGGTACATTTTATGTTATAAAATGCATTAAGAGTGTTATAAAATGTAATTTTTTAGGCCAATTTTGACATGGTTTTTACGAACTGCACCTGCTTTAGTGAAGATCCTGAGGAGATGTTATCACGTTTAAAATGTGGTTTGAGTAAGAGTGTTAAGAGGCCTTCCTTCAACATTGAGTTGCAATTCCAAAAGCCTGTAATCAAGTTCTTTGTAAATATGAGAATTGTTTTACCGCGACGTCAGGGCGCTGATTTTACCTTATTCAATCTCTCCGGAATCGATGGCTGCAGTTTGCTGTCCAATAAAAACCAGATCGCCTTCATCCAACTGGGCCGCAAGCATATGGATCGATTTAGTAATGTTCCCAAGCGATGTCCTTGGCCCAAGGATGTGTCCTACTACATCCGTGGATTCCGAGCGGATATGGCTGCCATGCCAGCATTTAATTTCGAGTCGGACATGAACCTGTGGTTCGACCTGGTGGTAAATCACCATAAGCTGATCCGCGGCTTTATCCAGAGCAAGGTTCAGCGAAGAAGGAGTCACAAAAATGCAGCTGACGAGGATTAATAGGGTTCTCACACTTGAAAAAAAAAAGAAAACATATAGAAAGTGGTTTGTTTTATTAATTTTTTTTGGTCTTAACTGCACTACCAAATTGTTTGTTAAATATACATGTTCTTTGAATAAATCAATGTTTGCAACGCTCTGTGTTAATTTTAAATCACTATTCTAAAGCTGGTTTTGGTATGGCTTTTAAAAATAATTTTTTTCTTTTTAAGAATTGTGTATATATATCTAACAAAATACTTTTATGAAAGAATAACTATAATATGATTTTTTTTTCTTTAGAGAATTTTATTTATTCCTCTTACAACAAACCTTTATGAAAGAATAATTATAAGGTGGTTTTTGTTGTTTAAAGATATATTGCTTATATATTCAACTTACAAACAAAACTTCTCTGAAAGAATGTTTGTATGATGGTTTTTTCTTTACAAATTTCATATATAAATCTTACGAAATACTTTTATGAAAGATTAATTATAAGATGTTTTTGTTCTTTATAATTAAATTATAATGTTGAATATTCACTATGCCTTTGCTAGATTGTTTCTGTGTAAATCACGTGGGCAGGTGGCCAATGGGATGAATAAAATTGGGGCAATTGAGTTTCCTTCTGAGTTCCATTGGCTCTCCCTTTATTGGTCAGTCGAGTGTGTGGGATGGCCAGAAAAACATATTTTCGCTTTCCCTGCATTCCTTTTTCCCGACAGCCACTTTTCCTCGCTGTTTTTTATGGGGCACGTGCCTTTTTTTCGGAAGTGTGCAGTTCCCTCCTTCACCAAAAACAAAAAAACGACAAAAAAAATACGCCACATGCGGCAGGCGGAATTAAAAATTCCAAACTCGTTTCGCCCTCTTACAAGGCGATTTCGCCTTAACGTGGTTATTAGGTAGCTGTGCTTCCGAATAAGCCAAATTTGCTTAAATGAACGCCGGACTTTGGCGTGAGGAATTTCCCAGATGCTGGTCATAGCTTGAGTTGAGTTCCCGAGGGTGTTTGCCTGTATTTTCCTGCTGTTAATCTTCTTTAAAGATAATTTCCTTTCTGCCAAGATGGCCTGATCACATATCTGCAAGTTGGCTAGGAAATCGCCCATTTATTAAAACCTTTATTGTGAAATTTTTTAACTATCTAGTAACAAAAAGAATAAGCTTTTCCGTTGAAAGGAAATAAGCTTTTCTTGTTAGAGTCAGGTAAATGTCTTCAAAATATTTTAGTTGAATAAATGTATGTAATATGTGTTATTAAAAGGTAATTTAAATGATTAAATAGTTATAACAACTTTTTCCAAAGCTCCTGTTATTAAATAACATACATAACATGGTTTTGTTATTAAAACTTTTTCTATTTATTTGCATATCTAGCATAAATTCCCAGCAAAGCCCAACATGAACAATTTATAATTGCTATCTGCATTACAATGTTTCAAATATTAAAAAAAAAACTCGTTTTTCCTCTCTGCCTCAAAGTTTGTTTATGTATTTTCAACAAGGTCATTTTTCCTGTTGAATACTTGTTAGCTGGATGAAAATGTACTATGCACATTTATGAAATTGAAAACTCACTTTGAGTTTTGATTTTGCCACCACAACCAACACTTGCATTGATTATTTTGCAGGCACAAATAAGTTTTACCACGACGCAACTTTGGCAAAAGAAATCTCTCTGCCCTTTTTCGCAAGGGAAAAACTTTTGATGTGAGTTGAGAAGAGAGGAAAACCCAAGTATCATCAGCCTAATCATGTGGAATAAGGCGGAAACGGAAATTGCACACACACATTCGCAAACAGTTGCAGATGCCGCCGCATAAATGTCCAGATACAGTTACATATACAGATACAGATATGAATACCCATACATGTGTCGAGGTTTACCAGATTGGAGAAATCATATGCTGCCTGCCACCTGCTGGTCGCCGGAAATGTTGGAAATGAAAATTTTGCGGTACTACCGCACAAGCAATATGTGTTTGCGTGGATCTGCATTTTTGCGCCCACTCAGTGGGGTTGCCTAGTGGTTACGCCCCCCATATAATGGCATATTAATCAGAAATGCATTCGATGGCTAACCGAATGTTTCGACAAGGTTGAGGGCTGCAGGCTGGTTTACAGGTTTTATCTCTGTATCGGACATGTTATCAAAAGCAGGGAATTGTAAACAAGCTTGTTAGGGTGCGTGGGGATATGAATTTGCCGGAATTTAGTCCCTAAACTCTGTATGATGTTTAATTACGTGTAGTGAATATCTTATTTGAATTACATTTCTATGAATTGGTCTTTTTGAGAATATCAAGGAGGGTTTTTATTATATTGACATGAATTGGATGGAATTTGGTCACTAAATTACGGTACTTGAATATTTTATTTGATTATAGTGACTTGATTTTGGTGGAATTTAGTCACTCAACTATGATGTTTTATTAAGAATATCTTAGTTATATATACTAAAGATTTTGTCTTAGCTTTGTATATTTAAAGAATATCAGGTAGAACACCTAAAAGCCGTATAATAAAACCTTAAAAATATTAGTTTAGTTTTTCTAAACGCCTTATAATACAATCTACAAAATAAGTTATTCTTTAATTTGCGATGAAATGGGCGGCTGTTACTTTGTGATACCAATTTTTCGGGTAGATGAAAAAATGGAAAAAGTGTTTGCAATGAAGATAAGGTAGTTCGAGCTTCACTCTTAAAGGGTTGGCTTTAAAAGCATTATTTGGAGTCAATAATTTTTAGTTTTAATTTAGTAATCTGTCTGAAAACGTATCGCATGGGAAACTCGAACATCTGGTGATAAACCCTTTTAAATGAGTGTTTTTCTTGGCCTAATCCCCAGAATTTCCAGTGTCAACATGCCGCCTGTGACGTTCAATTCTTATCAGTACTCGACCTTTTTGTTAGTTTTACTTCGTAAAAGAGCCCAACAGCTGTCGCTGTTGCGGTTGCGGTTATTTGTTGCTGCCGTTTGACCGCTCGTATTCATTGTTGCTGGAAATTAACGCGAGCAGCACCTGCGGCAAAAACCAATTACGCCTATCAACGGCAAAAAAAACAGTCCACTTTGATGTGCACACCTCAGCGCACTGTGCTAAATGGATTCGCAATGTTTTCCCATTTAAGTTCAGTTTTCATTGTTCTACTAGCTGAATGAAAAAGTGTGTTGGCACACAAATATTTTCATATCAGTGCGCTGTTGGCTCAACAAATAAAAACAAATGGAAGCCCGTCGAAGAGCACACAATGCATTGGGTATAAATCAAAAAAAGTCAATTAAAATAAACACAGTAGACTTTCTCTAAAATGAACTTGCTAGCAAGAAAATATTGCACTGTTATAGAGACCAAGGGTATAAAAGTGCCCATTTCAACATAAAGATATTAGTTTTCGTCGACAAAGACAAACTCTAATTAAACAGCACTAACAATATATAATCCATGAATGAATAATTATTATTAAATTAAATATTCATGCAAATTTTACAACATAGTCTAATAATAAAATATATTTTAACATTAACTCCACATTGGACAATAGGATACAAAAGCTTATGCAAATTTACAATACACGTCTTCCTTTTACCCTTCTCTTACATAATTCTCTTTTGAATATGAACTAGCAAAACACATAATCTTATTATGTTGATAATATTAATTTATTTACCTTAATGATATTAATTTATTTATATTGCCCGTTTTTTTTAACTTTTATTATTGCTAATGCACTATGTACCTTTTTGACTTTAAACATTTTCAATAAAATTAATGGGGTTTTCCCATTCTATTACAGCATTGCCACGCCCCAAGGAGCGCTTTAAGAGGCGCACCGGCCCCACCATTCCCATGCCAGCCCGCAAGGGGCTGCTAGCGCCCCAGAACACATTCCTGGACACAATCGCCACGCGGTTCGATGGCACCCGTAAGTGAAGTGAAATGCTAATGCCCAGGCTATTGCTAATGCTAATGCCAAGCAATTTTCCGGCAGCCCGTTCTTGTACCGTTTTTATATGATTTTTGTAATGTTTTATTTATGACACTTTTTATTGAGAGCCCCGACTGAAGCTGGCATAAGCCAAATGCCACCATCGTTTTGACCAACTCGTAAAAAAGTACACATAAGAGATTTCCGAGAATAGGCATCCGGGTTCTTTTTTGTGCACTGAAAGAGAAATAAAATTGAAAACATATTAATTCCAAAAAACAGGAAAAAGAGAAATTAAGGGTTTGTTCTTTTTAGAATGAGCTGATGTTGTTTTAAATAGTACTTGATTTTCCATTAAATATTCCTTATAACTTGTTTTATTTAATTTTTTTTAGTCTGGGCTTACTATTTCCCTTTTTCTGCGTGTACTTCTCTCAATTTTGGGACACCAGGATTCAGGGGGACATGCCAGTTAAATGCTTGCGCGTAGGGAAAACTTCCGACCGGTCACGAATTGTTGTTCTATATGTGTACATAGTATATATGGATCCATATTGAAAATCTCCACATCCAGCATGCAAAATACAGCTCTCTGCGCTGGGAAATTAAAACTATATGGCGCCGTACGTACATGCCAATTTTTCCCATCCATTTTTTCGCGAAACAAAATACACAAAAGAGGATACTCGTGGAAGCCTTAAAAATATATATTCCTTTGAGAGCAAAAAATGGTAAACAGTAAATTAAGCTGCGCCCTTGCTTGGTTGTCAAGGTATTTTCTTTTGGTGTTTTCCTCTTACTTTAATGTAATGATTCAAGAAAGAAAAAACATTACATTTCAAAGAGTTTTTTTTGTATGTCAAAGCAATCAAAACTAATTTTGGTGCAAAATGGTGTAAATGGTTTTTTAAACTTTTCAATAAGCTTATATCATAACCCAAGAAAAAAATATGGATTATGAAAATGCAATATTATTTTTAAAAAAATATTTTTTTTTCAACAGAAAGTTCAGATGAACAAGGATTTTTGGTTATTTTCTGTAATATGTTAAAAATAATTTACTACTACTGAAAAATGAATTTCATAGAGTGAATTAATTAATTATTAATTTTTTTTTTTAAATACTACAGCAATATCAAAAGTATTTTAAACCTAATTTTGTTTCTTTGTTACTAAACATTAAGATAAATTAAAACACAAGTTTTCCTATACCTCAAAGGTATGTTTTAGTCACTTTACATTTTTCCAGTACTGTTATGGCCGCAGCTGTATATTATTTACAATATAACATTAGTTAATACTTTTTTATTAACTGATTGCTAGCCATTTGTTCTGAATTGTTAGCCCTAAAAGGGTGTAATTTTAGTTTGTCCATTTTTCTGATCTATTGATTTGGGGGTTAGTCTGTGTCCTCTTTTTTTGTTACAAGGCCAGGAAAACCCATCTCGACTATGAGTTTCCTCTTGGCATTGGCCAACGTTGACAGGACACACACGTGCTGACATAGCCGGGTTCCTGCCTCGAGAAAACATGTCAGTCCCCCATCATATAAATTAATTGTTGTATTTCGCACACATAAAGGCATAGGGAGCGATAATTGTCTTTACGAGTTGTCACAAACTCTGAACATGAAATGAAATGCTCAGCCGGCAGGGGTATTAAAAAGGTTTTACGAGGCATAAATAATAAAGTAAGCATATTAAATGAGTGCTATATGTGAGTCGGAGTCAGCCGACAAACAAAAAACATCCTGCAAGTGATTTTGCCTATGTGTTTTTACTACAAATATAAATGCAAATATATGAACACATTTTTAGCATTTAATTGTATTACAAATTACCTGATAAAAACAGTAAGCTACCTATCAACAGGTCATTAAAAATGTAGCAACCAAACTATTCGCACTTGATAGATTTCCATTTAAATGCAGCTATGAATTCAACTAATTGGAGTGCAAACAATTAAATCCGATTTGCAGCCACGTGTGCATTTAATTCTTAATGCGACCACAGCACTTTAACCAAACTTTTTATTGATGCCAACCATTAAGTAAATTTGCTTTAAATTTGTTGGCTGTTGCGGTGGCTGGAGGATAAAGTATTTAACAATCAATTTACAGTTTCCTTGCTAAGAGTGTAGGTAAATAATTCATTGGCAATTTTCCAGAGTTGCCAGCAACAAAATGTCCTTGATTGCTAATAAATGCAATTACTGCAATTACAATTCATTTCTAGAACATATCTATGACTTGCTGATATTGTTGTCGAACACACACATGCAGATTATCTTTATTGTTCGCCATATGAGTTTTCATTTCGATCTGCCATTAAGCTGGCTTGTCTTTCAATTCAATTTAATGCATCCACATCCTTACTTTCCACATATGTACATATAGGACACATATCTCCCCATATAATCTGTCTATTGTGTCGGCAATTACGATCTTTCTCGTTCTATTCAAACTGCTTCAGTAACAGGAAGGTATATGTTGGCTAGGACGTGGGAGTGGGAAACGTTTCTATTTATGAAATTGCATTGAAAAGGTAAATAAAGAAGAAAGCACGCTGGGAAAAGCTGGCTCTTATTGAATTGTGTGCCTTGGAAATGCTATAAATAAATGCATAGAGCGCAAATAAAGTGAGCTATCCGCTGGTTGGACTTCGCAGGATAGTCCCAGGATACCCGAATTTCAAACTGGCCAAATGGCACAGAAGAATTTCATTTCCTGCAGCGAGCTTGCCCAAAAACTTAATTAAATGCTGCTGAGATTTTTTGTGTATTTCTACAAACAATAAAAATTGTTCACAGCATGTCCCAGACATGAAGGTCAAGTGCAAATGGCAAAGTCATAAAATGGAAAGGTTAAATTCATAGTAATATGGCATTCTTTGTACCAGAAAATGAAACACAGTAAAACGAATTATATTCATATGGTAAGCTTATTATAGGACAGATTTTTTGGGGTTTTATGATGGGCATTAAAGAAAAGGTATTTGATCTATATTAAAAAATCCTGTTTAAAAAAATTAGTAATTTTAACGGCTTGTTCGTTTCAAAAAAGTGAACCAAGTCTTTTGGAAACGAAAAAAAACGAATTCTGTTCATATGTTAATCTTATTATTTTATGGGATTTTATGTATTTTCTTTTTTCTAATTTGCTTAATGAGGAAAACTATTTTGGGCAAACATTTTTTTGAAGGAACATTTCTATATAAAATCATTATCATGTTGATAAAGTTTTATTTACATTCCTTATATACAGTTTAAGTTAATAGTTAAAGAAATTTCGGATTGTGTAATTCTTAGAAAACATTTTTCTGGCAATATGGAAAAATGTGCATTTTAAGGCGACAGACAACCAACTTGCGTCCGTCAGTCTTGTTTTTGCATGAAAAGGACACACAGCAGGACTTGTCTTATTACCGTTGTTTGTCGGGACAATATTTCATGGCAAATGAAAGCAGCTGAACATCATTCTTCACCATCACATTCACCATTCGCATTTGCCATTTTGCCCAACTACAGTACATTTCCCCGTTGCTGTTACCGCTTTTCCCGCAGCAAACTCACCCACCAAACTTTTCTCCTTCCCTATTTTCAGACTCGAACTTTGTGCTCGGCAATGCGCAGGCAAATGGCAATCCAATTGTTTATTGCTCGGATGGGTTCGTGGATTTGACAGGATATTCACGCGCGCAAATTATGCAAAAGGGTAAGAACGACTCAACTTATTTAACACTTGAATACTCATTTGAATGTACTGTGCCATTTTATTCAATTGCAAACAAACGCAAACGCAAACTCCGGGCCGAATTCCGGCGTACACGAAACAGGCTGCTCATGTCATTTCCTCTACGGACCGGATACGAAGGAGGAGCACAAGCAGCAAATCGAGAAAAGTCTCTCCAATAAGATGGAACTGAAGCTGGAGGTTATTTTCTACAAGAAGGAAGGTAAGCCGTCCAAATTACGATGTGCGGGAATGCTGCGAAAATTGTTTTGTTTCTGCCTCCTTTTTAATTAAAAATTTTCATGAAAATGGGGGCGTAGTGTGCCCAGAAAGGAAATTATTTCTGGGCTTGTGGTCGCCGATGGTCACAGGATAAAACTTTCTGAGCTGAATAAGCTGCAAGACATCATTAAAAAAATTGAAATCTTGATAAGGGGGTCTAGAAATTAGGTTAATATGTTTCACCACCCCATCTGTTTCAAATCTTAATCTAAGAAAATTGAAAAGATTTTATTATAAAAGTTGTCAACAATAACAGGCATAAGACAATTAATAAACAAATAAATCTTTTTTTATTAAACTTTAAAAAGTTTTAAAAGTTTTTAAAAAGACCCATTATAAAATAGTTTGTTAACTTAGTTTATCTAGGGAGCAATAAAAACAAATAAATAAATGTAATGTTGGGATGACCTTTATAAAATTATTATTTTCTTCAATTGAGTTTGTTCTAGCACCAAAGAGCCAAAATGCTGAATAAATGCATACAAATTTTAAAATAGTCATTTTTAAGAATATCAAAACTTTGGTAGTTCCAATTAAGCTGTTTCCATTGTATTGCAAATACTGGCCCTCTAACTTTATGTAAATCAGAAATGGACAATTTTCCAAATTCAATACAGCAAGGCTTATTTATGGCCTTTGAGAAGCTTTGAGTTTCTTTGAAAGTCCTCTGTCATTTAGGCATTCATGCAACAAGAGCACTCTATTGTCCTTCCATTTCAGGAAAATTGGTGAGCTTTTCTTGTGCACATAAGGGGAGTGTTATTGCTTTTCTTCGGCTGTTCGTTCACAGATGACAAAAGTTGGAAAAGCTACCCGCACAAGAGTGAAAAGTTGCCAATCAATTGTGGTCGCACCTGTTCAGAGTTTGCCGAGAACACAACCACGATTGACTTATAATTTAAGTCAGTGGCTGCCGCCTTGTTTTTGTGGCTCTGTTCAGCTCTGTTCTTGATTGGGTTAAGCGCGACAGACTTAAACTAGTTTCCTGCGGTTTCCCAGGGGGCTCATGTTCATGTTCAACTCTTGCAGGACAACCATCTCCACCCATATCCAGCCATCTCCAGCCATATCCACCCATCCCATCCCATCTATATCCTTACAATTTGCCACGGCTCGTTGACATGCTGGGCGTACAATAAATTGTGCTCTTAACATTTTCGCACGTCCAGGCCGCGGTATTTTGTAGCCCTAATGAGGTCACGATTAATCAAGACAAAGCCCAACGCAGAGATAAGCCCAAGATGGATGGATGGATCCATCAACTTTGAGTGTAAGTTTTCTAATTAGCCAAGCGTTTAAAACTTTTAACCGACTGCTGTTGGGTTATTGAGATTATGTGCTGATACTTGGAGAAATTTAGTTCTAGGTTCAAGAATCAAAACTTCTTAAAGTGTGAAAATCTACCGCTAAAATATTTAAGTACAACATTTGCTTTTAGTATTAACTATTTAACAGTTGTTCTTAAAACTGCCGAAGGCCGAACATCTACTTCTAAAATTTATTATAATTAGTTGGAACAACGCAATATAGTTTAATAGCCAAACTGATTTAAAAAATATTGCACATTTCTCGAAGTATTGTTTTAGTTTTTTATGTGGCCTTTTCACAGTGTAGAACACCCCTTTTGCCACCCCTGGGCTTTCTTTTCGCGTGTGTGCCGGGGCTATGTTTTATTAATTATGCATTGGCGGCGGCAGACTGAGGGTGAACTGGACCTGGTTGACCTCGGGCTGGGTGTGTAATTAGCGGGAGATAATTAAAATGCAGGCCTGGACAATAATTGCGATCTAATTGAATTGCCATGCAATTTATTTATCAATTTCAAGCCACATAAATTGATGGCGTTTTGAAGGTATCCAACAGCTAATTAAAAACTGGGTCCTACTTTTATTTTGGGACCATTTAGCTGCCAATGAAGTTGAGGTTGTATCGATGAGGTTTCAATTATACAGCTGCAAATTAAATGCACTGCCACGCTGAACACTGCGCACTGCAAGGCCAAATATTGAGCTAAACGACCGCGTAGTGTACCCCGTGGCGTATGCGTGATACCCGTGCAAATTAATTTTCTGTGCCGCTGATTAAAGGAAAAACTCATTGCAGGTGCTCCGTTTTGGTGCTTGTTCGACATTGTGCCCATCAAGAACGAAAAGCGGGATGTGGTGCTCTTTTTGGCCTCCCACAAGGACATCACACACACCAAAATGCTGGAGATGAATGTGAACGAGGAATGTGATAGCGGTAAGTATACACCCACTTCCACACTTTTTGCCGAAAAAAGTAAAGCAACTGGTATAAATAATGCACTAGCTGAAAACCCAAACGCCGAAAACCCGAGCGTGCACAAAAAAGCCACAAATACCCACTTACACACAAAATCGCACACCACCAAGCCCCCGAAAATATTGAATTAATAAGCGCTTACACATAAACAAGCAAGCCAACACCGATGCATTCCCTCGGATCAGTCCAAATGGCCAAATATTTTGGTTGGCTAAGTCATTACTTCCAGCAGACTGCTACTGCTATAATATTGTGACATATCACTAAGGTGTCACCTGCATGCGGATGAATATGCCAAAATATACACTATGTAATAAAGTAAATTAAAGGACAGTTTAATCTGAAAGCTGCTGTGCTCTAGAAAGGTTTCATATAAAATGTTGTTTCTATAACTAGATGCTTTAGTGACTAATTGCTGCTTAACAATTATATTAAATGTACTTTTTATTCCAATTAAAATTATATTTATATAAAAAGAGGGAATATTTAGTGGGATTTTAACTAAATATTTAAAAGTTTTTTTTTTGGGGGCTGCTAATTTAATGTTTTTACCGCAGTAAGTCCAAGACTCAAAGCCAAATGAATTGCTTACCATTTTAAAGTGTAGTTCTTGGGGCATTTCAAAAATTAATCTCAGTACCTTCAAGAGCCATTTCAAAATAAGTTGCTGATATAAAATAAAAGATTTAGCTGTTCAGCAAGTTCAGGAGTTAAGAATATAAAGAGGCCATAACTATAAATCTTAGGGCAGAGTATTCCTCAGTCAAGAGCCATTAAAAGTCAGTTATTGGTACCTTTTTCGAGCTGTGTCAGCGTGTCAACTCAACTCTCGGACAGAAATATACCTACAAAGTTCTGTGAAACTTTTGGTTTCGCTTGGTCTTGGCAGAGCGAGATTATTTGGTTAGCTTCCTGGCTGGGAAACTGTGAAAATGGGAAACTGAGAAATGAGAAGGAAGGTTCTACGGCTGGCCGACTGGCTGCGGTCGCTCCTTTGAGTCCCTTACCGACTTTTCATCCGTTTCCCCCCTTTTTCCCCCCAGCGCGTGTCCCTGACAACTGAATATATGCATACCATATTTCAACGTTAATTTAAATCTCGTCTTTCACGCGCAGTTTTTTCTGTGTGCTAGCCACAGCCGATCAAAAGTATATGAATTCGTAATGATTATGATTGCAATGAGTCGCATTAAATATTCGCATTTCGGTTAATGCCTTTTAAGCAAAGAGTTGAGTATAATTAAACTTTTATAACTGGTCTCGACTCTTTTGCGGAGTTCAATGAAAGCATTTACCTTAATTAGCAATGGCCAAAATGACTTTGTTTGCCAGTTCTTTTTCATTTAGGCTATGCACATCAAATATGCCCTCTGTCTAATTCACTGGATTAATCAGACAAAAAAGTTGGACACACCGGCACACGTGCGCTGTGTTTTGGTCCCCAAAGGATCCTGAAATATTGATGCAGCACTCGAACAGTTCTGACAGCCTCGCAACTTATATCCAAGGCACTTTTACTCTACCTCTAATTTATTCTCGAATCGCATGTGCCGCCAAGGAATTCACCTAATGCAGGGATAAAAAAACAGTGCCCCCTGCCCTTTGACCTTTTCATTTGCAGCTTTATTACCGTCGTTATTCATCTGTTGTTGCTGCTGCCAGCTGGCTGCTGGCTGCTGCCGTCTGTCTTCTGTTTGCTGGCCTGCAGATTTACGGCCATGCAAACCGGGCAGAAGCCACTTGAAGTTCGACCAGGAGAGTCCTAAGAGGATTTGCTGCATCGTATGCTCGACTGACAGGATGGCAAAGACTTTCTGTGTCCCCAAAGCCACCTCACTGTGAAGCTTTAAATTATCTTGTGCTGATGACATTGATGGCCCTTAAATTCAGGACAAGAACTGGTGAATTAGATGATCGACATTTAGATGTTGCTTCTTTAGTGGCTTGCACTATGGCTTATAATATCTTGCAAGGAATTCTTAAGTATTTTATATTTTTGGTTGGTTTTGGGTTAATTGGTCGCTGCTTTTCATCAGAAATTGATGCTTAAGTTTCTTTCCTAGTTTCGGCGTTTTTTATTTTTTTAGGAAATATTTTTAACATGTGTACAAATTTAAATGCTTACATACCCCGCAACCAATCCTGTCACAGGAAAGCGAAATTCACATCCACTGCTTGCCAGATGTTGCATGTTGCATACGTGGTTTGCAAGTGCAACAAACACTTACAATATTCCTGCAGCCGAAGGCTTATTCATGTAATGTTGTTAGCCGGACACACACATTTACTTGGCGGCCAACATTCGGTAATGAATTTCATTAACTTGGCCATTGAGCGACGGACAGGCAATCGATGCCAGAAACCAGTCAGATGAAATGCTTGTCGTTATCGAATCAATCTACACTGAAACCAAAGCAGCGGTCGGGTTTGATTCAATTTTTGTTAATTTATGCAAATGAAATTAAGTCCGGGCCAACCAACCTTGGCAAACCCAATTTCCAGCTCGAATCAAGCTGGCTGGAAAATTTCGAGTGCCGATCCACGTCAATGGGAAATTAATGCTGTGACAAAGGCCGCAAGGAAAATCCGGCTGGTTGGAGGTGGTAGAATTGTGAGTTAAGGTAATTAGGCGGGCAGTGTTCAAAATTTTGTGATAAAGCGCGTTTTGATGAGGCGGATTCGAAATGGAATTATCTTGGCCATAATCGTTATCACACTGTGACAGTTAAGCGATGATGACCATCGTTTCACACATCATTAGGCCTGTCAGTGAATTTTCCCCTCGTTTCCCTCAAGAGTTGTGCATATTTTGTTAAAGTATTCCACCTTTTTTATGTCGTTCTGCCATGAAAAACCATTTGTGTATGCATGAAGCGTAAACTGAGATACTTTTTTATCTTTAATTTTTTGTCTGACCTTTTTTTTTTGTGTTAGTCGGCTGTTGCTTGGTTACGGATCTGTATATATATAGTATATATATATGTATGAGGTGGCGGTCCCGGCCTAATTGGCATTTTGATATGACAGCACCGAAGTCAAACCGGACTTTTCGTGGGTTGTGGGTCTTAAAATTGAAATCATATTTCGGTCAACAAATTTGGCCGTAGTATATAAAAGAAATTAAATGAAATGAAAACAGGAAAAACTGACAAATTGGGGTGTGGGGAAAAAAATGGTCACTTTCTTGGGTGCTATTTGCATAATTTGTGTTCCTTTTTTCTTATAATTAGCACACGAGGGTATGGGCACCGTATCAAGTTCATTTTGGGTCCATTTCTCACCATACCGCTAATTGTTATTTATAGCATGCCTGTCCTTTTGAGACACCATACACAAATAGAATTAAACTCAATTTAATGGGCCTTTTGCGGTGCCAAATATAGGAGATTTCGTGGGTGGGAAATCTTATCGAGTTTTGTTTGTACGCCTGTGAAATATGATGTTTATTCGCCTGATTTGTTCGGGTGACCAGAGCTTGGCCAATATTTGTCAGGCATCGAAGGAGATTATAAATTGTTCGAGGGTGCCAGGTTTGTTCGATATCATTAAGGTTAAAATGGGCAAAAGTGTCTGTTATTATGAGGGTTTGAGTGGGGACATTATTTTAAATTTTAAAATTGTCCATTTAAAAGTTTCTCTAAGAAATCCCAGCAAAAATTAAAAAGGAAACCGAGCATTTAGGAGGGAAACTTTGTTTTACCAATGCTTAAAAGCTAAAACCATCTTTTGCCAACTAAGCTGCTCAAATAAAACTCAGCAAAAATAATAAATGGAGCCAAGCATTAGAGAAGGAAAGCTTTATTTAACTTGTCGGAAAGTCGACAAAATTTCAGGAAAATTTTAGCAAGGAGACGTGGCCACTGAGGGAGTGCAAAAACACATACACACGCTTTAAAAATATGTTTTAAACCGAACTACCACCGTTTTTAACCAAGCAAAGCTTAAATAAAAAAAAGATAAACTTAAAATTAACTCTGCCAATTAATTCACAATGTCTTATGTGTACAATTCTATGTGTTTCTTTCTCTTTGTGCTCTTTCTAATCAATAACACACCGACCCGGCAAATCACTGTAATTACTAAACAAAAAAATCCATGCCCAACCCATCCTCAACACCCCCCCTGATTTGGTTTGCTCTTTTTTTTGTTGCGACTCTGTAAGTTTTTGCCCTTACAGCTGCCCTTTTGGGGGCGCGGTTCCGGGCCGGCTCGAATGCCGGCATGCTGGGCCTGGGCGGACTGCCTGGCCTGGGCGGACCGCCATCCAGCGGCGAGGGGGACGCGGAGGCGGGCGAGGGCAACAACCTGGACGTGCCCGCCGGCTGCAACATGGGCCGCCGGCGCAGTCGCGCGGTCCTCTACCAACTTTCTGGTCACTACAAGCCGGAAAAGGGCGGTGTCAAGACCAAGTTGAAACTGGGCAATGTGAGTATGACAGCCGGAGGAGGGGAAGTGTGAGCGGGAGTTGCTTTAGCCACAATATGTTGTTTTAGCCACCGTCCATCATCAGCAGGCTACATGAACAATGTTGTCCCACGTCAAATTAAATTACCATTTTAACACGGTGATTTTTAAAATGCTCTATCTTGATGCATAGAACAAAATCTGACTAAATCGACTAAATTTTCGGAAGTAAATATAATAATTCTGAATATATAAATTTACTTAAATATTAAATATATAATATTTAGTACGATTTGGTATGAAACAACAATTCAATTACTGAATTTTAGGGGATCGGATGAGTTTCACAAATATTTATTGACGATCTAATTTTAAAACTATTAAATATAATAATGGACTGCATCTTTGTTTAGTTTAAATAAATAGAAACGATTTATGCGAAGAACGATGTCAATTTTTTAGATTCCCAAAAATAAAACAGTAATTAAACAGTAACTAACTTTTATAATAAACACAAATTGTAAAACATATCTAAAGTACTCTAAATCAATTTGAAATGTTTAAAACTTAGATGCATATATTTTGGTCAATATAATTTAATATGTCTATGCGTAGAGCGAAGGCTGTTGATGGAATTTCAGGTGGATTTGTAAACATCAACTAATGTGATTAAAAAATCAGGTTGGCAACTAATCGGTCTAGAGGTTCAATTAATTTAATTCACTTTTCATGTTTGTGCCGGATTTCATTTCATGCTATTTGCCCACAATCTATTCTGCAGAATTTTATGCATTCGACGGAGGCGCCGTTTCCGGAGTACAAAACCCAGTCGATAAAAAAGTCACGCTTGATTCTGCCCCATTACGGGGTGTTCAAGGGCATCTGGGACTGGGTGATTCTGGTGGCCACCTTCTACGTGGCCCTAATGGTGCCATACAATGCCGCGTTTGCCAAAGCCGATCGCCAGCCAATGGTGTCGGATGTGATTGTGGAAGCCCTCTTTATTGTGGGTGAGTAGATTGGACGAGAGTCGGAAAAAGGATATGCCTTTTATAGGATTAAAAGTACGTTACATTTATTTCACTAAATCAAATTAAAAGCTTCCTTATGACATTTGACAATGATAAGGTCTTAAAAAATATATAAAGGTGTCTAAGGGTATGCAATGAAAAACAGGAACGTCGTCCTTTATATAAATGTATCGGACTTTGGACTAAAAATGGTTTGCGATTTGATAAGACTTTAAAATTATTATCCTCGTGAATATTAAATGGAAAATAAAAAAGCTAACTTTATGAGAACAAAAACTTGGCAGTCTTTGCTAAAGCTGAGTTATGGCAACAATAGGTTAACTGAATATTCACCATCACCGCACGAGTTATATAACCCATACCCCCGGTAAAGGGAGAGCAATTGGTGTCTCTTTTATGGGCCACCTGTGGAAGCCGGTGCCACAATCATCGTCATCATCCACAAATGGGCGGGAATGGGAATTGAATTTGTCTCGTTGCGGGCATTGTAAACATTGTTTCACCGCTCACCTTTATTGCCGTTTTATTGCAGATATTCTGCTAAACTTCCGCACCACCTTCGTGTCCCGCAAAGGAGAGGTTGTCTCCAATTCGAAGCAGATTGCCATCAATTACTTCCGAGGATGGTTCGCCCTGGACCTTCTGGCCGCGCTGCCCTTTGATCACCTGTACGCCTCCGATTTGTACGACGGTGAGGTGAGTAATCGCTATTCACAGCCGCCGACGACTGCATAAATTTACTCAACAAGCCCTGAATTATTAAGCTCAGATTTGCATTCCGCCCTCGGCTTTTCTGTATACGATTCGAGGGATTCATGGGATGATGTATTACTTTTGCTGCTAACATACTACAGTTACCATTACCATTAAGTCCTTTAAAATTCCCAACAAATTGTTGGGTCAATTTGGAAAATCCCCTTGCGGTTTTCCCATGGCGCATGGGCATTTATCATTTATGAGCCAAAATTTCAAGTGGTAAATGGTCTTAGGAGTCTTGCCTAAAACTAGTTTGGCCGCATGCATTATGCATACGAATTTAAAGTTCACAGTTTGCGCTAGGCCACTTAATCGGATTATAAATAGTAGTTTAGTTGGGGCGGAAATTTTGAATTCACTTTACTGCGTTTTTTCTTGTGATGCCAAAAGGCAGATAACTTTTTTCTCACTACCCGTTTTATACAAAATCGATATGAACATCAAATTTTTGTGGTTAAAATTTATGGCTAAAAAACTTGTGAAAACACAAACAAAAATTGTTTAAATTATGAAAAGCTTTTTGTAAGCATCGACTTTAAACGTACTGTTGCCATCAATAAACTAACAATGTAAGCTTTCTATCGGGCTTACGTGGCGTATGAGTAATGTCTATGGAAACTTTGTGTTTTTTAATAAGGTTAACCATAAGAAACGACCGTCTTTCACTCCGTTTAAGTTTTAAATAAACTAAAAATGAAAAAAAAGTTACTGTTTTTTAATGTACTTTACAACGCAAAATATATATCAATCGTCTTGGTTGGATAACAGCCAAAAGTGCCGAAAGGTAAATCGAAATTTCAAGTGAATTTATTTTAAGCTGCCAGTTTTAGACAACTTTTCAACCGCTTTTCATTGGCACAAGGTACCGGGTAAGCACTTGACCCCTTTGGAGCGCAGTTGACGCTCATTAAGCCGATTACATTGGGCAAAACATCCCCGGCTGGGTGTGGTTTTCCGGCTGGTCCGCGTTTTAATTACGGGCTAAGTAGGCGGCAAGGCTGTGACCCAAATGTGCAGCTAAAACAGCATTAATATTTTTAAATCCCGAAAACTGTGTCATGTCCCGCAGCCTTGCAGACTGCAGCTTAAAGCCTGTTTTGATGACATTGTTGGTGGTTTCAAGGAGTCGAGTCCTCGAGCGGTCGTCGCAGGACAATGGCGCAGTTTTCCATCTCGGGCTTATGTTATTCAGCATTCACTTGGCTTGTCGGTCGGGTGCTTTGGCTCCTTCCGACCGCCTTCTCCTGTGAAGTGGTCAGCGCTCTGATTGCGCCAAGTGAAGAACGTTGTCGTCGCCCTCATGGACAGTCCAGGGATTTCCAGGGCGCACAACGAAATGACATTACAGTAGGGTCTTACTAAGTGGAAATCATAGGAGCATTTAGCAATTAAGTTGTACTCGTTCAACGAAAAGAGCCACATCAAAAACTCTATTTAAAAAGACTGCATTAATCAGATAAGTTTTTTATTAATTTAAAGTATACACAGAGAGAATATTTCAAAATATTAAAGTCAGACTAGAATTTTTGTACACAACAAAAATTCAAGACCAAAAATTCTCAGTTTGAGTCAAAATTTCAAGCTCAAATACAATAGTGATTTTGATGGAAGAATGAGAATTGGCTCAATAAAATCGGTACTCAAAACGAAAATATCTTCATTTTGAGAATTCAAATTCTTAATTTGTGTACTCGAACTTGAAAATTCTATTCAATTTTATTAATTTTGTTTGTATGCAACACTTTAAGTTTGAATAAAAGTTTTGTTTTGAAAACTTTATTATTTGGCAACTTTTTGTTCGTTAGTTTTATGAAGTTAAAATGTACACTCCTCATGAAAATGTTAAGATACAAACAATTCTTACTATGTCTAGATTTTAAGTTTTTATATATTTAAATATAAACATTTAATACAATTTTTGTTTCGAGTTGCTTGCAAAAGTAACCATTTGCTATGGCTGCTGGTGATTTAATGTACAGTCCTTTCCCTGTGGGATTATCATTTGAGCTTAATTTTGTTCGAACTCATGTTTCAATGATTTTCTCTTACCGCTCCGTCATCGTGCTGCGGTTTTCCTTGGCTGTTTCTTTGCCAACTTCCGCTGGATACACTGATCAAATAAAAGGCGCTTTTGGCCCCCACTTTCTGTGACTTCCGCTGCAGGAAATTTAGCCACATTTTAATGGCGGGGCAAAAAAAGTTTTTTTGTTTTCTTTTTTTTGGCCAGATTACAGGCGTGTGCTAAGCTGCTGACACAGAAAGTTTCGATAAAACTTTAATGTTCTCTAATTGTAGAAATTTGTGACACTCTCCAAAGCAACGCCAAAGTTGGCCAGAAGTCATTTATGAATGTATTTTGGGCTTAAACTTTTACATTTTATACACTTTGATATTTATTTTTTGCTTGCTCGCTTTGCATACAATTTTAGCTAATGCACTTGAAACTTTTGCATATTTAGTTTATTTCAAAGTTTTAATTATCTTTGAGACCCCAAAAAGGCAGTCAGTCACTGGGAAAAAATCGAGGGAGTTGGATGAGGAAGTTTCCTTTTCGGCGCCAAGCTGTTGCTGTTGCTGCTGTGCACGATGATGTTGTTGTCGTGCCGATGTTGTTGCTTTCGCTGTTCACACAAAGTGAAAAGTAAACAAAGGGAGCGTGAGGCAGCGGAAAAACTTTAGCCAAGAAAGATACAGTGTTTAGTGGGTACGGAAAGGGGACGGAAAGGGGGCGTGGGCGAAAAACCATGGGAGTGGAAAGCTAAGAATGAAAGTGAAAGCGCAGCACAAATTGCAACGTGAATTACAATTCGCCTTTATGTTGTTTTTTAGCATTGTCTCCCACGCAGAAAGAATAGACATTTTTGTAATAACAAATTCATTAGGGAAAAAATGTAGCTTAACGAGTGGACATATTCAAATAAATTATTATTGTAATAAACTTATAACTTGAAATATTAAAGCTTGTTTAATGCAGTTAGCAATGAAAATATTACAATGCTAATTTAAAATTTAGCTAGCAGTGTTTAACTTTAAACCTTTAAATTTTTTAGCTATACCAAAAAAATTTGTATGCATTTTTCTATATGTGTAAGTTTTCTTAGCTTAGTAGTCTCATATTTTTGAAACGCACTGTGTGTGTGCAAGAGTGCGTATAGACTGCAAACGAAAAGGTGAAATCAAGGCTATAGCGTATGTCTATTGACGTTTTACCTAAATGCCCACGCTAAACTGTTTGTGGGTTTTCGCTCATATCATTTTCCAACACTTTGTTACCCTTTCATCAATTTTGTCTTACAGCTGCAGAGCATTCTAAAATTTTCAGACTTCATAAGAAAATATGGAACAGAAAATTACAATTTCCATATTTTCCAATTTGCTCTGTGTACCTAGAGGCCGATGTTTAGATGGCGCTTTGTCAGCGCCAATCACGAAAGAGAAATAAAAATTTCCATCTTAGGTTAAACGACGGCATTAGCCTTCAATTTACTCCAGTTTGAAGACAGGGTCAGGCCCTCCGATAAGCTTGTTTATGTTTGCATTAGACTTTTAACCCACCTCCCATTCGGCCTACACTTCATCTTTTTATTTTTTGATGACATCCTTTCTTCTGATTTTGTCCTTTTTTTGAACGCAGGCATGCGGGCTCTTGGGAAGTTGTCAATTTGGTGATTTTTTTATCCCAGGTCAAAATTGGGATGGCCTGGGAAGTAGGCAACAAAACCGTACAACTGAATGCCCCGAAAAGTGGGCAACAAAAGCTGGTGGGCGAAAATGGGAAAGTGGAGAAGAGCTGGGATGTAAACCCAAACTAATGGACAACGCGAAACGCAAAATGGGCGTGGCATTTCATTACTGTTCACGTACAATTTAACAGCCTTGTGTCGTTTGCCTACATGTGTAGTATATTTTTTTTATGCATTTTTCGCTCAGGAATCGCACATCCATCTTGTGAAATTGACGCGTCTGCTGCGGCTCGCTCGCCTGTTGCAAAAAATTGATCGATACTCGCAGCACACGGCCATGATACTGACATTGCTGATGTTCTCCTTCACGCTGGCCGCCCATTGGCTGGCCTGCATCTGGTATGTGATAGCGGTCAAGGAGTACGAGTGGTTCCCCGAGAGCAACATCGGTGAGTATGTAGTAGCTACCTGTGAAGGTTCCGAATAGTAACAGTTACAGCCACAGGTGGGGTCAAAATGGTAGCTCAATGGGTGTCCTTTGAATATGATGGTAGTCTCTTTGAACTTGAGTCAATTGTTCAGCTTGTTGTTCAAAGTAAAATGTCTTGTTCTAGTTTGAACCTCCTTCAAACATGTATATTGGATAATTTCATAATTTGTGTTACTTTATTTTAGAATCAAACTTAAAGTAGATTGTCATTCGTGTCAATTTTATTACACCCTGTAAAAGAACATACAAACATATTGTTTAAATGTTGTCTTATTTTTAATCAGAATTTTCTGATTATATACTCTATTCCATTATTATATTTAAGGTGGAAAGCGAGCATTCTTTTCTGGGCTTGTCCTGTTGCTTGTTTTCTTTTTTAGTGTATCAATCATGTATTAAATTCCCTCTTAACTTGTTTTAATTATTAAACTCTCAATAAAGATATCTCTGACGGGCTACCTTAAACTGAACGACAGATAATTTGTTTTTTTTTTAAGTAAGTAGAAGTCAAAGTAAGCATGCAAAACTTTGCAACCATTTATTTTGAAGGTAAAAAAAAACTTATTTATATTTAAGTACATTTTTAATTTGTAAAAAATGATGTGCTATTGTTTTGACCACAACTGTGTACATATGGCTGAATTTTGAGAGTGAGTAGCAAAGGTAATTTGGTTAGTTGGTTAGTCAACAGTGAAGGGCAGGGCATCGTCGAACGTTAGCTGAATTTTCCGCCTCCCTCGGTACGTAGTCCTGCAAAACTACACCATCTGGAGAATCCAAAACCAAGCAACCAAATCAGCACAGCCCAACCTTAGCCACCCAATACACGTGTGGTTAATGAATATTGTGTTAGTCAAGGTTTAAAGTTTGGTTACGGATTAGCGCACATTGCATCAAATCGAATCAAATCATCAGTTGAGAGTGTATATACCTCACTGTACCATTGCCATGAGGGGAAAAAGTTTTCGTCCATGATATTTTCTAGCACTTAATCAGCGGTGGGTGGAAAAATCTTTCAGGCCTGGCAGACACGAAAAGTTTCGTTTGACGTTTCCCGTCCGGACAAAGCAGTTTTTGCCGGATTTTGGCACGAGCTTCCAACAACTGACAGACAACTGACTAACTGAAAGTCGGGAAAGTTAGGCCCAGTCATTGTCAATTTGATAAGCCCAATTTGTTTGGCCCGCAAATTGTAATTAAACGCCGTACTAAACAAGTTTTCTTCTCTGTTTCTCTGCTTCTTGTCTTCCCCTCGTATTAAATGCCTCAAGTATTCTTCACAGGTTGGCTGCAGCTTTTGGCGGAAAGGAAAAACGCTTCGGTGGCCATTTTGACCACCGCTGAAACATATTCCACAGCCCTGTACTTCACCTTCACCAGTCTCACTTCCGTGGGATTTGGCAACGTTTCGGCGAACACCACGGCCGAAAAGGTCTTCACCATCATCATGATGCTCATTGGCGGTGAGTACCATAATGTTTGAACTGCAAAATATTGTTATTATTATTATTATTATTGTTGTGCGGGGATCACAGCTACAATACTTCAATTCCAAAACTGCCAAGTATTTGGGACCGACATGCCTTAAATTTAAAGACAAGGGTCATGAAATGGGCCTCGTTGACTTTAGTTTTACCAGTATGTTTCGTTAAATAGCGCGGAAATTTAAGGTACATCGTAATTTGTCTTTGGGATAGATGTAAAGGATGGCTTGGGAAGAACATAAAATGCTTTTTTAATTTTAAATATTACACATTGAAGTCAGGTATATTTATAACATTTAATGTTGTGTTAAAATTCTATGAAGATTTTAATGTTTTGAATAATATTACTCTTATTATTTGAACTGATTAGTTTATATATGAATATTTTGATTTCATTGAAATGCGATTCTTTATAAATCATAGCCAATGTGTCATGATTTCTATAAAAAATATATAAATGAAACCAAAATCGCCAGCTAATTCAGCTCAGTTCCCCATCAATTCAAATAATTGTATGTGAAATGCATACCATGAACAGAAACTACGGCTTAAATTACGTGTCATAATTTATCAATAGGAAAAAGGAAGGCTTAAAAATATAGCAGCACGCGCAGCGTTTATAGCAGTTATTACTTTTTTGGGCAGCCAAGCCGAGATTTAATGATATATCGTATCCATTTCATCACCCAGCTCTGATGCACGCCGTGGTCTTCGGTAACGTGACTGCCATCATCCAAAGGATGTACTCGCGACGCTCGCTGTACGAGAGCAAATGGCGCGATTTAAAGGACTTTGTGGCCCTGCACAATGTGAGTATGATTTCGATTGAGATTGGCAGCGACCGCGTCCCATCAGGAAAGGACCCTAGAGAAAAGGGTCCCACTCGATGGATTTTATTAGAATGCAGGGCACATTTTCCATATGCCATGCCATGTTGGGCAGGAAATGGAAAATGGAACGGAAATGGTGGCTCAAGGCCATGAATTGCTGATTCCAGCATGTTCCAGGGTCATCGGCAACCTGTTGATGGTGCAAACTTGGGGCACGCCGCTCCATTAGGCAGCGCACGCGGCGTATACGCAATGAGCTGCACCCACCTCATATACGCAATGCGCCGCGCAATTAAGCGCATTTGTGCGGCTCTCAACCGCGAAATGCATGCAAATGAAGTGAAAGTAGCGCGCACATCGCAGCTCATTAAACGCTAAGATGGCAAAACGGGGCGAAAAAACTGGAGCGTAGCGAATGCAATTATAATTTATGATCTCATCATTACAGATGCCCAAGGAGCTGAAGCAGCGCATCGAGGACTACTTCCAGACCTCTTGGTCACTCAGCCATGGCATTGACATATACGAGGTAAGTCCTTTTGCCCCCGGGGCACGTCCATCTCCTTTCGATTGCCTGTGTGTCTCATAAATCATGTAGGCCATACACTGGGGAAAAGCATTCAATCTATATTCAATATCATTGTTCATTTTAAATGAAATGTAAGAGTGAAATTATTATTTTTGGCTGCTTAGAAATTTTTAACAGACTTTTCTTCGAAATTTGAACATATTCAGTCAAAAATTTTAAGTTAGCATACTATCTTCATTAAAGAAAAATTCTTGCTGGTATATTATACAAAGCAACTCTTAAATAGGTAAACAAGTCTAGTATTCCGTTTTTATCTAAAATAAAAAAAAATGCCCGTGTATGCCAAAAGCTTAAGTAATTTGCTAAAACAGGGCTGAAAAGAAAAACTTAAAAATTTCTTTTTTGTAGTCAAGTGTCTCATTATTTTTTGTTACAAAATTTGATACCAGAATAAATGCCGATATGGCATGTATTATCAAAATTTTTGTCAGCTAAGAATATCAATAAATCACGCTGATAAAAGCTAATTAAGTTTATATCTCTTTCTAGCTCTGTAATAATAGGGTTTTCTGTGACCCTTTCAAGTAGCCTTCTTATCTGGCATATATATATGACTTATACCTAATGTATAGCTAATATCGGCTGACTGGCTTTGTCAAGTGTTTATTATTTGTTGTTCCCCCTAAATAAAACGCAAAATATTGCTTAAATTTTACTTAACATCTGTCGAAATAATTTGGTAAGAAACTCTTTTGTATTAAAAGATATAACGATATATGCATAATAATTGTAATTTATACAGTTAAATTTGGAAAAATTGGTTTAAGACTTATGAAAGTTTCATGAAACTACTTCTGCTCAAGTAAACTTTTTATTTCAATGTATATTCTTGGCCACCACCTAAAAATGATTGGCAAAGTTGTCGACGCAGCAGTCAATCGGTGGATTCGACTTGACTGACTTTACTCAAACTTCAGAAACTTCAGAATCAGAATCGAAATCAGATTCGGCAGTGCCAGCGGCTTTTCCTCTTGGATGAACGTCTGATCCCTTAATTAAGCAAATGTCCGTGGGGTTAACATACAGAACTCAGTATGGACATGTGACTTATTGATTGGCTGTCGGTTAAATGCCAAATGTGTGGCCCACCTTTGATTGGTCATCCGTGTGCAGGTGTTTTAACCGCACTTCTGGCACTCGTGCAAAATTAAATATCGAAATTATACACATACGTGTGAGCTGGATGTTGGGCTGCCGGCTTTTCCTGCGGCTTTTCATTGTTTTTCCTTGTGTATGTGGACCTCGGGCTGCATCTACAATTTAATTAAAATTTTTTACAATTACATCAACTCGAGCGAAAGTACCTTATCTTGTGGGTCAAGTGCTGTCAAGTGCATTAAGTTTCCTGTTTGGCCTGCTCTTTTTTGCCAATTTAGTTCTGATATGTCTTTTAGCAGTTTGATCGCATACAGCTGCTTTTGTTTTTTGTTTTTTGTTTCTTGTTTATTTTTATCGGCTTTGAAACTGTAGCACAATAACTCCGAACTTGAGGAGGGCAAACTTTTCTGCAGCTGCATGGAAATAGCCGATTGTTGGTCGAGAGAAATCAATCATTGGGGATGATGCTATGCAGTTTTGAACTTTAGCTCGTTGAAACTTTGCTCTGCGGTTTCCAGGTGGCCGAGGGAAACTTTGTTTTCTGAACTTACTGCACAATAAAATGCAGGAAAAGTGCAGGGCAGGCAAAAGAGCAGCGATTCCACTCGCTAATTGCTATTAGCAGAGACTGTGTAAAACAACTTTGCACTCCGCGCCCTCTTTTAATATTCTTAATTAAAACCTCTTCAAACAAAACCCACTTTTATCTTCTTGTCCAGGATGCTTGTGGATTTGCTTTCACTTTGTGGACTATAATTAAATGGAATTCTGTTATAGATTCTTGTTTGAGACAGGACCCATAATAAAACTAAGGAGGCTTTTTGTTTTGTTAACCAAAAAACGTAATTTAATTTTGAATGTTTTATAATTTGTACTCTTGCAACAAATATGCATTTTATAGTTATTTAGCAACGTCTTACAATTTTCCAAAGCTTCATTAATTTATTTCTGAAAAAGCTTAAAATGACACAATGTATGTTTATACTATAATATATATATATATATATATAATTTTCTATACAAATAAAAACTTCTATCTTTAAAGCTTTTTTAACTCTATACATTTTGTATATTTTATAATTTGTATATTTTCTGTTTCGTATATTCTGTATATTTAATATTTTTTTAAAAATAAATATTTTGTTTATTTTATAATTTGAATTTTTTTTATTTTTTTCATATGTTATAATTTGGTTTTCTTGAAACAAATAAGCATTTTAGCTTAGCTAGCTACGACTTTCCTTTTTCTTAAACATCATTTATTCAAACTAATTAACTCGTTTTTTCTGCTTTGAAGAGAGGTTCTTAAATTCAGTACTTAAAGCCAACTGCCAACTTGTTAATTCGCGATATGACAGCAAAAATGTTAAGCACGCGTCCCAGAATTTGAGTTGCAATTAAACAACGGTTTTCAGTTCGACGCCGGGAAATTTGACAACGCTGAAATGGAATGTAATTTAATTACCGACCAAACATGAAATATAGACTGGCACCCGCACACACACACGACCTGTCGATGCCACACAAATTATAGCACCGAAAATGGGAGGCAAAATGGGGAGTTGACGACGGGCTGGCACTAAATTAAATTGTTAATTTATTGCGCATGAAAATTAACTGGCATAACGTTGGGGAGCTCCCCTCCAGAAGCCAAATGAATTTCAAGTTAAGTTCGGGCCAACAAAAAAAGACCACCCACTTTAACATCGACTTTTGGCCAGTGTGTGCGCAATTAAAGTAGAATATTTTACACTTCACTGCAAACAGAGGGGGAAGACAGAGACAGAGATATAATGGGACATAAATAACAATTCTTTGGAAATTGCCCTTTGGGGAGTCAGGAAAAAGCATTCAACAACAAACAAAAGCAGCAAAACACAAACAAAACCCAGGAAAAACTTTTAACATATTTCCATGTTTTGTTACACTTGGTTAGCCAAAGTTCCCTTTGTTTTTCCCTCAAAAATACTTACAGCTGTATTCATTATAATAGTAAGCGAAGAATTTGCAAATGTAATAAGCCATTTTTTTACCGAGTGAAAAACATATTAATTGTTTTATCTTAGTATTGCAGCATTGGTATTGGTATTGGTTTAAAATTATAAGCAGGACACGTACTATTATTTTTGACACAGTTGTATATTTGTCAGTCCCATGAAATGGAATTGGAATGGAAATTGCTGACATCTATTTCGGTGCAAAGTATTTGCACTTTGCGTTGGCATTCGTTGTGAATTTGTAATAAAGGTCTGGCAGGCCTGAAATTGATTTAGTTCCTTTTGGCCTTAATTAATGTGCAAATACAGACACACGAGTTGCCCAACTATTTATACAATTAAGTTGAGTTTACTATAAGCGGATTTGGCCATATTATTTGCGGTCCAGTTGGCAAACCAAATTACGCGATTTTCGTCCATATGCACAATACTCGAGTGTAATCAGCCTTTGAATCCCTTGGAATGTGTATATACATGTGAACAACTACAGAGATGAAAAACAGAACAATGGTGAATGTAAACAAGTGAGATGCAAATTCTTCCTCAATTTCCATGTTAATCCCGAAACACCGACAATTCCCATCCAATACGAACCCAAGGAATATAAGTAAAAATATATAAAAATGCAGGGTATTAGTGGAAAAATATAATTATAGCTGGCAGGGGGTAAAAGAAAATCAAGAGGGTCTTTTCTTTTCAAGAGGATTTGTCTTTACAAGTATTTCAATTTAAGAGTAAGCACACGTATGAGTAAAGACATAAAATGGGGACCGGTTAAATAAAAAATAAATGCAAGATTAAATAATAATATACTTAGATTGAAAACAACGGATATTTTTACTATTTACTCAAAAAGTATTTCTTCTGAATATAAACAAGAACAAAACCCCAATATTTGATGGGTATCTCCTTGTTTATTTCGCATCTGCTGCCCCTTTTTCCATCTTTTTTTACATATCGCAGTTGAAAAACAAACAAGACCAGATAAGCTGGAACATTTCCCTTGTGCCAGAAATAAATAATTCCAAGCATTTCCCTTACAATTTTCAGGCGATTCAATTTTCACGTGTATACTTTCATTCACTTTCTCTTTTCACTTGTGCGTGTGTATGTCTGTTTGTGTTTTTGTGTGATGCTTATGTTGGCCTCTCCCCCCATTTCTGACTCACCATTTTCCCGGCTTTTCTTCTACTTGCAGACGCTTCGCGAATTTCCCGAGGAGCTGCGTGGCGACGTCTCCATGCACCTACATCGTGAAATATTACAGCTGCCGATATTCGAGGCGGCCTCCCAGGTGAGTTTAAGCCTACACTGGAAGAAATCATCTTTTGAAAAAACCTCAACTACCTTTGTGACTTATCTTTTATTTTGTTTTGGAAGTTAAAGCATGTATTTTTTTTTAATATACCAAATATGTTTTAAAGATGCAAGATCTATCTTTATTACGCAGCATTTTTAAAAAAGGAACAAATACGTTTAACATTAAATGAACATAATTAACTTGTATTGTAACTTTTATGTGTATTAAACAATTTTGGTTTCAAATTATCGTTTACAATTTTCGGAGTAAAAACAAGTATGTAAACATACCTGTAACTTTTTATGAAGACCTTACTTTTAACATTCCCTGAAGACAACTAAAGTCTAAAATCTGAAGGGAACATTAGAAAGACTTATTCTTCTGTAGCTATTTTTTTATGTGCACCTGTACGAATGTTCTTTTCCAGGGGTCGAAGAATATGTCGTCTTGAAAGCGATTCAACTTCAGACAAATGGAACGAAATGACTGCGATGGCAAAATAATCAGCAGCAGGGGAGGGGGTCAAAGGTGGGGTAGGGGCCCAACGGCTGGGGGTCAGGTAAAAAGAGGAAATGAGGGCCATGCGAGCAGTCAAAAGTTAACTGCGGGCTTAACTGAAATGTTTTCTGGGCTTCGTTCGGTTCGGTCTTTGTCGCACTGAAGCTCAAACGTAGCCAAACAACCACATACAAACACTCACACATGGAAATTTTATTGTACAGACAAGGGGTGTAGAAAATGTTCTTAAAAAATTCTCTTGGCTAAAAAATTTTTTTGTCTTAAGCCTAATTTTTAAAATATTTAGGTACATTTTTTTTTAAAAATCTTTATTTAAAAATTTCTGTTTTTTATTGTAACTCAAATACATCGACGTATTTAAATAAATCCCTATTTCTTAGGCTTATTCAAAACTGATTGTGAGAACTATGAAGTACTTATCATCTTCCAAGCAAAGAGCAATCAATTCGTAACGTTTTCTGTACAAAAAAAAAATAAAAATTAAAAGTTTTCAGCAGTTACATATATTTAAAGTACTTTATTTATTATTTATCTTTACAGCAACAACAATAAATTTGTAATATTTTGGGTGTCAAAAAAAAAAAAACAAAATAAATGTTCTTAAAGCTTACCTTCTCCTTTTAACTACGCATATGTCGGCAGGTAAAGTTTCCGAGCCATCTCACTGAGGCTTGTGCTTTGGCTCTGCCCTTTGGGCCAAGTGCCATTCGTTTGACTGAAGCGAAGCATGAAAAAGGTTTTTGGCCAACAGCAAACTTGTACGCAAAAGTCCCCTCGAATGCAAGTGTGTGTGGTCTAGTAGTTTTCGATGGCCAATGTCGATACCCTTGTCAACCGCCAAAAGCTTTAATAGGGGCCCATTGTACGTATGTGTTGTGGTGTTGGGCGGCCGATGGAAATCACTTCGGGCAAAAGCCGCCTGGCTTAAGCTAGAGATTGGGCAGTAATTGATTTCTCATCTACGGTTCAATTGCTCCCGGGCTAGAAAGTTCTCTGACCCAATGCAACCACAATCAAATAAATAAAAACAATTGCAGATGAATTTTAATTGACTCAAACGCGCAGTTTCTTTTGTCAGGTTTTGCTTCAGATAAAAATAAATGGTTTAATGGTTTTTTAGAAGAAAATAATTCTTAGCGAAATATTTGCAATAAAACTGTTCCCATAACAACAATATAAGGAATCCTTTTCAGGTCAAAGCCTCAAACGTTTAAATTTTTTTTTAAAAATTGAGAAAGGAATTTCAATCAACATTAAATTCTTTGGTTTTCCCTTTTATTGGAAGAAATGATTGAAATCAAGCCCATTTGCTTAAGAGTTTGTTAATGATTTCACAAAGAAAACATATTTAAGATTGTTAGCGAAACAATTAAATATAAATGCAATAGAAATGAATGGGAATTTATTTTTATAAAAGAGATGAATTAATTAATAGCTAGACAATTATAGGCAAATTAATTGCTATGCCTATATAAAAATATCTTGTAAAGAAATAAGAACTATTAATCAATTGCTATGGCTAGCATTTTGTTAACCCCTTATTGCAGTGATAGCTATAGAGCGTGATAATGCGATTGTGGTTCAGTTTTCTGGGGGCATAAACAGAAGCTGCCACCTAATGAAATGCAACTCAAGCTAAGTTGAAAAACAAACAAAACGGAGCGAATTGAACGACCGAATGACCAGACAAAACTCAGAAAAAAAGAAAAACTGAAACCGAATGACAAAGGCGGACTGCAAACATTAATAAAGCTTATTCAGAAAGGCAAAGTAACGCAAACAAAAACCACTCAACAGTTATAAGCGCGCTTTAAGCCACTTTTCGTGGGCAAGTGCGTGGGTGGTTGGCCCCCTTTTGCCACCCAAAAAAAGAGTGGAGAAAAGAGGGTGGTGGTGCGGTGTGGCGGTCTTGAACCGCAGAACACATTCCGGGGCAAGGACACACAGAAGCACAGCTGTTGCCGTTTTGTTTCATTGCGCAAATAAAACGCGACCCACGAGCTAAATACTAAATGCCTCTGACCGAGGAGAACAATTCCTGACTAAACCAGATTCGCAATCGCATTTACTTGAACCCCGATTTGTTTCATGTTTATGTTGCAGGGCTGCCTGAAACTTTTGTCCCTGCACATAAAGACGAACTTCTGTGCGCCCGGGGAGTATCTGATCCACAAAGGCGACGCCCTCAACTATATCTACTATCTGTGCAACGGATCCATGGAGGTGATCAAGGACGACATGGTGGTGGCCATTTTGGGTGAGTCTGCTCTGCACTATGTTTAAAAAATAATTTTTCATGTCTTAAAATATTAAACTAAAAGTAGCTTAAATAATTTGAATAAATTCGTTACGAGCCGTTATTTTAAGTCATTAATTTGTTTTTTCTGGGACTTTTCATTTTTATTTACCACCCATTAATATTTTCTTTATTACGCCTAAATCACTTCAAGAGTTACTTAACATTCCTTTGTAAAACAAGTGTTTTTGACTCTAAATAGTATAGACTTACAAATATGTTAAAGGTCTTCAATGATATTTATTATTCCTAAATTAAATACTCTTTCAATTTGGCTATCTTGTTCAAATTATAGTTATAAATTTCATACATTTGAGCCCTCAATCGCAATCTGAATTGCTATTTAAAAAAATGTAAATCAGACCGTGAGCCAAGTAAATCTTTAAAAATATATATCTTTCTTGTTATAGATATTGTGTACAAGTTTTCTTCTCTGCTTAACTGTAAATTGCTTTTGATTTTCATTTATCGATTGTCAAATTTTCATTTTGTTTATGTTTCGACTAGAGGCGTCTGTTGAACCCATTTCAGTTCATTCGCTTCTGAGCCAGCCGAGTGCCTGAATTCCATTTGCACTTTGGCCAAGACAGTGAGGCAGTCATCTGCTTGTTTATTCATTCATGGCAGGCAGTGTCGTCAACTTGAGCAGGGCCATCATGTCGGTCGGTCTACTCCTACAACTTGGCCCAGACAAATGCCAGGCTCTATTTTTATGCTCATTGATTCTGAGTAGTGCTGACCTTTTCCCGCCTCTGTGTCTTTTGTTTAACCCATGTTTCCCGCAGGTAAGGGCGACCTCGTCGGCTCCGACATCAACGTGCATCTGGTGGCTACCAGCAATGGCCAGATGACCGCCACCACCAACAGTGCTGGTCAGGATGTTGTCGTCCGCAGCAGCAGCGACATTAAGGTAAGGGCGAGCCCCGTACCCCCATTGAAATCCATTCCCCCTTTAAAAAAAAAAAAAAAGAAGAGTGGGATGTGCAGTAATTAAATAGAATTTATTTTTACACCAGCCTCTGGTCGGCTGCTCAAGGGCGAACGTGAATGAAATGCACTCGGATGATAGTGGACAGCAGGTTGGGGGAGCTCTGAATCGGCTGTGGGCAAGGGGTTTTTAATTTTCAATGGGCCATATTGCTAAATATCTTCTTTGAGAAAGTCTGCCTTTCAGAAGCTTTATTTAATTGCTAGTATGGACTTTGGTAATTAAAACGTAAATTTAAACGTAAATAAAACGAATTAAAGAACTTATGTAAATAGAGGAGTCATTTGTAAAGGAACAGGTTCAAACAGATTCAAAATAAGGTATACATTTTATATTTTTTGCATGAAACTTCAATTAAAATTTTTAAAATTTAAAATGATCCATTTATTAAAGAAATAAGTTTTACTTTAATAAAATACGAAGATAAATAAATTCTTTATAATTTGTGTGAAAGTTCACTAACAAATTTTAATAAAAATCTTCCTTAAAAAGAAAACAGATTCAAAATAAGCATGGATTATTTTTTTATTTGTTAACAGATATATATTAATTTGTATGGAAGAGCAATTAAACATTTAAATTTTTTATTAGTTCTGCTTGTCCTCGGTAATTAAATACAATAAAACTTCAGAAAAACTACAAGTAGTTCAGATTTTTCTACTTTAATTATCATTTAATTTTGTTCTCGAGGAAAACCTGTAGCTGCGCTTCTCGTCTTGTTTTCAACTCAGGGTAAACGCTCGAATAAAACAGCTTAATTGACGCTTAAGCCGGCGAATGGCAAGGACATGTGAAGCCCTACGCTCTTCGTTAGTTCTCGGCACCTTAATTATATTTTTATCGTAGTCTGGAGCTCTTTAAGGCTTAAGCAAGTTGCAATTTCAGGCTGTTTGTCGTAAATTTTATCTGGTTTCTGGCAGGAGTAGCGGTTTAAAGGGGGAAGGACCTAGAGGTTTCAAGATGAGTGCACAGCGGTTTGAATTTCGCCTGGCATACCAGGCTTTCTTTTTGTTTTTCTTTTTCCTTTGTATTTTAGCAGAAAGTCAATGGGGCTTGAGAGTCTGAGTGGGGTTTTTGGTATCCTGCTAACCGAGTCTACGATTACTCGTTTACTCCTACTAATTATGGCAATAATCTCGGGGCGACTCAGGTTCCAAAAGCTTCACGCCTAATTAATTGCCATAAACTCCGGTCTGGCAATCGCAGGTTCGTGTGGGCGGCAATAATTAAGCGAGGAATTTCCAATTTTATTGTCGCTTAATTAGTTGAGGAATGTACTTAATTTATGCATAGTTTTTCACCGAGAAAATCTTGTTTTTGTTCCTCCATTGTGCTTCGCCTTTGTTGATGTTTGTGGGCCTGTGTTTGCCCTTACCTTTGGCTTTTATCTCGTGTTTATTTGCATGTCTGCCTTGGCGGAATAAAGTGCAGACATTGCGAGCTGCTGCCGCCTCGTGTTCGCCTCCTTTTCATTCTGGTAGCACCACTTTGGCAAACAACACGGCGAACGGGTCGTATGAGTGATACTTAAAGCGACCCTCTCTCCGCGAGTTTGTGTGCGTGTGTTTGCCGTTTGTGGGTGTGGGTGTGAGGGAGTGTGTAAACGCCAAGATGGCGCACTCGAGTGTGTAAAGAAGACGCCTAGGCGTCAACATTACCAAGTGTTGTGGCCTAAAGTGCAAGAAATCGACTTGGGTGTACTCTATATACAAAGAGTAAACGCTTCAATTTAAATGATTTCATTTGTAAATGACAAAAGTTATCAAAGACAAACTAATGTCTTAAACGTTTTTACAGAGGTGTCTGAAAGTATGCAATCATATACTTTATTGGGAAATGTTTTTCTTGTATATGAACGCAAAAACTACGTTCCGTAATTAATATTCTTAGGTGAAGTAAACAAAATATACTTAGAGACAGATAGTTTTCTCTACTACTTTAAAATCTTTAAATTAGAGACATTCAAGAAGATAATAAAGCAGTAATTAAGTGAGCACATCTTGTCCCAATAAACCCATTAACCCTTGTCTACCCTCGCAACGCTTACATGCTGTTTAAGCTTTTCCATGTTGTTTATGTCCCGCCCCCAGCCCAAGAGCATAATCGTTTAACGCCAAGACGACCTTTGACTCACTTGCCACGTCTTTTCATTTTTTCTCACATGCTTTTCCATATTTGCACTCAACATTTTTGCAGGCGCTCACCTACTGCGATCTGAAGTGCATCCACATGGGCGGTCTGGTGGAGGTGCTGCGTCTGTATCCGGAGTACCAGCAGCAATTTGCCAACGATATTCAGCACGATCTCACCTGCAATTTGAGGGAGGGGTACGAGAACCAGGACTCCGATATTGGACCATCGTTCCCGTTGCCAAGCATCAGTGAGGATGATGAGAATCGCGAGGAGTCCGAGGAAAATGGCAAGGCGGAGAAGGAAAATGGTGGAGGACCACCAAGTGGCGCTTCTCCGCTGCACAATTTGAGTAATTCCCCCCTGCATGCGGCACGTTCTCCACTCTTGGGCATGGGAAGTCCCAGGAATCAGAGGTTGCACCAGCGTGGCCGATCCCTGATCACTTTGAGGGAAACAAATAAGAGGAATAGGACGTTAAATGCGGCCTGCAGCCTAGATCGTGGATCCTTCGAGGAGGCGGAACCCCTGGAAGAAGAGCAGCAGTCCACTGGCAAGAGGCCCTCGCTGGAGCGATTGGACTCCCAGGTGTCCACCTTGCACCAGGATGTGGCCCAACTCAGTGCCGAGGTGCGCAATGCCATCAGTGCTCTGCAGGAGATGACCTTCACCTCCAATGCCATGACTTCGCACAGCTCACTGAAGTTTCCACCTGCCAGATCCATACCCAATATCAGTGGAGTGGCGGCCACAAGATCTGGAGATGCAGTGGACCATGGCCTGGTGGGTGGAGTTTTGGGAGCCGCCGAAATGGCTGCCATGCAGCGCTGTTCCTCACATCCCCCAGAAGTTTGGGGCAGGGATGTTCAGCTGCCCACCAGTAACAAGGCACCTTCTCCCGTGGAGCCGCTCAAAAAGACGACAACCAGTAGAAGCTCACAAACAGACTTCTATCGCATTGACTTTCCCACCTTCGAGCGCTTTGTCTTGGCCAATCCCCGCCTGGTTCTGGGTCTCCTGGGCATAGAACCCGCCATTAAAAACGAAATGGATCTGCTGCAGCAGAAGCAAACCCTGCAAATATCACCTTTGAATACCATTGATGAGTGTGTTTCCCCTGGGGAGGCCAACTTGGCCAGTTCTAAAGAGAGATTGATTACTTCGCCGGCAGTTTATCCGCCTTTGGATGATGAGAACTCCAATGACTTTCGCTGGACCATGAAGCACTCGGCCAGCCATCACAGTTGTTGCAAGAGCACGGATGCCCTGCTGAGTCCAGAGGAGCAGCCTCAGGTACCTTTGGAGGTTATTCCTGCCCCACCGCCTGTCCAGGAAACGAGATCATCGAAGAGAAGCTTGAGGAAGAGCACGAGTGGTGGCAGTAACTCCAGCCTGTCCAGCAGCAGTTCCAGCTCGAACAGTTGCCTGGTGTCGCAGAGCACTGGCAACCTGACCACCACCAATGCCTCGGTGCACTGCAGCCAGAGCACGCAGAGTGTGGCCAGAAGGGCTTCCTGGAAGCTGCAGCACTCGAGGAGCGGGGAGTATCGCAGACTATCCGAGGCCACCGCCGAGTACTCACCTCCAGCCAAAACGCCACTTCCTGTCGCTGGAGTAAACTACGGGGGGGATGAGGAGGAAAGTGTGGAGCTGCTAGGACCACGAAGGAACTCCAGACCCATCCTCTTAGGAGTAAACCAAAACCAGGGTCAAGGACAGGCCATGAACTTTCGCTTTTCGGCGGGGGATGCCGACAAACTGGAGAAGGGTCTGCGTGGACTGCCCTCCACTCGCTCACTTCGAGATCCGAATAGTAAATAGGTGAACAAAGGAAGTGCAGTGCATGATTTATGTCCCAATTAATACTGAAACACAAAGACGCTTGTACATTTAATGTCTCTAGGATACACACACGAGTTGGGTTTTGTTTCCCCTCTCGATTTATCATAAACACCCACACATATTGGCAAAGCATATCAGAGGAGCCCAATAAATTATTTTTAATAATGAGATGTATATTTTCCTAACAAATCAGCGAAAAATATACCCACTCAGAAGAATACATGAAAACATATGTCAGCGGAAGTACAAAGCTTAGAGACCTCCGATTAAAAGTATATCTTGCCTAGCAACAGAGCATCAGAATATCATTGACACTTAAAAAAATGGTGAAACGCTAGTTAAGTTGAATCAGCCTGAAATATAAAGTTGTGGCATAAGAAATGGTCTTAAGCTCTGTAAAAACAGAGCCCTTTTTAGATATTTATAGGTGAATATCTTGAGGCTATTGTCGCAGAACAAAGAACTTGAACTTAAGTTAAGGTCTGGAGTTTAAGCATAGGGGATTCAACAGATTTGTAGACATTTAAGCTGTACATTCATTCTAGTGAGAAAACCTAGATTATTACCTAAGATAATCGACAATCGTGTGCTACTTACATGTGTCGAATGGACGGAGTTCCACTTCAAAAGTGAGCTCTTGGGCATTTGGCTAAAAAGTAATTTGTGATTCCAAGCGATTTTCCGTCTTGATTCCGTGTTGGTTAGTTGGCTAGTTAAATAATCAACTGTAAGCTGTAAACTGTGTAAATTTCCAACATCCCGCATATATCCTCAGTGTATATAGTATTATATATGTATATGGTATGTGTATATCTGCTCCCCAAAAACTATAAAGACTTGAGCTTCATTCTATCTTTGATGTAAGCATCCTATGATAATAAGTGTATAAGTTTTATATGTGTTTAGATGGATACATTTTTAGCCATAATGTAAGCGAAATTATTCAATTGAGAACCTAATAAACGTTTTTAAATGTTTTAACTTAATGTTATCGAGACTATATACTTGAATGTATTTCATGTGTAGTTATACATCTAAAGCATTAAAGGATATTCGATATTTCAATAAACAATAAAATATATGTGACAAATTTATTTGTATCTGTGTTTTTTCTTCAATTTGGAAGCTTTGATTTCCCGACCTTTTCCGATGACTGAGTGATTTTCGGCTTCTTTGACATGACTGGCACAGTTCGTTGGGTGTCGCTTCGCTACCATAATCCGGTAACCTGATTGCCAAGTATATTGTGTGTCAAGCTGGCATGTAAATTGGGGTATTAGCGCCTCTCGTTTTCGGGCTCTCTATGCATAAGACCTTATGCTGTTTCTGACTGAGTTAAGCGCATTAAATGGTGAATGGGTGATTTACAAAGCAAAATTGGTAATTTTAACAGGGACTTCAAATATATGTATTTATATATTGTAGTTTACCCAATACAATATTTATTTAGATGAATAATATAGTATTCGAATTTTTTGCTACGATTTTTTGTCAGTGAAGTTGTATGTCCTTGCTACATCTACATGACAAATGTATTCTACATAGCCTTATGTCAATTTTGGACAGGAACCAAAAGCAACTTAAAAAGAAGTCAAATTTAAGTCAAAATAGGGCGTAAAATACAGCCTTGTATGAAGCTTTTTAAAAGGTTTAAGGAACAAGGATTTTTTAGTTTTTTTTCAAACTATTTATGTGCAACCTTTTCAAAATTTTTAAGCTTTAAATTTTATAATTTTACAAAGATTTAATTTTAAGTTATATTATGTTCAACCTATTTATTGGTTGAAAGCTTTCAAATTTCCTTTACTTAATGTTGAATGACATTTTTTACCAGGTTTAAATAAAAACTTACAACCTTTAAATGTCCTTTCTATAAAAAGCTTATAAACTTTCCTAAAAATTACTTCTACCAAAAGCTTTGCCACTTAAAACTAATATCGAAACCATGTGGCACCTATTTGAAAGCTTAGAATACTCAACATTTTATTCGACAACAAAAAAGCTTTTTATAACATACCTAAAAAACCGAAATCGGGCTGATTAGCTTTGAAATATAATTATCATATGCCAAAAATACACAGGAGAATGGCGGTGTGGTTCTAATTAGCTTTGAGGCTCATTAATGCAGCCATTATCACAAAAATAATTTATTTCAAAACTTTAGCCAAAATTTTCGCTGATAGAAACGATTTGGTACCCGGGGGAAAGTTGGGAAACCGAACAGAAATAAAGGAAAAAATGAATGTTAATAACTTGAAACTATTATCAAACTCATTGCGGTATGTTTTCCCATCCTCATTTTCAGTTTCGGCTTCAGTTTCTTTTTCTCCCGACAAGAAAAACTACTCGAGCAAAGAAATTAAGCTAACTACTCCTATTTTTTCACTGTTATTGCGGTCGCGATGGCACAAATGCCTCAGTGTGCATCCATAAAAGAGCATAAAAGTGGGGAAAAGTTTTTCACAAAACTTTACAAGGACAGTTCGGTGGTGGGTGGAATTGGGATGTCATGGTACGAGAGCTTAGGAGTTGACGCTTAATAAGATGCGCTTAAATAGCCCGATTGGAATCATGGGCCCTGCACCGAAATTCCCCACGTCCACCAAGTGTATATTGTTTTAATTAGGATCGCAGACATCGGGGGCAATTAGATGGGTAGCGGGGGCGGACGGGCGTGGCCATCCTCTTAATTACGCAAATACAAATTGGTCTATGGCATGCACTCTGATTTTGAATTCGCAAATTTTGTCCATCCGAATGGGTGTGCTATTTAGCAAGGTTCTCTACTGACGACATTCATGATGCCACTGGGCAACACATGCACAACAATGGCCATTGATTGCGCACAGATACCATACACAGATACTCCACACAGATACTAAACACAGATACTATGCACAGATACGCCACTCAAATACTCCACACATTTGCAGCATAAGGACCGGTCATAAGCGTATAGTAATTTCTGCTCCAATTCTGCTAAAAACAATACAAGCTTGTACTTGTGGGTGCTCCATATCCTTCTACTGCTTAATTGTGCACCAAAAAGATGTTCGACTTCTCCAAAATTTTAATTGAACTATGGTTGCTGTACCGCAAAGTAACTCAAAACTGACGGAGCAAATTTTATTCACCAGTGTGAATGGAAAACTTCATATTAACAACAGGAAACTAAAAACAAGCCATAGTATTGGCATAACATATAAATATTTGGTGAGTTTACGACTTGCTTTTTCTGATTAGATAAAATAAAAAAATGGAAAAAATAGATTCTTTAATACTTACAGATTTTCTTAATAATTTTGATTATCTTTCACACTTAAACCTTTATTTACTTACATTTCTTCGATCTACCAATCCTTAAATTATTGAATTTTACAGCGCTTTAAGAGTGGTATTTTAACTACTATTTTATTTCTTTAAATTTAAGTATTTATTTTTAAGAAAATAATGACAAGAAAAAAAATGTATCTTTAAATGTCATTCTTCTTTTTTTTATGATAATAGTAATCCCAGAAAAAATTATATATATTTTTACACGCCACACAGGGCTGAGTGTTCCAAAGATCCCAAATATATGGGTATTCGGTGCTCTCTTTCCAGGGAAGGCCATTTGTCGGATGAGTCAGTTCCGCTTGCCATCCAATCGCTTTCAAGACGATTATAAATTTATGTCCGACATTTGAAATCAATCGAATACTCGTAGTCGCCCCAGGCTGAAGCATCCAAATGCTCCAATAATTTCTAATTTATTTTAAGTAAAAGGCCAAAGCAAACGAACATAAAGCAAATTACCAAACGTAATCGACGAAGCGGCACAACAAGCCACGGGCCACGGCTGAGAAGGGGCGGGTTGAAAAGTTTTGCACCAAATAAAATAAATCGAGTGTATGTGGGTGTAAAGGTGGTTGAGGACTTGGTGGATTGGGTTGCAAGGGCATGCTGAACAAGTTTCCTTCTGAAATTCAATTGAACTACACGCGGGCGGAGCTGCAGTCATGATGGTAGCACTCAGAAAAACGTTAAGGAATAAATATAATAAGGCTTACTTAGTAGGTAATACCTACACTAAAGTACAAAACTAACTTATATTATTGCACTTTGAATCCTTGTTAAAAAAAAGTCTTTTTTTGTTTTTTAATAAGGAATCGAACAAAAATACTGGTATTTATTTTTAAAATAACACCAAACCAAATGATGAGTTTACAAATTGTTTTCTAAAAAAGCGGTATAAAAATATGATTAAGAAGAAAATTTAAATATTTAAAATATTTACTGTTAAAATATTTATAATTTAAAGTATTTGGGAATCATTCATAATATAGGATGCTTTGTTAACAAGTTTGTCAATTATAATAAAATAAGTGAAATAACACTAAAATAACACTAATTATTTTTATTCAAGAAAGTTTTTTGAAATATTTAGAAATATGGCCCCAAAATATTTATGCCACTGTCTTTAAAGTTTTATATTTCTTATTTCAAAATTATGATTTTTTTTAGTTTGAATTAGAATTTTTGTAAAAATTTTTTTGTGTGCACTTCAAGGCAGCCGGTCACTTCGATGGCTGTGGGAAATTTGTGATGCACTTTAAGCGCGTTAGAAGGAAAAGCCAGTAAGTCAGCCAAGACCTCCGATAGCCGACGTCTATCGACTGGCGACCATCGACTGTCGACTGTCGACCCTCGACTGTCGATTGGCGATTGCCATTTGCCGACAGGCAGCGGCAGTGGCCCTAATGTGCGGTTCATTTCACAGAGCTGACCGCACTCGCACTCGCACTCCTGGGTAAAAACAGCCACGTAATCGTGTTAAAAGGATTCAGGGGAGTAATTAGCAAAGCAGGAAAACAGGAAAGCAGCTAAGCGACACCCGGCTCATTCAAGCGTCCTGGCCACGTTGACAAGTGGACAGCGTTTGATTAGCTAATGCAATTCCGCTCCACTTGCAGCCACCAAAACCAGCGACACTCATTCATTGCGAAAAAATCCCTCGATTGCCCCTACAGGTAACACAAAGAAGGCAAGTTTTTGCTCTACCACCAACTTTTTCGCAACTTTTGCGGCAACTTTTTGCCACACACTCACACGGACGTTAAGGTGGGGCAAAAGGGGAAGGAAATGAGTGACTGAACGAGAGTGGTAACAATTTTTACAAAAGCGGCAAAAGTTGCCCTTTAAGCCCTTTTGTCATACGAAAAATGCCACTCCCAATACCATCACCCACACCCCCCTTCCACATTATTTGGCGAGGCTCAAGTTTATGGCATGCACAAAGCATTCAGTTAATACGCACTTAATAGTCAGGTCATAAATTTTAAATACTGCTAAATGGCCGCCCCAAGATATGTGTTCGAGTGTGCTTATATTAATGCCCAGATATGTAAAGCAAAGCATGCATGCAAAATCTAAACGCGAGCACATACATTTATCATCCGCAGCTTGATTATCGCCTTCTACATCCAAGACAAAATATTCGTTGACAACATTGCGGAAAAAATGGAGGATACATTAGGATGGAAGCAAAGTTTTAAGTCAACAAAACGCTGGATTATAGAGGTTTAAATTAATTGGTAAACATTCTAATCCATACAAGGATAATTTTGTTTGTGAAATTTTCATAGTTTTAATCCTTTTAAAATTGTTTCCATTTAAAAAGTTGGACAATATGATTTAATTCCCCATCATAATTTTAGAAACCTTTCCAATTGATTTGAAGTCACTTGAATTTTAATGGCTCACCTGTTAGGATTTTCTTTAAAAAGATAAAAAAACAATTTTAAGACCGAGATCTGTTAAAGTCAAAGTTTTGAAACCTGTAAACTATCTGATTCCTTATAAAGTAATAAAAAAGTGTAAGATTTCTTTAGCTCCATACTTTGCTGTATTTTGAAGAAAGTTACAGGGAAATCGGAGCGAGGTTCTTAAAGAACACCCATCCACTTGGTAGTGTTCTTTGGCTTGTCAGCCAACTGTTAGTACTCGAAATTACAGTTTTCAATTACCAAACGTTTAGTTGTCGCTGCGACCTTGCTGTGGAGGAGTTGCTAGCACTTAAAGTTCGCCATCCTTGGGG